ATGCTGATAGATTTTGGCTTATTATACTAATAATTAACCTTCTTAATTAAAACTGTGTCAGCAAGAGCTGGCTGGCCACAAAATCATTTATTTCTCTATCCTTTAAAATGTTTTTTTTTGTTATGTCTTCAGGCATCAAAAAATGATCTGAACAATTCTTTCTGGATTGAAACTCTAATAGTTCTTTTCCATATTGCCTCAGTTTTGGCTAGGACAAAGTTAATTTTTAGCAGTAGCTGAGGGAGCATGGCTCAAGGGGCATGGCAGGAAGTTATTCCATACCACCTCAGGTCATTGCTAGGAGCAGGGGTAAGGGACTCTGGCTTCTGTGGGAGAGGACAGGGCTTCTGGTTAAAAAAAACATGGCAGCATTGTCTGCCATGGTTCATTGTCTTAGGGGTCTCTGGTGAGTATCTTTGTACATGGATTACCCTCTCTTTGAATTATTTGAATAATACTGTCATTATTCATATTGTTGCTATTACTGTTCATTTACTTATCTCATTGTTTCCAGTATATTGTTCTTTTCTCAACCTGTGATCTTCACCCTTTGTGCCCTAATTCTCAATTTCCTCTGCCGGACCAGGAAGGGGCAGGGGAAAGGAGGAGTGGGCAAGTGTCAGTGTGGTTTGGGAGAGTCTCTGTAGGTGCACTGAACTGTGAAGCACCATTCCTAAATCATGATACATATTATTTTATAAATTACTGACACAACTATAAATGTAATTATTCATTCTTACCAGTGCATAGTCATCCTGTGACAGAGCTCTTAGACACAGGCTCCCACACAATGGAGAAATCTCTTGTCCCAATTTAAATATAACTGAACAGAGACAAAAGGCCATGATGCCAACTAGCTTTCTTTTTATTGTGTGTCACAATGCAGCAGTGTTTCATCTTTCTCAACGAGTGAATGACACCTTAACAAAGAAACTGTTTCTCATGGAACGTTTCACATGTGCTTCACATTTGGAACAACCTGTAGGAAACATAGTAACTGGCTGAAGTGTAAAGTAATGGTAGGAGTGTGTTTAAAAAAGATCTTATGCTGTCAGCTGCAAAGCAGTATACACAGTACAATATGACCAACAGGTCACAGTTTGGTTTTATTGCTACAGAGGATCCCCTAAACTGACAGAACATAAAAACTCATTGGTTATTTTGCTTGCAAGTCTTTATACTCAGAGGATGCTTCATTGCAGTTCAGGCAATGATCAGCCTCTTGCAATTTTAAGATGTCTGGGCCAGCTGCACAAAGGATGTTTATGTTTCTGCCTTGCAGCCATAATGTCTCCAGTGAAGCTATAATATTGTATTATAGCACCATCCCCTTTAACATCCCTTTTGCCAGGGATGTCCATTTAATGTATTTTTAGAAAATGCAGACAGATTTACAGAAGGTTGTGTCCTAAGCTTCCTTACATCATTAGAGAAAGATGCAGGAGGTTTTTGGTTTTATTAAATGAGGAAACCACAAAGAGAATGGTAATAGGCAAAAAGCATGGGAAGAGTCCATTACAAAACCATAACACATTTATAAGTGTTTTCACTACGACTGCATTTTCAAGGCTATTTTATGAAGGGCAGGAAGGAAGGAGAAGGGAGAAAATACCCCAAATAATAATAATAAAAAAAAACATATATGAAAAATATCCATGGAGAACTTATAAAGAGGCAAAGAGGATGGAAAGCTAAAATGAATTGGCTCACAGGTGACTCAAAGAAGTGGTTACAAAACCACAGAAATTTCGCTTGCACAATTCATCTTGCTGGTGACAGTGTGAAAAGTCAATGGCTCTGTGTTTTAAATGAAAGCTCCACAGAAACAAAAGCACAAAACCTTAGCTCAGGTACAGAAAGAATGCTAAAAGTTTTAGATGGAAGCTTTTGTTATTAGAAGCTTAAGTCACAGTAATTTATAAGCAGTGAAAAGGCAGTATGTTTTCCTTTTTTATATATATACCAGCTTTTTTTTCTACAATGAATGTGTATTTCCTTCTACAGTGCCCTGTGATCTATTTCGTTTTATTTGCTTTCAGTTCTCAGTGTTAGGCTTTCTGTCTTTCAGCTGCCAATAATCTAGCTGTAGTTACAATAAATGGAAACTCACAGACCTTGGTGTCATCCACCTCAGATAACATGATCCTATTAAATCTAATCCAAATTAACTGGATGAGAATCCTTTGCCCTTGATACTTATATGGACAAGAGAGAGATTTGATGCTAACAATACCAATGTTGTTTAGTGTAGAGTGGAAATCTGCTCTCCTTCTCTAATTGATTTGGGATTCAGAAGAACTCTAACACACTGTTAAAGAGTGTGTGCTTTTTAGCCATGTGGTCTCAGTGTACTGAGCATGGTATTTGATTAGCAAAATGACTATAGAATAAAATACAGGGAAAGCCTCTGCTGTATATTTTATTCTAACATGGGAATTGCTAGTTTTGGGGGCACATCTGAAATGCTACAGCCAAAACAGGCAAATAATTCATGCAAGTTATTGTGAAATGGCAACACTGATGATGATGCAAGTCTTGGAACTACTACTCCTAACAATTAAAAAACCCCATAACACCAATTTCTTTAATAATAAAAATTCTTCATCAATTGAAACATAACAACTTCTTTTCTCATGTTAAAATCATCAACTGGACTTGATGATCCTTGAGGGTTCCTTCCAACTCAAAATATTCTGTGAAAAAGCTTTTTACTAAATGTTCCTCAGCCTGATATATATTTACCTCTGAAAGTACAGAACCTGAAATTCTAGTTGGCTTTTATTCATTGTCCCAACTATGTATGACAGCCTGACTCTGTGGAAGCAATATAACTGAAAAAATTGTGGGGAAAAAAACCAACCAAACAACCACAAAGAACCTTAAAACCAAAGAGACTTTTCTATTTTTTTTTTCTGTGCAAAAGTAGTATTGTATTGGAATTAATACTTCCTGATCAATATATCTTATATATACTCAAGTCTTTATACATTTTTCATTTCTTTTTGTCAGCATAAGAACTACTTCTGATAAAATCAAATCAAATGGAGGCGAATTGAAATCCAGGACTGGCTCCAGGTTGTGAAGCAAAAATCTCTGCCATGCCTTTTGTCTTTGTTTTACTGAGGGCAGTAAGAGAAGAATGAAAAGGCTTTTTTTTTTATGGTTTGGGAAAATCTGCCTCATAGAGCTGTCTGATGAGTATGAGATAGGGAAGGTCACTAGAGAATTGCATGATAAAATTTAATTGTTCCTCCTTTCTCCTTCTGGAAACTTTTAGCGTCAATTAAGCCAGTAAATGAATTGAGTATTTTCACAGTTTTGGTCAACCGAGTATTTCAGCAGTATTTGAGCTTTTATAAATAGAAAGGATTCAGCTGTTGCTAGCACAAGAGATTACTTCTGAACCCATCACCTCCAGCCTGATGGGTGCTGCAGTCTCACGTGGCAGGTTGATGTATAGGAGAATATGTATAATATGAGGAGAGGGCTCTGCCATCACATGTCAATCCCTCTGAGCCCTCAGCCCCAGCATGCATCCCATTCCCACCCAAACTGGCTTTACACTTCAGAAACCTCTGCATGGATACAGATTTCCCAGTGAAAGAGTTGACATAAAAGAGAAAGCAACACAAGATTTGGTGTGAACAGCTTTTTGACACTTTTGCTACCCTGCAAAGCTGCAAAGGGATTAATGACCAAAGCCATAAGGACTATTGATCTGGCATCTGCTTCTATTAGTCCAGCTTGCACCTCATTTCAAACATACTGAAGACATGCTGCTGTACATTGAGAAGAAGGCAGTGGAAAACAGGAGCATTAGGAGTGAAGGAGAATTTGTCTGCATGCATTCCTACATCGAGGACCAGCCTTAGAAAATGCTTTCTTTTTTTAAAATTTTTTCATTTTGCAAAAGAGGGTTGGCACCAGGGATTGGGGATAAAAAAAAACATTATCAAAATGCTGGTCCTGAATGACAGTGGAAAAAGAAGCCATGTCAAGTCTATGCAGTCCAGCCCTCTTCTCAGAAGAATAAAGCAAAGTGGGTTCCCTGCCCTCCACTGTGGGTCACAATCAAGTACAAAACAAAGATTTGAATGTTGAAGAAAACAGTTTTGCTGGGTTAGTCCTATAATTTGTGCTACATAATTGTAGCAAATGCAGCTGCTATTCTCAATAGAACTTTTCTTCATTTCATTAGGAAAAAAATTGCCTATGGAAGAGACTCTCTGTCTCTGAAGACTGCAAAGAAATGACCCTCTTTTTGAGATTTTTAGATAATCAAATTGTGATGAGCAGAGATGGAGAGATGATGGATGGATACTTGCTTATTCAGGCAAATCAGTATCTTAAACCTACAGAAATATTTGCACAAAGCAAGCAGGATTAAGCAGCTTCTAAAAAGTATATTAAAAACCCATCAGGTTAAAACAACCAAACAAGAAAAAAGGGTTTTAGGAACATACTGCATTTATTTGGTCCCACAATTCCTAACCTTGTAACAAACCCCCAGAGTTTCACTCCTTAAAGTGCTTCAAACTCCATTTATATTATTATTATTACTTTGAACATCAATGTACATTTCTGTATAAGCAACAATCCAAAGAGATTTATATTTTTATAAAATTCTTTATATTAATGGATCAAATTTGCTCTCAAGATGGCCAACATTAAGGAAAATTTCCAAAATATGGACACTGGAGTTGCTCAAGTCTCTGCCGTTGTGGATGAGAGCAGAATTTGGCCCAGTGGGGTATATGCAATTACATATTCTGCATATATCTCCAAAGGCACAACGGATTACCTCAGAAATCAATAACATTTAAAAGGGAGTTTGTCAAAGCAAATACATTTTGTTTGCTTTGGCACAGTCCACATCCAGAGGATGCATTTGCTCACCGGCTGTTCAGAAGGAGCAGCCTGATGCTGGTCACCAAAGGGGAATCCATGCAGCTCTTCAGCAGACACAGCCCAATGTGTCCACAATGACTGTAACAGCAGAGTTACTTCTCTGGGCACCCGTGCAAATTCACTGTACCATGAACCTCTGAAATCCTCCTGGTGGAAACATGTTTGTCATTGATGGTAATATTTCGAAGACAGCCAAAAAATGGGTCTTCGACTGGAAGCCATGGGGTGTCCAAATTTGCTACAAAACCAAGGTGGAAAGACCAAGTTAGTAAGTATTATTTTAAGGAACATTAATTATGGCAGGGTTTTCAAAAGAGGGGAAATTATATAGGAGAACATGAATGGATGGGACCTTTGTTTTGGAAAGGAAAAAACATGAAAAAAAAAAAGAAGCAATAAAATTACCTGGAATTCTGCCAAAGTAGAGTGGCTGATACACACGTCTAGGAGGAGAGGGTTGAAGTACAGTGGTATAGTTACTCTGTGTTCCCACCTCTAGCTGCACTGTGCTCTCCTTCTGAGAGACTGCAAAGAAGCAGAAAAATGAGAACTCTTTCTTCAACCCTATTAAAGAATCAGCTAGATATGGCACTATTTTTAAATTGCATCTTTCTTGAAATTCAAGGCACAGAAAAAGCAATTTTTTTTTATTCAGGGTCAGACTGAAACCTAGGTCATCTGGGGCTTAACAGAGCCTACCAAAAAAATCTTATGTAAAGTCTTTAATTAACACAAGACACAATACAAGAGTATTCTCAGACTAAACAGAAGTGAAATGGTTAATGAAAAATTTGGAGCTGCAGTGCTCTGTGCCCACCATCCCTTCAAAGCTTCAGAAGAAATGGTATGTATAATGTACCTGCAATGGTATGCCACTGTCCATCAGACAGAGGTTTCTTAGGTGTGACTGATGCCTGGAATTCTCCAGCATCACTATTTCCAGCAGCAATCACCTGTAGAGAAATTACCTGTAAAGTTACTGTGACAAAGAACAGGAGCAACACGGGGAGGTCAGAATTCCCCCTGCTGAATGAGGGCAATACAGCTGGAATGGACACAGTCTGTACCCACCTTCCCTCCCTTCATGTAAACAGTCAAGTAGTTGTCTTGCTTGCTTCCAGCATGGAGGAGTACACCTGTGGAACTCCTTGGTCGAATGGTAAATACAATCCTGAAATCCAAATCCATCAGCAAATTACCTGTGGAGAATTAAACAGTGGGGAGAGGTATGATCATAGATGGAGATAATTGGAAAACCACGTAAAAACAAGTAACCCGTACACCTCTGTGCTTCACACAATTCCATATACCATAATCCCCACATAGCTTACCAATGGTGATATATCCTCCTTCATTAAAGAAGTAAATCCCTGTGTCCATGAGAACATCCAGACATGGAAGTACGCCATGTTTTTGTTGAGGTGCATTCATGGCTTTTCCATTAATCTTAAAATTCCTCAGGCAACCCTTGAAACTCTTCATAGGCATATTCTGAAAGCATATTTGAAAACATGAATACTGAAGTATTATGGCTTTTTTTTTAGCAATAATACTGAACATAGGTTGTTTTGGACTGTTGGACTATTAGAAAGCCAACTGGCACTAAAGGCACCTAGCACCCATCTTTGATGCAGTGAAAAGGCATTCCAAAGTTCTAAAAAAGTGCTTGAAACCCAGTAAGAGTTGATTTTCAATTAACATGACTCCTGCTTGTAAAACAGATACTTCCCAATGATGTGTCAAAAAGACAATGCAAGAGGAATTGTGAAATCCCTGAAGCAGCCCTTCCCTTCCTAAGACTGTTTATTTAATTCTGATTTTATAAAATACCCTGGCTCATTGACTGTCCTCTTTTTTAAACAGAAACCACATGTATTTCAGATTCAAATCCAGTTCTACATCCATAATTCGTTAATGAGAATAATTCTTTTGTTTTTCTACTGATTATTGCTTAGTCCACTGAGGTAAATGTTCTGCAGAAAGATGGTATTCCTGGAATTAAAAATGTGACTTTGGTCTTCTCTACTTTTAAGGAATAAAAATGAAAAGAGTACGTGTTTGTCATCAGTGTCTCAGCAACATATTGAAAATACAGGTCCAGGTGAAGGCTGTGTGAACAGGTGAGGAAAAAGATCTGCAATGAGCCACTGCAAATACCAGCCACAGATGGTGCTCATGTGGTCCTTGGAAACCCTCCCCAAAGCTTTTCAGCATGGAAATCCTGCGTATTAAAGACTTTCCCATATAATTAGTGCAGCATGGGGCGTGTGTGTGGGTGGATTTGTCAATTATTTACCTGTCTCTTCAGTGGTGGCAGCCCTCCCACGTAGACTGGTGGCTTAATGCTGATGGCAGCATTTGTTGCCAGTTTTCTGTGCTGGGCCCTTAGACCATCAACGACAAGGCGGGCGTTCTTCCCATCTGTGCTGAAGACCACCTTTCCAGGAGGCAAGGATAACAGAATAAAAAACCCAAAAGCCAACAAAAGCCACTGCAGATTTTCTTTGTCTTTAAATTAAATACCATGTTGTTGAAATATTTAAACTGAAAGTAACATCCTGGGACCATCAGTCTCAATAAGGTCTCTCAGAGACCTGTCAACCACACGAACTTTCAGGCATAGGAATTAATTTCCAATGACCAAAACTGAGTTTCTATTCTCTTAAAAATGCATTAGGCTGTGCTTGCTGAATGCTAGTTATGCTAACACTGTGGTTCCATGCTACTTACAGTGTGCCATTGCCCATCATTGTATTTAATACTGCTTCTGACTTTGATTTGTTTTTCTCCAGAGCCAAGTGAGAAGACAAAACGTCCTTTTGAAATGTGGAGAGCCATATAAGTGTCCTCAGAGCTTCCCTCCATGAAAACTATTAATCCTCTTGATGATCGAGTCCGTACATCTACAGAGAAATGTAACCTGTAGTGGAAAGTAAACATATTCCAGTATAGGTCTGTTTTGTTGGTTGTTTTATCTTTTCTGTTCTCCAGTGAAACTCCATTTGTGAAATGCAGAATAGAATTTGGGTGGAATCATGGCATTATACACTGCATTTCTGCATGTGAATGAAACTTGACAAATTCAGGCTTACATCCCATTCAATCTGCTCAGTTTAGATAAATGTTTGCACAGGAAAAAAAAAGCCTGAGCTTTTTCAACCACCTTTCATTATGGCCCAAGATATAAACAAGCAGAAAATCCTTATAACCAGCACCCTAAGAGTCAAACAGCTTCAACAATTCAAGTACTAGGAGGAGAACGGAGAATGTTTTTATTACCTGTCTGTGGATAACAATGGAGAAAACATGTAGGATATAAAACTGTTTGGGATGCTTCCAAGGAGATAAACTTCACTGCTGTCATGTAATGGAGCTGGTATAGGGTGGTTTTGCACATTAGCAGTTTTCAAATAATCAAGGTATTTTTCATTCTGTGCACATAAGATAGAATTGAAGCATTTATTATACGTGCAATAAATAGAAACATTTTAATCAACACATTTAAGAGCTCCCAGCCAAGGCAGTCAACAGCCTTCCCTAAAAGACAGAAAAGCTGTTGTCATTCTAGACAGGTGCAGGTTTAGCACAAAACTGCAACACGGTTAGAACTTCCTTCACATGTGAGATGGAAGGAAAGAAAGAACATCTGAACCTCAGTTCCAGAAATGATGGAAAGCCTGGGCATCAAATGGAGCAAAGATGACAGTAACAATAAGCATACCTTGAGCATCTTAAGCCTGAGAGGATTTTTAAATTCCTGCAGCAGCATTGGTTCAAGGTTTTCATATTCCTGGCAAGCTCCAAGGGATACACCAGTCTTCCCAGTATTTTTGACAAGATTTTGAACCTCAGGGAGCTGACCTACCCTGTGATGATGAAAGCAGTAAGTGCTGTGACTCAGCATTCCTTTTCTTTAGTGTAATCAACAATGAACACATTGTAAAAATGTGTTCTGCACGAAATATATTTCCCAGTGACATGATAGTAAAGTACCAATTTTTAGTTTTCAACGAAAAACGTAAATTCAATGTTGTAGATTATATTTTCCCTGGCTCTGCTCATTTCTTTTTGGCTATAGAAAAACTCTGATTTCTGTTCTCATCTTTTCGAAACAAAGTAATTTTTGCTAGAAACCATTTAAAAAACACAAACATATGTGGTCCTTGAAAACAGAGAAAAAAATGACAGCAGCCTTGATTAAGATTTCTGAATCTATAAAGACTATAAAACTTTGATTGTTAATTATACATAAACAGTTTCAAATCAAGAAAATGTAACATCAGGTTCTGCTTCACTCTCTCCTTAAATAAGATGTTCTGATGAGTTTTGTCAAGGGACAAAGCCTGTCACAACTTCACATGTACCTCTAGTATTATAACGAAATTATCAGGAAGACTGTCAAAGCAAATTTACCCTGTGTATAAAGAATAATATTAAGCAATACTATAATTTTCTAAGTCGTACAAAACATCTCTAATCAGTAAATTACAAAAAACTTTACAGCTACAAAAAAGCTACAAAGCTCCTTGCTTGTGGTTTTCTATGAGAAGAGTGGTAGATCTGTGAATGGAACCTGAACTTCTTGAATGTTGGTCATTCTCCATTCACTCCATCAGACCAGCTACAATATTTATTCTTCATCTATTTTGGCACAAAAACTTTCCCAATTTGTTTTCTGTTGGGATGTTTAATATATAGGTTACTTCTGATGCCTTTTCCTGGTCTTAAAAAAATTGAGAGCCAGACAAGGTTAAAGGATAAGGGGTTTTTACCTTGGTATTTTAATAAGGATCCTTATGGTGCACCACTTCACCAAGGTGGAACCGCAATGCACACACATGATAAAATCACATATACAATTCACAGACCTTACAAATTGGGATATCTAACAAGGATGCCCCAATGGAAGGCTAGGATGAATAGTGTGATATTCCCTCATCCAAGGAATTCGCCCTGGATGGGCAGAATCTTAGTTTAGAGGATATGCTCTAGAGGGGGCCTTGGTTTCTCAAGGCAGCATAGGGCTTTCCAGCCTCCTACTATGAGTCATTTAGTATGTCTGGTTTTCTGGCTTAACAGACTTCTAGGGCTATGCTGAGTTACTAGAATTAAGGAATTACAAGTATGCATGCAAGGAGTACTGAGGATACATAAAACGTATATAAAAGAAAAGGCAAAAAACCATCTTGGCATCACATGAATGCCTTGTAGTGCTTTAAATTAAGACATCATTTGAGCAGCCTGGTTTAGTGGAAGGTATCCCTGCCCATTGCAGGGGGCTAAAACTAGAGGATCTCTAAAGCTGCCTTCCAGCCCTTCCCATTCTGTGGTGGTATGACAATTGAATCAAAATACACTACTTTTGAAAACTCTACACATGTATAAACACTCATCAAAACTTAACTAACACAAAGTCCCACTGGAACATGACTTATGGCTCATGTAATGCTTGTCTTCTAGAAACATATTTATGCATATTTTTACTCCTAAATTTTGCCTGTAAGGTGTCTCTAATAATCAGACAAATACGTGAAAAAACGAGACAGCCTAAATAAGGCAGATGATTTCTACACATACGGTGTCACTTGTTTGTGTAACTGGTTTGATTCTGTCAGTAGCTTTGCTCCTTTCACCACCTGGTTCCCTAGGGAGCTATAACAAGACAATTTAGCAAATCTTTTTGGGTGACTTGTTGGGACATATCCAATTCACTCTGCAGAGTCCATTCTTTGCCTAACAGACTGCTAAACAGGTATGATTGAGACTAAAATTCCTTTACATCTTTGATTATAAGTGGATCCCATGTATAATATACCTGAATTAAAGTATTTGAGGGCAGCAAAGTTATGCATTCATGAAGGCTTCACACACATAGAATAAAAGCATTTTAGCAAAATGTAATTTTAATATGATTTAAGGAGGAGAACAGGCCAAAATGCATGAAACAATTCTTTCTAGGCCAAATACCTTTCAATAAAGATGTTTGAGATGCAACCTTCAAAACTATCTCCACCAAATTTTATAGGTCTGTTTGATTCCTGTGAGTTTGATGACCTGGGAGAGTCAACTTCTTTTGACTCATCATCAACCATCAGATGTACTCTGAAAAAAGTGAATGAAAATAAGCATGATATATAAAGAAATAATTAGGAAACTAAATAAAAAAATATATATAAAAGAACAATTTGACAGATATATTTCCCTGTTACATTGTGATTATGCTAGAGCTTCATTAGCTTAGTTCTGGGACTTTTTCAGTATGTGCTTATTGACTGCTGTGAAATTGCTCTGTTTTTCAATATTAGTTAAGGAGCTAGAGTTGAAGTTCATACTTCAGTCCTACAGTGAAATCCTGGTCAACTGAAATGCATGAAAAAGCTCTCATTTTTCAGCTATGGGACAGGATTTAAGTCTGTGTCAAAATGAAATGGACAGTATTAAGTTATAATAACACAAAGTTATAGCCAACCATTCAAAACTTTCCACTTCAACTAACACTTATATAATTTCATGCATTACACAGCAATCAGCATGATTTAGGAACTTTTCAGTAAATTGTCTCTTCTAATATCTAATATCTGCATAACAGATCATTATTGAAAAAACAGACAGCATTTGCTTCTTCCCTACCAGGGGAAGGGGACACATAGGAAAGTTATGGGAAGGGGAAGAGCTCCAAAGACTCCAAAGCTCCAGCTAGACAAGCAGTCAAAACTCACACAACCTATAAAAGAAATGCACAGTAGAGTACAGCTAAAGCATCACAGGTACCAGCGTCCATATTCATAGAACAAAAATCTCCTTTCCCTTCATTATTTAGGTATCCTCTGCTAGAAGAGACCATTTTAAGCTGTTTATCCAAAGAATTAGTCTCCCAAAATTTGAATTTCTTTTCTCCAACCACTACATATAAGATTTAGATGAAGAACTGGACTCACCTGTTGCCTGTTTTCATTACAGTCACATAATGCATTGACCCATCTTCATATTTCTTTTCCAGTTTAATTTCCTTATCTCGTATCTTTGCAGTTACAGAGCCAGGACTCAGAAAGATGGAAAGAACATCAGGCTACAAAAGAACCCCACAAAATAATCAGCTAAATAAATGCAAAAGCCTTTAGTTCTTGCTACTGCCATTAATTCAGCTCTCAGTGGGTGCCAGTAGGCAACACATTTTCTTACACTAGACCTACATTCCTCAGTCATCTAGTACCAGATGTGTACCAAGTTCTGCATGATGAGCATAGCTTCCATCTCAAAATACCTCTGCACTCTGAATAGCAAACATTTATTTAAAATACTTGTTTATTTTTACAAAAAGCAGAGGAGCCAGCTCTCCACTTCTCAAATACCTGGGGTATCTTACCTACTCCAGCATGCCAGAATGGGGTTCTACTTAAACTTCCCTGCTTTCTGAGGGATCATAGCCAGAACCAATCCCTTTGCTCTGCCTATTCGGACATGGTAACATTTCTATGTGGGCAGAGTGCCATTTTCCTTGAGAAAATTTCTAGCCAATTAAGCAACAGTTTTCTTGCTGGGATGTTGGTGTCAAGTGTGTGAGCTACTCTGCAGAAGGCTCTAGTTCAAAGCTCTGTTACTCATCAAACTACTTGTTGGCCATGTGAAGAAATTGCCAGAATGCATTTCTCATGCAAGATGCCACACTCAAAAAAGGCATTTCTTACCTTAAAACGCAGGAATTTACATGAGACTTATGACCCAAACTGAAATGACTGATTCAGAGATAAAACTCATCACATATGCTAAGTTGAATGTGTTTCATACCCGTAGATTGTAATTTAAGAGTGTTCCAGTAGAAGCTGTTGTCTGAAAGCCAAAGCCAACTTGGAAATCCTTCGGAAATGGGAAATTTGCTGCACTCAGGCTCAGTGTTCCATCCTTAGAGAAAGCTGCAGATCTGACAAGCTGAAAGAGAGAAAATAATGATTTCAGTGATTTTCCTTTTAATCAGAAGAAACATCAATATGAGACAACAGCTGCCCCACTCAACATAATTGTGATCAGCTCCAGTCAAAATCAAGCACAAGGCAAACCTCAAAAACCATTATTTCAGTACAGAACAGACTGTCAGAGTTGGCTTCACCAGCATTAACTATGGCCTGAGAAACTCTAAAAAGAGAGAGGAGGCTTGCTGAGAATAATGAGCTGCTCATCTCTAGCTATTGTAGCTTTGAAAGTTTGCACGTTTGAGGACACAAAACCGAGTAGCTGGAGGAATAGTTCACAACTATGAAGCTGTGCAGATGAGCTACATAATTGAAACTGTGTGAGTCACTGGACACTTTCTAATACATGAGAAGTTCTGCAGATACAGAGAATGAAGATTAGATCCTCTGCAAAGATAGTCTGTGAAGAAATCGCTCTGTGAAAGGTTTAGATGCCACAAGTAAAAGAAAATAAGCACAAACTTTCAGTGCAATACTGTAGCAAAAAGGGCAAATGAGATCATGCATCATGTAGGCATCAGTAAGTAGAAGCAGAAGGATAGTTTTAATCTCTCCATGCAGCACCAGTTAAGCCAGCACTGAAATGTCATGTTGTCCTATTTTAAAAAGAACATGGCAAAACTCAAGGCTGCACAGAAAATAATTAAAAAACAATCAGATAAGTGGAGCCTTAGAATGTGAGAATTTGATGGAAGAGTCTGTTAAGATCTTTTAAGAAAAAAAGGCTGAGAGGTCATTTAATTAGGAAGCTTAAACACCGTGGCAGGAGGAAAGATACAGAGTAGTATTAAGTATTCCAGCCTAATCAATAACAGCAACTGGAAGCCAACAAACTTACATGGTGAATATGAATATTAAGTTTACTTAACTGTAAACAGTATTAAATAAGAGGGTGGACTATGTGCTGTAACAAGCTATCACAATAGGGCTGCTGTCTCTTATTTCTGCATCTTCACACCCAATCCAGGTTCTTTTACTGCCATCACATGTTAACCAAATGTACTTTTTGACCTTTGCAAAACATAATGGTCCAGCGCTTATAGACAAACCAGAGTCTGTGAACTCCAGCAGAAGTTTTTGAGGAAATGTATTAGTTACCTTCCAGTCATCTGAACATTTCTTGCTGACACCAAAAGTCTTATCAAAAACAACAGATGCAGTGCTTGGGTTTTTCAAATTCTTCATGCAGCCCCGGAATGGAGGTGTGGATATATTAAAGCTGGTTTCAGGGAGGGGAAGGAAAAAGAGTTCAGTAGCCTGGCATTTTCAAAGCACACACCACTAGAGTAACCTATAAATGCTGACAATATAAGAAACAGAAAAAGAGAACAAGAGCAATCTTTCTTGTGTACACATGCTCATGCCGATCAAACCCAGTCTTTTGGATGGGCTACAACGAAGATCTCACCATTAGCCAAAAATCACAGATTATGATCATGTATTATACACTTGTTTTTTTTATGTCACATTAGATAGTCGATACAGAGCGTGAAAGAAATTGTGTAAGGAAAGAGTTTAGATGGAGTTTCCCTACAAAGCCTGTATATTACAGTCCTTTTATAGTTACTCACCGTTCCCGTAGAAAAGATGGAACTCCACCTAAGTAGTACTCAGTGAAATTGAAGACTTGTATGTTGACTCTAATACCAGGACTGACATACACAACCCCGTTTCTTCGGTCAAGCACCAAATTAATCTGAAATACATGAATAATGAGAATCACTTCACTTGGCAGAAACAAAAATCATTTACCTGATTAAAAGTACCTCGACAGAGCAGGACACAGTGATGTTTTTTCCCCTCCTCTTGTTTACTAGTGACTTAAATCAAGGATAACTGCAGTAGTTCAAAGGTACTTTGCAAGCTTTGGGCATTTAGTCAAAGCAAGGAAAACATTCAGCTCTCCAAATACAAGGTGAGGTTTTATTTTCATCTGAAAGATTGCCCTAAAACCACACCTCCCCTAAGATTCAGATACAGTCTTGTCTTTGTAGCTGAAGGTTCAGAAGCTGCTGCCTGATACAAAAGCTAAGTCAGTCAGCTGGCTGAAGGTAACTTAACCCAGTAAAGCATAAAGATTCCTTGCAGCAGACTCTGCAGTTTGCACTGTTTAGTTTGAAATATATTAAGGGGAAAGGGAGAACTAATCAACAAGGATATCAAAGTTTTTAACAATGTCTTTATGATTTCACTCTGGTAGTGCTACAAAAGAGCTGGACTGAAGCTAAGGAGACAAGCAACAACAAAGACTGCAAAAGAGTAATCTCTAAAACGATCAGCCCACCCTGAAGAAATAAACCCTTAGGTGGTGAAAACACTAATCTAACACTAATCTAATCTAAGTATGAAACTAATGCAAATAAAAGCATTGTACACAACTATCTTTATGTAAAACATTGCTCTGAAAAAATTTTCCTTTGGTGGTTTCACTGTTAAAACTTAACTATTCACATCAAAGCAGGACAAGAGAAAGATTCATTTTCACATCTCCAAACTAGTCTCCAGTGACTTGATTTCCTCACACAAAAGGAAAACTCCACAACTAAACTTTATAACAGGACAGTTTTAGTTAATGTGTATTTTTACAAATAGTGATTCCTTGATTCTTTAAAATTACATACTTGTTGATATGTTCCGTCATTTACAATTTTTTTGGCTTCTACTTCTTCTGGAGTTTTAGAGTCAAGTTTGTATCTCAAAGCTGTATGACCATTTCTAATGAGCACACTGATGAACTGATCCTGCAATAAAAAAAACAAACACACCAACACCATTAAACTGCTATAATTTCACATATATATTTCATTGTCATATGAATACTTTTAACAAAGCTATCTAATTGCTTCTAGAAAGCTTTCTGGGGAAAGGATAACACAAAGCCTAAAACTTATACTAATCAATCATAATTATTTTAAACTGTTATAAACAGATCTGCTATCAGCTTCAAATCTCTGAAGGACTTTGTGTCATTTCAAATGTCTACTGACTTTTTACAGCATGGAAAAATTATCCAGAATATGTCCCAGTGATTGCAATACGCCTACAAGATTATTAGATAAGTAGCAGCACTGTGGTTTTGAACATCTTTACAGGTATAAGTCATCATGTCACTTCCTTTATTCCTTCTTACTCTGTTTCCACATATATCTAGAGTTGGGAAGAGTGCACTACCAATTTTGAAGGATTTCAATATTCCAACGTTGGTTTGATCCCAATTACATTCCTCCCTTTGTGCCGCCAGTTCTGAATTCTCTGCATGGCCTAAATGGAGGAGCTTCTTGGAATCATTTTTTACTCAACCTTGACGAAGTGAGTACTCGGCAACCATGGCAGAATCATTGAATATCTCAAGCTGGAAGGGACCCATAAGTCCAACTCCCAGCTTCTTGCACAGCTACCTAAGACTAAACCATATGACATTAAACATACGGCAATATTTACTAATTTTCCACACAGATGAAAATAACACTTTTAAGACATTTCCTTGCAGTTATTACTATATCTAAGATGTTCTTTAATAAGCAAGATTTTTAAGATGTTCTTGCACTACAGAACAGACAAAAGCATTCCACACATTACCCCATTTGCTGCAAAGAACACAATGCCTTCATCTGCAGTCGTCTCAATTGTCTGCTCGTACCGAACTCGTTCGGCACTTCTTTCTCTTGCTGTGACACTGGCATAACCAGTGCCCTCAAAGTAGCTTTGGTCAGTCTCCTCTTTATATCTGTAATAATTCAATGCCACAGGTGTGAATATATGACAGCAAAAACTTCTACCACTTGGACTTACTGCCATTATAATTTTAAAGAAGCTTAAGTTAAAGAATTTGGTATAGGGCCAAATTCTGATCTAACCCAAGTAGAGAGAAAACCTTCTATCGGCTTCTATCAGATTCACAAATGGTCTTTAGAGAGGAAATCATTAATGACTGCATTTTTTTAACTTAATGTAATATTTACTTTAAAAAGTAAATGAACACCTTAGTCTACAAATTGTGTCTGTATTTTATAACACTTAAATTTGAACAGATGGAGATTGCCATAGATGTGAACCACGTCACTACTGAGGATTTTTTCTAAGAAATGTAATAATGACCAAGAGTTAGAAAAAAATCACCAATTTAGCTACAGTGGTTATTCTTCTACATGTGAAAGACAAAAATTCATAATGATAAAATCACAGAACTTGGAAACATTTCTGTGTTCATATCATACCGTCTGCAGGGTTGGACTTCAGTGGTGTTGAGATTAAAAGTCCTCTTGAAGTTATAAAGGCTGATAACACGCTCATTTAGGCTGTTTAATTCAATGCAGCCTTCATAATGAGGATAGTTGAGATTATCTGGAGGCTGCAAAATAGTGTCATTTAGACCATTTCATCTACATCAGTTAACAAAATTTTACATTGCTATCTAACTGCTAAGACTTATTGCAAATGTTTTTAAGACACAGAATATGACATTCTAAATATGTACATGCTTGCATAAAATATCCAAATTATCTGATATGACCCTAGGTGTACTGCAGCACAATTTAAAATAGAGTCACATGGATTGGGAACAGTATTTAGCAGGGCTGGACAGGTTTCATGCTTTCCTTGGCAATGAAATATCATTGTGCTCCCTTCTTTGAGCTCTAGCATAGTATAAGCCAGGCAGATTCTGTAGGAAGCAGCATCTCCTTGCATCTCATCTATTCCTACTGACATAGGTAAACTTTTACACATGCTTTTGAATGACTGCTAGGTCCCATCTTTACTTGTAAGAACAATCGGATGATTAACACAAAATCTCTTTAAAACACTAATAAACTCTTTACCCTAAAATCTGGTGGGTATCCTCCAACATAAAAGACAACACTGCTGGGATCAAGATTGAGGAGCATGTCACTGTCTCCACTGCTTGCACTCCTAGGGCTTTCATAATCTGGAGAAATTGATGTTGCTGCTTTGATGTACTTCAGCTTTGCATACTGGTAAATCCTAAAACCAAAACAGGCAGAATATCACATCACACGGATAAAAGACGTTATTAGCATGTTTTCAAGAAGATTGCTTTACACTGTGGGTCTTATACCTTTCAAATGTAACTTGATCCATAACAGCTTCCTCAGCCTTGCTTTGAGTCACCAATGACTGCACTCTCACTTCTCCATCACCACCTCCCAGGTTATAGACACAAGTAAGGTAACCACCTTTCACAGCCATACCAATGTAGTCCTTGGAAGCCTAAAAATAGCAAGTAAATAATAATTAATAAATGATTAATTATAATTAAGGTAAAATACAGCAGCACTTCCTCAGAGACATCATCATGCTGTGCATGAGTCATAAGAAATCCACCCACCTAATGATGAGAATTAAGTTTATCAGTTCTGGGAAGAAAAAATAATGCTATATGTTGCACTAATTCAATGAATATGGTTAAAAATTAACTGAAAAGTCATGTGTGACTTTTTACTTTTGTAACAACAGTATCTAAAATATTTTTCTCACTTGTAACATCTCCCAGCTAAAGCTATGAAAACATGACACCTTTACTAAGAATTAGACTCAACACCTGTGACACAAAAAGATGTTCAGAACAACACTCAGGGAAGGACAATGGTTCCTGCTGAGGTGACTAGGAGCATTTTCCCCATAAGTCACATTTTATTTGTTCAAGAGACTGTATTTCAGAAGTAACCATTAAAATGCTTTCAACAGATGTTTTGGCTAGTTATTCAGAGGATAAAAAGATGAAATCCAGTGTAGAACAAATTCCCCTGAACAGTTTTCTGTGTAAGCACAAGGCTTACTACAGATACAGCTCCTGTCAAATAACAAGAATAGAAACCACATGCAGGAAATTTTTTCAATGTTTGATGGTGATTGAGCAAGCCTAAATGCACAAGCAGGTCTGCATTATTCTGCATACTTAGAAGACAAAAAAATTAAGAGCTGAGGGGCTGAATTTTAAAACTGGAATAATCACTTTTTTAACCAAAAGAGAAACTCAGAGTGACTTATATTGTGAAAAGAGTCTAAGCTCTGAGGCAGGAGTTGGGCTGAGTTTGGGCTGACTGCTGCAGAAACTGACAGGTGTGATAAGAATGTGTGATGGTATCCATGATGGAGAAGTAACTTCCAAAGGAGCAAAAGAGCAAAGCAAAGGACAAGGCTCAGCCGCTTGTTAGTTACTTTGCCAGGGAAGGAATGAACATAACACTTCTACCATGACATAAATACAATTTTAAAGAAACAGGCCAATAGTAGCTACAAATTTCAGTCAGAAAAGCTCACTTCCCATCCTTTTCTCAAAACATGATATCTGGTCCTAAAATCAGATCGAATATCAAAATATACCTACATTTTTATTACCGAGGTATAGGACAAACCTATTTGCCCTCTGCTGGCTGTCTGTACTTTGCTGAGGTCTTTGGATGAACAAGGAAAGTGAAGTATAGCCCTTCAGGTCTTCAAGGTTGCTTGGAGGTCGAATCTCTACCCCAGAGCTGCCATTGAACCTCATGGGAATAGCAACCTGTTAAGAATACAAAAGTTGAGTATGTTACAATTAACTATTGCTACCACTGGTGTGTTTAATTGCAAAGTAACCCATTACACACCCTAGTCATGTTACATCCATTAATTACCACAGATTTAGACTCTGATCCTACCAAACAAAATAACTAGGAAACAGAGTGGATAATGCAGTATCTGTATTATCAATACTTAGCACTTTTTAATTCCAGACATCAATTAATCAACCCTTACTGTGCCTCTGTACCTTCAATACATGGACAGGGAAGGATGTGCCCTGCAGCTCTGAAGAGCAAGGCTATGAATTATTCAGATGTCTACAAACACATCCTGGTCCTTCACTTAGCTGGACTTGACTATCTGTTGGGAATTACAATGCACCTCTGATATCATAAAGACACATCCTATTCCAGCTAAATACACCATGATCACTGATTCCTCTTATTCACTGTAACTCTAGGCTATTTGTGATGATCTCAGGGATGGTTCTTAGTACCTGAGACCACACTATCACTTCAGCAACTACAGCAGTTCCTTAAATGAGAAAGGGCAGTCTAATAAGGTGCCAGTAGCCAATTTCTAACATTTTGGAGCAACAGGAGTAACAGGGCTGCACAACTTCTTTGGCAGCATCAGAGCTTTCAATTGACCACATATGGGTGGAGAGCCCTGTCTCTAAACAGCAGAGCCAACTCTGTCCCTGCTGCCAAAGCCACCACAATGTACCTTGGAAGGCAAGAGGATGCTGTACAAATAAATATTACAGAGATGCCCTGGGGAAAAAAAACTAATGGGAAAAATATGTAGCAGGATGCTACTGCATCCAGTAATTTTTATGTATGAGTTATTATGCTTCCCATCACCACAGTTACTTCAGTTGCTGGGTAGTGCTGTTGAATAAAACTTATGTCTGGTCTTTCACACACATTGAAATAAAATCATTTGGAAAGAGGAATGAAAGTAGTGTTGTGTATCCAAACCACTGAGGTCAAGCACAATTGCAATGCTCAGGACAGACCTTATTTGCAGCATCTCTTGCCTGCTGAATCAGCTCTCTTATGCGATTTATGTTCTCAGAGATGTTGCTGATTGGCATCAGCTGTTGGTTGATACTCTTGATCTTGCTGAACAGATCTGGAAGTTGGTTTGTCAAATTTTTTACTGCAATAAAAAAAAGGAAATAGTTGATATTAAAAAGGAGGAGGAAAACAAGATGCAAAAATATGGCATCACTACACAATTATCAGAAAAAGCAGTGGACAGGGTAATGACAAAACAGTTTTGACTGGTCCTACAATATTAGGAAGTTCTCACTAAAAGTAGCAGTTTATACAGAGGTTATTGAAATCCTGAAATTTTTGGGTAAAGGTATTTGCAGAAGCGGCCACAATCAGCACTTCCAAAAATGTTTTAGGTAAAGGTCCAGAAAAAAGTATTAAATAGAACAGCAATGAGGTCTCTGGCATCATTACCCAGTGGCTCTGGATGCTAGAGGAGAATGAGGATAAAGGAGAGCAGATAGGACTCAGACGCATAGCATCTCCTACTGTCAGGGAGTGAATAATGGGGTAAGCAGATTGCTAGCCTGACTGAGTAGGGCATGAATTATATTCTTGTGTCAAGGTTGCTAATTAGCACAGTTTCATAGTGTCTTATGGTATCTGGCCAGGTTATTTAAGAAAAAAGAAAATATGATGAGAATTTTAACTTTTTTCATAATAGGAAACAATTTCTCATCTCCAACCCAATGATGCAGAAGGCAAATAAAATGAAATGTAGACCTTTTGTTTTTTCTAAATATGACTTCTAAACCGGTTTTGTAACTGCAGGGATGACTTACAATGCTGCAATACCATGCAGGACTAGCTCTTGTATTTACATAATTTAAAATGTTTTTATCTTACTTGACTTTAACAGATAAAGCTGCTGAGAAGATGTAAAATGAAGTTGCTTGGGAATGTGATTGTCCCTTATTTTGTATTCAGCACTGCCTCTGTGCAATCCTTTTCACTTAATTTCAGTTAACAGACATGTAGCCTAAGCTAATAGTCTAGGGCCCTTCTCTAGCCAATGCAGTAGAAAATCACATAATAACAGAGCAGCTGGAAGAGCTCTGGAGGTCACAGTGTCTAACCCCGGTGTTCAAGCAGGGCCAGCCAGGGCCAGTAGCCCAGAATTGTGTCTAGGCAGGCTTCTGAATATTCCTGAGGATGAGACTCAGAGACAACCTCTCTGGGCAGCCTGTGCCAGTACTCAGTCCCCTCACAGTAAAAGAACTGTTTTGTCATGTTCAGAGGGAATCTCCTGTGTTTAAACCTTTTACCCCAGGGGCACATTGCAGGCTCATCTTCAACTTCATGCCCACCAAGACCCTGAGGCCCTTTCCTACAAAGCTTTTTTCCAGCTTGGCCACTTGCTCAGCCTATACTGGTACATAGGTTTATTTCTCCTCAGGTCCAGGACTTCTCCTTGGACTTCAAGAGGTTCCTGGCAGTTTATTTCCACAGCCTGTTGAGGTTTGTCTGGATGGCAGCACAACCCTCTGGTGTATCAGCCACTCCTTCCAGTTTAGTGTTAGGAGCAAACGTGCTGAGGCACACTCTGCCTCATCATCCAGATCGTTAATAACGATGTTGAACAGGATCAGACCCAGTATTGACCCCTGAGGTCCCCCATTAGCAACTGGCCTCCAAATCTTTAAAGACCAGTCATGGCACTAACTTTTAACACATAGCACAGAATGGCCTGAGTCACTTTCTGCTGTGCCTGTCCCTTTCTACTGGCCATAAAAGAAGTTCAGAATACTACCTTAGGGTACGTGCCTAACTCTTCAGTGATTAAAGCTCCTGCTGCAAACTGGCCATGGTCACCCTTACAGGGATTTGGTAGGTCCCTCACAGCACCTGCAATACCTGAATTGTTTGCCTCCATCAGTGCTTTATTGAAGGTGGCACTCTGTGTGCTTCCATAGTTACTCTTAATTCTTTCCACTTCTGCTTCAATTGGGACCAGTTCACCCAACACACTATTGGTGACAGAGTTGGCATCTTCTGCCATGTTCCTTGCACTGGTGATGATGCTGTCAATGTCATCTGAAACAGACAGAAATGAACATGCAAATTCTTACAATAATAGATAAAAGGGGCAGGCCAGAAGTGATCCATAAGTAACAAACCTCTGTTTATCCCGTTGAGATTGTTTTGAGCAGTGACAAGATCAATTTTCAGTGCATTTGTCTTTCCATCAGCAACATCAAGTCTTTGCTTTAGGTCTTCCAGGTTAGGACCAATAGCTGCAAAACAGTGAAAGCCCCATGAGAATTTCAAAGAAAAATATCAATTTTCTGTTGGACAGATGGTGTTGCAGCACTTGTCTGTACTCTTACACAGCTCATGCTGCCACTGAGCATTGAGTCCACTGCAAAACAAGCACAAGGCAAAGAATTTGCTGGACAGGAGGACTGCAAAGGCGTATAGCATAGCAGGAGCCAGAAATCTACTTTCTTGCCTTTTTGCCATGGGAATAACTATGACAAAAAGTCCCACTGTAATGGAACTTGCATTTTTTTTGTTGAACAAGTGCTGAAGATGTGAAAATTTATGGTTCAAGGAACGTTTCTCACACTGTGCCAACATTTCTAGTACCACTTGCTTTCTTAGTACCTTGCAATGTCCTTTTAGTCTCCTGTGCTTGATCCATGAGTGCACTGCTCTCAGTTTTTAACCTTGCAGCTTTTCCTGATAGGTCTTCTCTCTTCACAGTCTGACAATAGAAGCATGGTACTGTAAGATCACTTGGTAATTACATTAAAATTTAAAGAGTAAAAGAGAGAGCCCAATCCAATTTAAAGAAACCCCCAACTCTACTGAGATGTAATCTGAAGAACGTAACCTTTAGCAACAACTACCCAGGTTAATTCAAGCATACTACAACCTTGGTCTTTAGCAATCTTCAGACAGATTTTAAGGCATTAGGAGGAAATTACCAGCATACAGCTGTTGGATGCTATATCTCTGCTGAAGAGCTTGTGGGTATTAGTAATGCAGAGTAAAAGAGAATACATGAAATCACCTGCAGTGACTACCATGCTTGCCTTGTAAGAGCTCTTTATTTTTCACTGAAAGCAACAGTCAGTACTCACATGCCTTTCCCAGAAAGGCAGTAATTGGCCTGGTTAGTGCTGAGCCAAGACTAATTATTCAACATGCAGAACAGCAACTCATACAAAAAGTCACAGAAAAATAAAGCATGCCAAGACACATGGGTGTTTGATTTTGGGGCCTCTGAGATAGTTAAAGAAAATAGACCCCTGGTTGTAACAAGTTTACAGTGATGTGGACACTCACTGATACTTACCGATAAAGCTGAGTCAGCTGCTTTCCCAGCTTGGTTGGCTGCCTCCTCTGCTGCCTTGATGGCACCAATAATATTGTCATAGGCAGTAGAAGCTTCCACAGCACAGCCTACCAACTCGTCCTTCCTGGCACTGTTCTTTATCCTGTGGGAAACAGGGTGAAAAATGCAGCCTTCTTCCAAGGCTGTGAGATGGATTCCAAACAGATCTGAACTCGGTATTTTCTAAGTAACACCAACACAGAAAATGATTTTCAATTAGATCTGTGACTTCATTCTACAAAAAATATCAAATTTGGAGATAGACCAACATGGAAAGACTCTTCAGAAAACAGGATAAGTTCAAGCATATGGAAAAGCACAGCTGTGAGACTCCAAAGCAGCCTTCAAATGATTAAGATGGAGAGAATTCACCAAAGCATATGTCAATAATAAGGTGCCTCAATCCCAGCCCTCCAAATACAATTAAGAGGAATTCAGAGAATTGTAGATGTCAGATCATGGAGTAACTACAACACCTTTTGTGTTTTCCCCAAGAACCAGCACAGCAGCTCTGGAATCAGAAACAACAGACAAAATCTCTTCTATCCACTCCCTGTGAGCTATACAGCTATCTAGTACTAGCTGCCTTGTATTTGTGAGAACAGTGCCTTCTTAGTTTTCAGTGTGATTTTTTTCAATTAACAAAAAAAGTAATGAAAATGTGGGTTTTTTACCCAAGAATTTTCCAGCCGTTAGGTATTCTGGAATTTAACTTTCTGAAACTTTGTAGTTGGTGCTATGACAAAATGCAAACAATTTGACCAGGGAAAAGTAAATCAGGATCTCACTTTTTTTTTTCGTTTTGTTCTGATGGATCACAGAAGGCCTCCAAAACCCCACTCATAATTCCAGTCCAAAGTACAAATAATGGAGAGAGAAATGCTTAATTCCTATCAAGTTTATAATATTTTTGCCTTTTGAGAAGATTCCTAGAAGGATGAGAAAACCAATGGAGGTCTTTTCCTCCATAGTGCTGAGCAGGCATGTCTGAAGACTTCCAAGACAGCCATTTATTCAAATTATTTGCCTCAATTCTTTCATACCATATAAGCATCCCTGAGTACGAGTACCTGAAATAACTCTACAAAAATATTCTAAACATCTTCCCACTCTGTACATGAGGATTTTCTCTTACTAGTAAGATGTTAATGAAGTGTTAGTACAGTAGTATAAAACAGTATTACATGAGTTCACACTTCTGGGGGGGAAACAACCAGGAAAAACACAGGAAGATGTGGGTTTTGGAAAAAAAGAAAACTTCTGTAAATCATGAAGAAGCAGAAAGAGACCAACCGAATTTCTCTCTAGTTTTGCAAACAGTTACAAAAGCAAGTGAAATTACAGATCATTACAACCACTCTTTTTGTTCTGTACAAAAATTACTCATTTACAGGAATGGCAACATACTCTTCCAGTTGTTTTGCCAAATCTTGCAAAGATTTGGCATGCTCCTCGGCCCTCACCACCAGTGGTTCTTTGCTTGCTGATGAGAGATTTGCCACTTTTTCATTCATGTCCTTCCTTGCTCCATCCAGCTGAGCAGCCAGGATTTCATATTCCTATGGTTTTAAAAAGATATAATTTTATTTGCATTTGTACATGTTTAATTTTGTCCATGTATACTTCAGTGTTACACATACCTTGCACCTGAGGAGACCAAAGGGAAAAACATTCCCTCCCAGCTCATTCTGCAGGTTACTGGAGTCATTACATTATGCTTCCAGACCCATTACATAAAAGCTGAGTCAGAGCAAAGACCCTTCTAGCCTAGTATCTTGCCCCTCTGACAGTGGCTAAAAGCAATTAACCAGAAAGAAAGACAAGAATACCACAATTGCTTATGGTACTTCTCACAGATGTTCTCCCAGATTCTGATATCTGCAGTTCAGTGTCTTCCTCAGACACATCACAGTCCCCAACAAGCTTCTCTTACAGAAACCTGTGCAGGCAGGCAGACTCCTCATACATCCAGGATGGGCTGTGGGATCCTTTCTTTCTTGACTGGCTCAGATAAGCTTCATCTCTGAGAAGATATTGAGGTTTTTTACCTTCTCTTAAACTTTACCTCTTTGCTCTCTTGCAATAATCCAAGTACACTCTTAGCTTGTGTCAGGGAAGACCGGGCTGAGTTCAGAATATCCAGGACACCATAATGTTGCGCATTTGTCTCTTCAATCCGTTTCTGAGGAAAAATGAGAAGTTGGACAACATGTGATTGAGTTAAGAAAAGGGGCAGGAAAAGCTGTATCTTGAAACCAAAATTAAAAACAAAACAAAACAAACCCAAACCTAAATCTAGCTGGCAGTAGGATTTACCAAGGGTACAGTCACTTTTTTTTATTAAATGAGTGTGCTAAACCAGTGATACATTTCAACAAGACCACAATTAAGAGAAGGTGTCCTGCAGCACATTTATTCCTTGTACTATTTTACCAGCTCTAAAATTCAAATACTGCTAAGTAATAACAGCTGTTCCTTGTCATGATGAGACCTCAGAAGCTGTTATGTGGAACACTAATCCCAAATAATTTAACAGTACTGCACCCATTTTTGCTCCCATCTTTCATGGCTGTTAAAGCTAAATACTTTGAAGAACTTACTATGAAAAGTACATCAGCATCAGGAATTTGGTCTTGAAAAGGAAACAAAAGCACTAGTGGCAGCTGGAAAGAAGTGCTGGGAAGAGACTGTCCTTCCCTGCTCTCATCAGAACTATGTCTAGGTCACACTGTTCTGGTCACACAAAGAGACCATAAGCAGCAGAACACACATTTACACCTGTACACACCCATCAGAAGACAGAAAGGGACCCTGAAGCAAGTCTATAAAGCATTAGTGCTGCTTAGCTTTGTGAGGTCAAAAGCAGCAACCAAAACCACTTCTTCTCTTCTGAGGTTTAATTTTTTTTTCTCCTGATTCCCAACATTACCTTAATGTCTTCTAACAGAACTGTGTTGTCTCTGTTTAAGCCTTCAGCCTGCTTGACTTGAGCTGTCGCATTGTTCAGAGCTTCACGAAGGTCAGTGATTTTGGATTCATATTCATTCAGTGCATCCCTCACAACTTTAATAAGCCCACGATTCTCTTGGTGGTACTTCTGTAGTTCATTCTTAATACGTGCCAGTACTGCAGTATCAGGATCAGGACCAGAAAGGAAAGTTTTGTTCAGAGAAGAAAGGGACCAGAACAAACTTTATTAAAAATGCCTTGACATTTCGGATTATAAAGCTGTACTTTTGTGAACTGAGCATCTTCTGCAATGCTAATTTCAGTGCTACTATAGCAAAGATACTATTCAGCATCTCGCTGGATCAAATCTGCTCACTAGTTTGCTGCTGCAGACACAGAACACAGATAAATGTTCTCTTAATTAAGTAAGGATGATGCCGATCTGAAAATACTAATTTTCTTTTTTATATGAAAATAACATAATTTCATCAACAATTCCATCTACAATGTAGACATCTACAACTGCACTAGTTATCAAAGCCTCCTCTGTAATCAATGGAGAGATAAAAGCACATTTAATTTCAAAGAATATAGGAACACAAAAGATGTCAAATTAATCACACTCTTCAGCATGCCCATTTCACTGCTGACAAAATAGAATACAGAAGAGTCATTCAGAGGTAGGTATCAATGCTAAAGGTTGATGGAAATTAACTGTCACTCATATGGGTGACATTCACATTCCACATTCCTCCACTATGCCCCTGGTTTGGAGATTAAGCCTGCAACTCTTCTTGATGTCTGGAATCAAGTTTCTGAACGTCCCAGTCAAACACTTGCAAAGAACATGACAAGGAGTACAACTAGTGCAACTAGAACTCCTGAACTTCCTCGTCCTTGTATGACCTGGCCCTTGGACTACTCTAGCAATTTCTGAAAATCTGTTGTTAAATTAAACATGCAGTTCCTCTAAAATAACTCTGTGTACCACTGCCTATCTCTTACAATACACAGAAGTATTGCATAGGTGTGTTAAGATGGGCTACATCTTTATTTTACTTAGTTTGATCTAGTTACAAAAGAAGGATCTAATGGGTTTCTTCTCAGCTCAACCCATTTTCTTCCATAACACACTAAAAATGCCCTTAAATCCCCTCCAGAATGACCGCTTTCCTGTTGACTAACAACAGCTTCAAATCTCAGGGATACACTGCAAAAGGCCCCTCCCTCTACTCCAACCCTATCAATAATTCTTCAGACTTAAGACTGATCTTTCCAGAAAGTCAGAAGCTGAGAGAAGCAGCACTTACAGCGCTGAGCTTCCGTCCTCTCCTTCTCTGCCTCGGCCTGAAGCTGGCCGAAGTTGCGGCTCCGCATCTCGGCCATCATGCGCTGCGCTTCGGCCAGCTCCTCAGAGGCATCTCCCAGGGGCAGGTTGTTCCCTTCTGCGTTTGTGCCAGCTACCTGTTCCAAGAACACTGAAAGAAAAGCACTGTCAAAGTTAAAAACAGGATGTGCTTAAGCCTGTTCAAGATTCCCAAATGACAGAGCCAACATCTTCTCTGAGATGGATCTGCTTCGTTAATGAATTCAGGAATAGGCATGTCTTTATTTTTTCCTTAATGAAACTGATCCATTTTCCATTAATTTTATTAAGATGAAAAGTATCCTATGACACACAACCAGAGAGAGCAAGATGGCATTGGCCTTGAAATTTGTCCCAAATGACCAAGTTCACAGCAATAATTTTAAGCTTCTAACTTTAAAGAGCCCATGATAACAACCCAAAACAAAGTTAGACTTGAAATACTCTTCAAGTCTAGGATAGTCAGATTTGTTGCTTGAAATGTCTCTGTAGTGAATCTTCTCTGTCCCTTTTCACTTCATAGGGAAGGTAGGGTCCTAAACTAACATTATATATTAGATTTCTAATAGGAAGAGTGAATACTAGAGCCGTGACTAAATTCTGATTTACAAAGTTGTTTTCTAAGAAAATCTCTTATGTGTAATTAAGAATATTGCAAATAAGCTGAAAAGATGCTATAAAACAAAACATGAGTTAGAAATTATTTTTTACCTCGTATATTGTTGACCACTACTTGTATTTGTGAAACCAAATCCTTTCCTTTCTGATGAGTTTGGCCAAAATTGTCAAATAATCTCTCAGCTTCTTTGTAGTTCATTTCAGCCTAGCAAGGAAAAAAACGATTAGATTTAAAGTATCTGGATACAGCATGCTAACACGTAGTCAGGAGACATGTACTTTTAATTGATTTGGTAAGTCACCTTTTCCTGGAGAGCATTTACATCACGATTTAGTTTAACAAATTCTGTCTCCAACTCATCTACCTTAGAACCTTGATTATGAACAACAGAACGGTAATTGTTCAATAAGACCTGAAAAGAAAGGAAAAAATTAATCCAATAAGTCACCTACTGCACAGCAGACAAAAAGCAAAAATGTCACTGGATTAAATCTTTACCCAAGGTAAATAAAAGCGGAATTACTGATATGAAAACAATTCCTTCCCAAAACCTGAGGGTTTTATCTGGAACTATAGCAACTGCTATTCCAACCAAAGAACATTTTTTTAGAATGAATTTTGGTAATGGCAAGGGGAATGTTGAGGGTTTTCGGATGCAGAGACATGAAGTGCTTGAAATAGACATAGCTAGAGGGACACCTCAGAGGTTAACTTCCGAAGGGAGCAGGACTCAGAAAACTGTTTCAGAGCATGACATGGAAACCTACACAGCTACCTTATAACAGGTGAAGTCCAGTGCTGCCAACATCTGGTATTTGGAATCCAGAGTTGATGCATGTGACAAAACCAGGGCAAAGGTTCCTGGGTTCATTGCCTATCCACTTAAACTGAAACTCGCTTTTCTGTGTTTCTGTGTGCCTACCTTTAAGTCCTTGATGCGTGTTTCCAGGTCTCTCATCTGCTCCAGAGTGTGGGTACTTGCATGGACATTTTGCAGCTGAGACTTGGTGAGCTGAAGCTCATCACCTATTGTGCTCAAATCCTTCAGCAGTGTAATCACACAGCTGTCACAGGCTGGAGGGAGCAGTGGAAATCAATACATATCCTTGATATTTTACACAGAGAACATTCAACTAAACACATTAGTAATGGTGGAAAAGCTTTGAAGCTTGTCACCTGGTGTAGTCAGAAGAACAAAGGCAACAACAAAGCCTGCAGCATTAAGGAAAGTGACTTAAGTCAGAAGTAAGGAGGAGGTTTCATTTACATCTGACTAGATGAGCACCTCTTTAATCATTTTTCCAAGTATCTGGTTGAATGTTTGCTTTTAAAACATTCATTGCAGGATATCTCAGTCCTTTTTAAACTATGTCACCCTTAAAAGAGTCAGCAGTACGTATTCAGAGCCAGCTGAAAGTGATCCAACTGCAGTTCTATTTTAGCACTTACCATCACAATCTTCATTGGGATCCACATCTTTTGGTTCATTATTGAAACATTCTGAAATCACAAGATTAGTCATTAGTAACCAAAGTCTTCTTATGGAAATACTACTGCATTTTTCCCCTCACTTTTCATGTTTAAAGCATGATGCTGCCATTAAAACATGATGTTGCCCTTTCATAAATCCATACCCACTGTGAATGAGCTGAAATGCTCAGAAGGCTTGAGCACGCCAGAACATTCAACTCCCACTAATGCCTTGATGAATGCAACACCTTTTCCATCCCTCAAAGGAAACCTACTGTAATCCCACAATATATGCTAATTGGATAGGAGCAGGAGACCCTCTCAAATGTATTGCCAGAATTTGCCTAGAATAACACCACCAGGACTGGAGACAAGATTATATTGCTAAAGCACTTCACCCAGGACATATGTTCAAACCCCTTTATCTACTTCAGTATCCAGGTTAAAACCACAGGTTCTGATTCCCCAAAGAATGTCTTACCCACAAGGAACTGAGAAATATTTATGGCCTTCCTTCATGCCTGCCACAGCTTGCAAGATTAAGGTATTAATCAAGCTTGAGAGAAATCCACAGTGTGCGTGCATGGATGGAGGTGCCATACGTAAGACAAGGCAAGGAGCTTGGATCACAGATGCAGGTCGCATAGAACAAACATTGCCCTCAGACTTTCCAACAAGCCAGCACAGATGATTTCCTGTCCAATGCACTCTTTTGTTTGGTTTTTACAAACCCTTTATAAGAAGCTTAACAGTCTCCAGGTGCATGTGGAGTAACATCCTAGGATACTAACTTCTAGGATACAGGAGAGGAACTGGCTCCTAAAAATGTCATCATATAGGACAGGAATCTCCCCATCTTGATGCCCAAGTTCCTTTTACAGGCTTGGTCCCACTGCCAAGCTGTCATCTCCTCTTGAAAATGAAAAGGGCCATGCGTCTTGGTCAAAGATTGAACCCGATGATCTTGAAAGTCTTTTTCCAACCTTAATGATTCTATGTCATTTACTCTAAGGGAAAAGGATGCACTCAGTATAGGCTGCCACTGTCAAGAGTCATCAACAGCTTGCAGCTTGTGAGAGGATACAGTGATAAAATTGGACCTGAACTTTACCAGCAGCATGAAACAGCCTGGAACAAACTGCCTAGCTGTGCCATTTCCTTTGGCACTTGCACATTAAGTCGTCAGGAAGTTAAACAGGGTTGGTAGTGATTACTGCTGCCAGAAGGAGACATATCATAAAGAATTTTTAAGAGAATGAAGGAAATTCCTCTGAAATTCAGACATCCCTGCAGTTCTGCTGTTGTGTAGTTCAGCTAACAGCAGGCACATTTCAGCTGTCACCGTGAAGTACCAATCAAATAAAACTATTATTACAGCTTGTACACCAACAGCATCAGCCAAGAAATGGTGAAGTGCTGGCCAAGCACCGAACACCACGCAAAGGGAACCTGCTAGAAGATGCTGTGCCAGTGATCACAGAGGGGCTTATTCCTAATGCAGAGAAAGGAACTAATGCTGATCAGGAGGTGTAGCTCGAGGAAAACAAACGGGCTTGTTGAATATTGCCCTATGGATTAGTTTGTCCTGGCAAACTGTTGCTTCAAAAAAGAAAGGAATGATAAAACATCAAACACTGCTTGGATTTGTTCCATACAAGGTATAATAGAGCTGTTTTACTTCAATGATTAAATATGAAATGAGAGCAAACTATTGAAAAATTGCACCAGCTGCCAACAGCAGTTCACATCACCTGCTGTTTCTGATTTCTGTGGCCAAGGACAGACAATGGGTTCCTTGCAGTTACTAGACTGCAGGATGAACAACAGTGCAGAGAAATTAGGAGTACAGAAATATTTGGAGCTATTAGTTGGAAACTTTGCTAACATATGAGGAAGAAAATCTGTCTACAGGGAAGGAAAAGTGAAATGTTATTGGTGAATGAAAATATGGGAGAATCGAGGACATTTCAGGAGCAGTGGCCTCTGTATTTCTTAATATAAAGGAGTATCCTAAGGGACTGAGGTGAATCAAGGTAAAGACATTCTGAGGAATGTAAGATCAGGCTCTTTATTTCAGAATTCTAATAGATAAAGCAAACCTATGCCCATGGCATTATGTAAGAGCCTACTAGTAGTGAAGTACACGTGTGACTGATTCTGGGAAATCATTAATGTTTTAGCTAGAAGAGCAGTGTAGCAGGATTTATAAAAGAGACTCCCTGAGTCAGGTTCTAACTTCCATTGCAAATGCAGAAATCTTGGATACCTAAGATGGCAGTGCCTGAAGCAGAAGCTGAAGATTTCACTAAACTGTGCCAAATACATTTTAAAAAGACATTTTGAGGATGCTCAGTTTCCTAAATCCGTAAGACAGACTGGCAGGATATGATTTAACCCTGTCAGCAAAGGAACCATGATATATTTAAAAACACTGCCATGAAACAAAAACAAAAAGTTGGCAGTATTTATGGAGGGAAATACAAGACAAAACCATTTAGAAGGGTAAACCTGATGACTCATGGACAGCCCTTCTATTACTGTGGTGCTGTGTTTTAGGAAATCTTACATTTTGTAAAAAAATTATCTACATGTCTTGTAAGCCTAGATCTTTCTTTCAGTTCAGTTTATCCAATACCTTCCTTCTTTTCCTTCTTTGCTTCCCAAAGAGAAAACAATGCTCCCCCTTCCATTCAGATCAATGCTCCATTCACAGGCTCTCACATACCTCCAGTCAGGTGGTCACAGCTAGCCAGCTGTCCATTATTATTACAGTTACATTTCTGACAGAAGCCTTCATATTTTTGTGGATTTCCAAAATATCCAGGAGCACAGCTAGATAAGGAGATACAAGTAATATTTATTAAATAGTTGAAGCTAATTTTGTGGAATATACTTTCCCTTGAGATAAAAACCCAGTTATTTGCCTGAAGAAACTTTCAAGAACTTTTGATTTCATGTCTTGACTTAGACAGAAATAATATATTTTTGGTTTACAGTATCCTCTGCACTATGCTAAAAATATCTTTGTGAATGCTGCAGATTTTTTTTTCTAAAAATAAAAGAACTCCCACAGTGCTCTTGCAGGAATAATTCACTTAATCTGACAAGAATTTGAAAAGGCTTAGCCAAGAAAACCACATAATTCTGGTCTGTGATCCCACCAGAAAACATGTACTGAGGGGGATCACACTGCAAGCATAGCTGAGATTTCAAACAGCAACAGCACTAAATGACATCATCACCCTTCTGCTGTGTGATACCCCCTCTTGCCTCCTGCCAGCAAAGCAGTCTGTGTGACTGAGCTCGAAATATTTTAAAGGTAAAATACATTGTTCACACTGGATAGCTACCATTCCCAGAAGTTACTCTGTGGTAAGATCTGTAAGGGTGATAATGCGGGATCAAAGGGCCATGATGAGCAGCTGAGGTACAGCTACACCTGGAACAGAAAATACCTATAACCTGCAGATTTGACAGGGTCAAAGGCACCAGTTTTGAAGGACAAGACCAGGTCCTACTGCAGGTCCTGTCTTCAGATGCGACATCATGACTTACTTAGCCTCAAATTTCCAAACCAGACAACACCACTCCATTACACTTCAATTCTCTCTGGATTTGAAACTCAGTGAAATTGGTTCCTCTGCCTGCCTGAAACTGCCATGCTGTTCCTCTCTTGCTTTGCCAGACTGCTGCAATATTCCAGCAAAAGAGATGGCTTCAGCCTGGTGTGTGTAATTGCCAACTGAGGAGCACACCAGAATGATTTGGGATGAAGGGTATGGTGCTACATGGTTGCTGTTGAGGCACCATCGTACACACTGGAGGAAAAAGGGAAATGTTTTTAACTTGAAAAGGGGTGAAATAAGAGGGAGTTATTATTACCAGAGTGCAGGATGAGGCAAGGCATAGGGCACTTCAGCAAAGAGGCAGACACCTCTTGTCAGTAAAAATGGTGCAGTCAGTCTGTGGAGAATTGCTTACATTTCCCCAGGGAGTACTGGGTTTGTGACTGGAAATCACACCACAGCACCACTCTTCAGCAGCTGTTCATATAAATAGTTGCTTCTTATGGACATACATACTGTGCACAGGTGCATGTCCATATGTCCACGTGTCTATCCCAATAGAGACATCCCTCCTTTTATCATCTCTCCAAACTCTTGGTTTTGAGAAACAGGTTACTCACCGCTCACAGCGAGCTCCGGTGTAGCCTTCTTTGCAGAGACACTGGATTTCTTCACCATTTGCCACACAGCCAACTGCAAATCTTTGAGAAGAAGCAAAAACATTATTGTAGCACATGATCAAATAGGTTTGACACTCTAGAGGTTCAGCTTAATGACTTTCAGATTAAAAAGTTTTTACACCACCAAATTACTTCTCAGCTAATTTAATTGCCTCTAGATAGTTCATTGTGACTAATTCTTTGAAGTTTCATATTTTTTGTGCAAATCATTTCCTTAGACTCAAAAAATTATAACTGCCTGGCCCTGTGGACTGAGTATAATAGTTCACTACCCAAAGGAATTCCTAAAATAAACCCTAATAGTGATGTCATAAAACAAGTCTGGGTAGCTATTTTATCTTAGTAGGCAAGAACCAATACCCTGTGCTAGACAGACCTTTCCTCATGTTTATACATCTTTTTTCTTTTATTTTATTTTCAATGGGTGGATCCATTAAAGGATATTTTTATGTAGCTAGTGTTTTTAAGGCATTTTTTAACCAAGGCAAAGTAGAGTTGTGCACAGTTTTTGGAATCCCAAGGATGTGGTTAACACAATGAACTTTTTTCTCTGCTCTTTCAAGCAGATTTGTCTGGATTCGAAGTTCAATGTTTGTGAAGGAGAAGGCAGGAGGTGAAACAGGGTCATGTTTCATTTTCTGAAAATGAAATGAAATATCAGGGCTATTTTCATTTTTTAAAGTATTGGATAAAGCAAGTCTGTGTATCAAAGAGAGAGGTCTGCACTAAGAATTACTGGAATTTGAGTGGATGGAAAATTGTCAACTCCAGTAATGCCAGGTGGGGTGCATTTCCTATGTCAAGAATGATATTCACCACCCTAATCTGCAGTTATGAAACTGCACAGGTTTATGGTCTCCCTAGATATTTCAGAGCTCTGAAGGCAAACAATGACTAAAACATGTTCAGTCAGCCTCAGGCAAGCACCTGCAGAAGAGGCTGTCAAAACCAGATCTGTCTGAGAGTCCTCTGATAAATTATAAACCTGTCTTTTGTCTGGTGGTGTAAATCTCCTACTTAAGGTTATGTGGTGTGTGCTAATGCACCTGGCAAATACCATGTGGTGCCTTTAGCAATTTATAGCTTAGGGTTTGTTTAGTTTTTTTTAAATTTGATTTTATTTACCATGTTTAGAAGTGACCAACGATGACAATCTGGCTAAACATACCATGCATTTAAAATGCAATTAACTGCTCAGTTTTGAAAGCCTGACAACCTTATTAGATACAAATAAGTTTCATTTTTTCACTTTTCATCTCAGTATATTTGCACTTCAAACAGAACTTTGACAGGAAAAGCAATCATACTTTTCTAGAGATCTAGATATATGCTTAAGACCTTAAATGTTTTTGCATCTTAATAATTTTTCTGAATTCCTATAAAAGGCTTGTTTCACTGTTTTCTCTTATCTCCTAGCCAGAGTAATGGTGCTAAACATTTTGCATTCCAGTAAAAAATAAGGATTCTGGATATGCCCAGTAAGGGAAAAGTCCTCATTGCATATTTCTCACTATAAGGAGAAGGAAGTACTGGTGGCTTTGAAAAAAAGCCCACTTCTACTGTCTGGGTCTCCCCAAGGCTATGAGCAGTGTGCCTCTGAAGTTCAGGATCTGAATGAGAATTGGAATATTCATCTTATTAAAAAAGGCAATGCTGTGAGACAGACCACCAAGCTCTCAACATAAGAACAGATAAAAAGATCATTATATTCCTATGGTAGCAGAGTTTGGGCTTTGGGATTTTTTTCTCTCTCTCCCTCATTTTTTTTCCCCTCCCCTGCTTTACTCTTCTTACAAGCTTTTACTATACCTGTTTGTGTATGGGCAAGGGCATTCCCGGCAGGAACCTTGAGTAGCATCTCCAAAATAACCGTCTTTACAGTGCTCACACTTCTCCCCAGCAGTATTGTACTGACAGTCCTTGGAAAGGAAATGAGCAAGACATTTAGCAGTGCTTTAACACTCAATATGGCTTTACTATTATTTAAAAAAATACAGCCTATTTACTTGGAGAATATGTTCTTTTTCTTCCATATAAGTAAGCATTTATTGCCAAACTGCCTTCACAGCCAGAATAGAGCAATTTCAGTCCATTTTCTAATTGTAAAAAGCACAATTTCCTCCCTCTTGTGGAAAAGCAACAGATAAATAAGTTGAATTAAACATATTTTTAAAGAAACTCAGCCAGATTCATAGTTAGTAAAAGAGCATTGCATTAATGCTCTGTCTTCATATTACAAATAAAAGTCACTACATTTATATAAAACTAAATTTTGCATCTTAATACTACTTAGAAGGCAGATACCATCTAAAAGCATGCAATCAATTGAGCCCAAGTACATTCCTTTAAAAATCTCATTAAATTAATACAAAAATTGTTTCATGTAGCAGATTCAGACCAGAATTCAATTTCATGTAGTTTCTCCAGTGTATGTGTTACTTGTATTTTTTTGTAGTAACTGGAATAAATAATAGAAAGCAAAAGCTAAGAATACCATTGAAACTGATGCAGCTGACCCCTTCTCCCATGATATAGTTGTTGGGAATTGTATCTTTGTTTAGAAACATTCTTAATTCTACTGCTGTCTAATTGTCAAACATCTATATTTTATGGGTACAGATAAGGAAGTTGCCTTTGCATTACCTAAAGTGTTGCTAATTTAAAATAGAAGTTGTTCAAATACATAAGCAGCATAAAAATATATAAGCAGCCATAAGAAAAATATCAAATGACTAACAGTTGAGAGGCATTCACACTCCCAAGTTCTACAACTGTTTGTCTTATGTGCAACAGACTGATCAAATGTCCCACAGAGCTGAAGGCTTACTAACAGAGCAAAAGATGGAAAAAAGAAAGCAGGAAATCGGCTGGAAGCAGTCACTGAGCAAACTGTGCTTCCATTTCAGAGACCTCAGTAGCTCAGGGCTATGTTTGAAGACCCTACTACCATGACTGGCAGAAGAGGGGCATTTTTCCCTACAAATGAGAAATAGCTCTGTCTCTCCCATCTCCTCTAAAACTCCATTGTCCTTGACATTTCTTCACACCAGATTCTCTGAACCACAAGCTCTTCCCTCAGGTGGTAACCCATAATTTATTTTCATTTTGGTTAAAGAACTCTATCTGTGGCTCATTGATAAAAGGTTCTGGTTAAGAACAGGAGAAGCTCCAGTTCCCATATGAGCCATTTGACATGAAGTTAAACATCAAATATCACAAAGGCACTATGTTTGCAAAAGAAACCATTTTAAAATGCAGTCTCTATAAAGGCTGGTGCATATGTTCCTGCAAAAGCCTAATGGAAAATTCAGAACCTGCTTCTGAAAAATTACTGTCAATTTTTGTAATCTTGAATAATAAACTCAACTGCAGAAAGAGCAGAAGAGATGTATTTAAAATATGTGTGCTGGTTTCATCTTAGAGCAACCTCCTCCCACAAGGTTATCCCCTGTCTTTTTGTTTTGCTCACTCTGTCTATAGAAACTGAAGCAATTCTGTAAGTGCAAAGCAAATTTCAGCTATTTCACATATAAGCCACCCTAAATGCGCCATGCTGCTCCTCTAGCTACATGGCATTTAGAGGTTGGAACTCCCTAGGCACAGTGCAATGAAGCCAGAGCAGCAACTCCCTCATGGGCCTTCCTTCAAGTTTTACAGGGTCAGAGATATCCCTGGTAGCCACAGCATGTCCAAACCATCAAGTACTCCAAACCCTGAAGGAGAACTTCCAGCTGACTCTATATGCCCCCATATGGTACCAGGCAGTCAGAGCAGAGTGTCAGGGCCACAGCAGAGCCACTGAGATTACGTCAAACACGTGGGGCTCCTTGACATGAAGCAACATGCCATGGAATCAGCAAGTCTCGGCACCATGCTGCTGCTGAGGGAATGTGCCTTCCAGGAGGAAGGGCAGGGACCACGAGGACACAAAGCCTGATTAATGGCAGAGAAATGCTTTTACCCTTCACATGAGAACCAAAGTCTTCATTCTTCTCCATCTCCCCCTGCCCTCCATTGCCCCCCTCTTCCAGCAGCATGGCAGTGCACTCCGCTCCTTCCAGCAGCATGCAGCAGTGGGAGAGCGACTGCCTGAGCAAGGGAGGGCTGTGCTGCTGCACAGGGGAAGGAGCCAGCCTGGGCTTATCCTCCCTCACAAAGCCTCCTCTGGAGGCTGTCACTGGAGGGACACTCACAAATGTAGGTACTCGGGTCTGGGGCTCCAGGTGAGGAGCAGGAAGCCAAGTGAACAAGCTTTGCACTTTGGATGTGGAATTTGATGGCTCCACAGTGGGAAATCTCCTTGTCTTCTCTGCACCATGTCAGGGTTTTGTCCTCTACTGAGAGACAAACTTGCTCTTGGTTGGGCAGAAGTTCATGATGGAAATAAAGGCCCTCAGGGCTTTCATTTTTCACCACATTATTCTAGATGACTTTGCCTGCCCAGGACTAAGGGCTGATTTAGCTCTACCTATCTGGAAGTTAATCCAGCTGTGAGAAGGATGGGATAAAGAAAAACTTAGATCACATACTTCATGAGGTGAAAGTAAAATTTGCCTTCATAATTCTAATCTGAAGTGAAACTTCTTGATCTTTCTTGCTGTGCCGCAGCACTTTCCTGTCACAGCCTGCCCTACCCCTCCAAAGCAGCAGCCTGTAAGTCATCTCCCAGAAGTGCTGAATTGGTTTATAGTTTCCATTAAAGCAACAGGGTTGGTTGAAACAAAGTCAGAGAGAATGACATAATACACAGGAATGCACCGCAGGCAGAATGGATGCTCTGCGAATGAGGAAGAAGTAACAGAAAAGACAGACCATGAAAGATGTTGGCAAGGTTCTTGTTTGCACAGTAAATGAAAAATTAGTAAAAACTTTTTAAGGGGGAATTTTTCAGGATAAGCTATTCAAAGAAGCATCATTGATATACACTGGAGAAGCACAGTCAGCCAAGTGTCACACTTCCATTGTTGAGGGCTGATCCATTCCCATGGGGCTGCTTTGGGTTTTGCCAGGGAGCAAAATCTACCCCACCACACCTTCTGTAACAGCTGGAATCTTCTAATTAATCTAACTTCTATTACTTTCATTTAATCTTATTTAATTCAATATTTTTAACTCATCCAGCTGTAGACCATGATTAGTGGAGTTCCACTGAAGCTGATTAAACAAAGTTCTGCAAAGCCCTATGCTATACATGAATGTGCTGTTTGTCATCATTATACAAACATATCCTAGTACACCTGTATAAAGCTCAGGACTGCATATGCCAGGATAAGACCCAGGTTTATTATAAATAACTACAAATGTTTCCTTATGTATGAGTTTGACTTTTTTGTAACCAGGAGCTAACAAAAATTACAGGTGAAAGAAAGAAATGAAGACAAGGACACAAAACATTCCAACCAATCACAGTTACATTAAATGTACATTTAAGCGTACACATCTTTTGCTCATTAACAGTATAAAATTAAGAGAATGAGAGATACAAGGATTGTTCTTAGTTGCCTGGAATTTAACAGTACTGTATGGTCCATACTGCAGTAAGAGAAATGCTGTTTTCTCCTTTTCTTCCAATTAATTTAGTGAATGTTACTTATTACTTACAATACATTTTCCAGTACCATCTTGACATCTATTTGAATTTCCATTGCAGTTGCAGGGCACACAGCGTCCAGCAAATATTCCTTTATTCTCACGATAAAATCCAATGTCACACTCCTGGACATCATGAAGAAAGAAAAAAAATTAGTGAGCATTGGTAGAAAGTTTTGTATGTGACAGGAAGTGTATTTTGAAAATGTTTTCCATTCCAAGGAGTAGTGAAGGCAAGCATTTCCTTTCAAGCTCACCTAAGCTCATAATATTGCTTAAATTTTTTTAATACAGTAAATAGCAATTAATGGAGATAAAGTTTCATCTGAACCCTGTGCTTTAGACACTTTGGCAGTGATGATTTAGTAATTTTGACTCTAACCTCTGAGAAAAACACATTTCCTGTGGCTACATACAAAGATGTAGAATATGATGTCTAAACCACAGAAAAATATTTGAGTATGAGAACACTGTAGTGTAAATCTAAAGAAGAGCACCTGGAAATCTCACATACTAATTAGTGGTTATATCTTAATAATTTCACTACAGTGTATTCCTTGGAAACAATTCTGGATACCTTTTACATACATTCATCATGACTTCCACAGTTAAGTCTAACAAGAGCTAAAGCCACACCTAGACATAGCTAGGTGATGTAACAAAACATACAGTGGTCTAGTTTCTAAGTACAGACTTGCCCTGGAGACCAGGGAAGCATGACAAGAATGTTCCAACTATTGAAGGCACAGGAGCAGGAGCACAGCCTGTCAGATCACAGTTGGATTTAAACAGGGACACTAAACCAGAGGGACATTCTGAACGAAGGAAGAAAGATCAAGTTTGTTTATCTACAGCAGGGAGGTAGTAACTAATATGTTAAAAGCAGGCTCTTGCTTGTCACAAGCAGGAAAATTGAAAATCACAAGGAATTCGTCATGGGCATGAAGTCCTTCTGCATACACATCAAATTCACGCCCATCTTCTCCTGGAATACTCTGGGTACACCAATCACACTAAAAATGACTGGACATCAGTCTGTTCTTCCTATTCTGTAGCTCTTTTCCCCAGGAACTAAGCTGACGTGGTGCAAGGAGGATCAAAAGCTTATGGAGAAAGCCGTGCTCCCCACGAAGCCAGCACCTCCCAGGTTCCTGCCTCCAGCAATGTTCTTGTGAGCTGCACCTCTGCCTTGCCTCTGCCTCTCAGGCAGGGGCTGGCCCCAGCAACATGCAGAGAACAAGTGACAGATGAACTCTAAAGCCATAAATCTTTCCTCATAGTAAGTGCACCACCAAGACTGATGGAACCAATCTGAAGAGCAAAGGGTCTGTGGGATTGTGTCACAAATCATATTCCAGTGGCTGGAGGCATAAGTATTTATGCAGAGGCAGGATTAACCAGAGAATTTTCAATGATAGAACTACCACAGGGAAAAAAAATACTCATTTCTCACAAAGCAGAACCCAAAAGGAATATTGAATTGCTGCTGTTGAAACAGCCATCACTGCTTTGCCTTTTCTACATGTAGGACAATTCTGGGGAAAAAAAAAAAAACTATGCAGAATACTAATACCATCAACAGCTTTGAATACTGACTTCAGTGTGAGCAAGGACTAAATTTAGAATAGACAGTTGAAGTTTTTCAGACACATTTATTAAAGAGTGAATATTTTCCCCGAACAACAGGGAGCCAATACACACAGCTTCAGAAGAAACCAGAGCCTGAAATACATTAAACAGCATGACTAAGTAAAATAGATGCTCTAATGCAGATAAATTTTATTTACTTAAAGTCTCTTTCTGGAGAGAAAAATAAATCAAACATTTTAAAAATACCTCTAATTGCATTTGGAAAAAAATCTGTACAGCCTTTTGTTTTTCTATTTATGCTGTCTTTAAAATGACACATTTGGAGTACGTGGGCACATTGTTTTTGAAGCAGCATTTGTGATTCCACACAAATGATAAACTGATCCCACATGAAGATAAAGCTCCAGGCACTTTCAAGTGCTTTTTAGGATCATTGTTTTCAAGTAAACAGCAATTTAAAACAAACCTCTTGTACACAGTTTTGTTAGTACTTTGAGACAAAAGGTTAATCTTCTCATTACTTCTATACTAAGTAATATATAAGTTGTTACCAAATCAGTTCATTTAAAAACAAAGTGAAAGAAGGAAGGAAGTGAGGAAATAAAAATGAGCAAATTACCTCTCTTGGATAAAAATCCATTTGAACTTGTTGCCACTGACTCCTCTCCTGAAGGTGGGGATAGGAGAGCCTCTGCTGTATATCTTGTGCTAGGCAATGCCCAAGGGACACTAAAGTGACAACCAGCCATCCTGCATTTCTTGGCCTCTGTGCTTGGGCCATCATTTTACTTTTGCTCCCCTGTGACCATTCGCTGCTCTCTCTTCAGTGCTCACTGTTCTTTCTCTTATTACTCCCCCTTCTTCTCCAGCTTCTGACTCAGATTAATGAGGTTCTGGGCCGGGACGGGCCCCACCTTTAAACTTTATCCGTGAGTCAAGGTGCTCGGCACACAGCACCGTTCCTGAGGTTAACAAGTAACTCCGCAGTTCCTGTAGCTCAATATATATCTAAGTCAGGGTGTGGCAGGCATCACCTCCTCCCCACCTAAGGCAGCCAGACACAGCCTGGTGATTACAGCAGTAAATCACTGCCTGAGTAATGCTGCATAAATATACAGGGCTTACGAACTTCCCAGTGAATGTCTTGATCACTTCCTTTGGCTTTGTATTTTCACAGGTTACATTAAAAAAAACCCCAACAGTTTAATTTAACCAAGGCAGTATGTTGAAAACAATGGGATAGCAGTAGAATTTTCAGTCAAGGCTCATGAATTTGTGTGTGACACAGAGAAACAGAAGTGTGAAAAAAACCAAAGATATTTCTGAAATGGTTACTCTCTAGATGATGAATTAGCTGTCCTGAGCAGTGGATGCATACACAAAATGTAAGCCAGCCATACATGGTTTTGCTCAGTCTCTCTGCAGCTGCTCCGGCCTAGATATTATTCATTCATTTTCAACTCAAAAAGCTTTTGCAAGGTTAGTACAGCAATTGGCACTTTATAGTAATACTCAACAATTTTCTGAGAGTAATTCCTCATATTTTGTGCACTGCTTATCTCTCTGGTGCTTTATTCTGCTGCATTGGGTGCTTACACATGGCAACAGCCAAGCTCTAAGCTAAGCAAAGCGACAAGCAAAAGAATTACAGCTACAGGAACTGCATCAAGGACAGGATATACAGCTGTAGTGCCAGTCTTCAACTAATAGCATTATTTTGCAAAGCCTGCACTATCTTTCATAAACACATCCCCAAATATTTTTTGCAAATACGTTAATTTCAGTTTTCACATGTTTTTCTACACAAATAGTATCCTGAATTGTCTGGATTTGGCTACTTCCCTTGGACCCTGCTAAAATAAGAAACACCAGGAACCTTCTCTACTGTGTATGGTCTCACAGACTTTGATAAGTCAATTCTGACCTCCTCTCGAGTAAAGTAAGAGATTATTCAGCCTCTCAGAGGGCATCATAGAAGAACCCCTCATCACAGCGCCTTACAAATGCAAAATTATGTTTGCAGCTCCATAAAAGCAAAATCACAAGTAGAATAACCCCACAGTGCCTAGACGGTGAAAGCACTGGAGCCATTGAAAGTGCACAGGCTTACAGGAAGCACACTTAATTACTTTAACCACCATCCTGCTCCTCTAACTACCCAGTATGTGTAGCTGTAGGCAAAGACAGAAGGTAATGGCACAGTGTGGAGGCAGATGTTTCCTACCTGGCATGAGTCACCGGCGTAGCCGGGCGGGCAGGCACACATCTCCACGCTGTGCGCGACGCTGCCGCTGCCCTCGCTGCTGGCTGCCTCCAGCCCGACCTCCCCGAGCGCCAGCCGCTGCGTCTCCGTGAAGTACAGGGCCCGGATGTGCAGGCCATCCAGCCTGGACAGCAGGGTCAGCAGCTCTTCTCGGGACACCAGCTGCCCGCTGCCGGCGTGCCTGAAGCTGCCCTGCACATCAAGGGGTACAAAATGAGCACAGCACTGCCCTGCACATCAACGGGCACAAAACGAGCACAGCGCTGCAGCTGCTTGAAAGAGGAGCTTCAGAGAAGAGCAGAGGACAGAGAAAGGGAGAAAACACGCCGGAGTAAACTTGTCTAGTGCCAGCTGGTGTGGGGCAATAGAGTCCAGGAGAATAGACACACAATGGGTGCAAAAAAAAATAATGAGTGTGAAGAAAGGGCTGTAGCTTTGACTGTGCAAGGTAAGTATGGCTTTGAGGTATTAAAAAGTGAAGAAGCCTATAGCATCTTCTCCAGTCCTCCAATTTTCTTTGAGATATCATCCATCAAACCATAAAAACGTGAAGAAAAATGCTTTTATTTTTAAGAGTAAATGAAATCCTAGAAACCCAATCTTTCAGGGCTTTCTTGCTGTTAATCAATTTTCAGCATTGCTGAAAATGGAATTTGGCTTGAAGAAAAATCTTCTTTGCCTGCATATGAAATAAATTACCCAGTTCAACCTTCTGAGCACAAGTTTAAGGTAGGAATAATCCCTGCTGAATTCACCTACCTGAATGTTGGACACCCCATTCTAAACTAGTACCTAGACACCAAGAAAACAGATAACAATTCATTCCATCCCTATTAAGTAAAGTCTGTGGCTGCAATGAATCACCTTCTATTGAGGACTGATTCAGCATTACTCCATTGGCCCCGGAGGGAATGCTAACAGCTACATTGGACAAGATGCCCAGCCCAGAGGTGCTAAAATTAGGTGTCATGAACCAGAAACCCAGGTTCATTGTGGCAGTAAAGAGAGATAAAAAGTGTTCTTTATAGTTAAGGTCTACAGTGTTTAAGTTTATATTCCTCACTGTTACCAAGTATTTGGTATTTCTGCACCTATTCTGCATGTGTGCATTTTTCTGTGACTCTGGAAAGAAAAGAAGGCCATTCCTTTTTCAGCTCTTACCTCAACCAGCTGCACTCGGCCGTAATATTGACGATCAGGCAGTGGGTTGTTGGGATCCATAAAAACAACTTCCATTTGTTGGCCCTATGTGAGAATGAGGATGTAACATTGCTGTTTCACTACTTGTTATGGGAAAGTGTTCAGATACAAAAACATTTGGTGAAGCACATTAATCCTGTTGTTTGGGGGATCAAAACTGAGTAATACTAGGAAAACTGTATGTCTTTTTCTCAGGAAAGTGGTATAGTGAGCACTGTGTTGTGGTGCCAGCAAGGTTTTCACTGCTCTTCCCTATTAACAACCTTGTTTGCGAGTAAAGCATCAAGAGAATCAAATTAATGCTGATCACCTTTCAAAGGAACTAGTTATTACCTTAGAATAAGAATGGTTTTACATTCTGAAACACTCGTCTTTGCATCCCGGTGCACCAGCAACTATGGGTATTATGGTAGCAGTTTATGAGGTACATTTCCCAATAAGAATCCTAGCGCATTCAATTGGTATTTCTGATGGTGTGAGGAAACAAAACACCCCCTTGAGAATCTCAACAAACAGTTAAAGATTTCAATTTTGGCTCTAAAGTGGTTAAATTAAAAAAATGTCAACCTAAATTGCATTTTTGTTTCAGTTCCTTGAAGTCTTATAATTATGCTTAGTTTTATGCTGAAAAAAAATCTCACAGAAAATGAGATTAATCACACATGAAATCCAGGGCATCTTTTGCAGAGATGAGGCCATACTTGTTGACAAGTGTGCAATGCATTGATTTTCTTTTTCCACAGGCACATTCTACAGGGAAAATCCTGGTTTATCTTTTTACTTGCTCTCCAAATCATTTATGCTTAATAATATGTTACTTTGGCAACAGAGACAGATGTGTTGATGGTTTTGAGCAAAATGAAGTAAAATCACTTTTATAGAAATAGTTAATGGTTTTAATAGGTAATGTTTTAATAGTTAAGTCCACTATAAGAGCAAAATTGGCCATAGTTTTTAAGTAAGATGAAAATCATGTATTGCTTATAGGAAAAAAATAGTATTTTAAAGCTTACTGTTAGTCGTATATCAGGTTTCTTATCCAGAAGAACCATGCCCTCACTAGGTAAGCCAAAAGATTTCACTTGGTAACTTAGGAAGCCACCATATGAAGAAAGCTGTAATAAAATGCACAAGACCAGATATACTTTACTGCACTATTGGGTGATATTAATGTAAATTTTTATTCCAGTTTATCTCATCTTCCAGCACTATAAATAACACATTTACTCTTTGTTCTTTAGAAAAAATAGGAAAATATTGCTGTTTGGAAGAAGTTACTGTCTATTTTGTTTACTGTGTGTATCTGACATGAGCAGATATCGTTTTCTGAAAGGTTACCTGCATCATGTTTTTTGGGTTTTTTTTATACTTGGGTTCACACCACCTGTGGCATGGAGAAATCCCATGGTTACATGAATATTGTTCTTCACCTGACTGTACAAAGCAGATTTGGTGCATCAAGAACAGGCATCAGACTGACAGTGAAAGTGGTGGTGAACCTCATGAACAGCCATGGATAAAAAGAAGGCAGGTTTATAAGGCAGGCAGAATAAGCAGGTTTAAAGCCAGCATTTTCTAAACTTATTGCAAACATGAATGCAATCAAGATTCCTTTGTTCTACCTTCAGGACAGAATTTCTACTGGTATCAACTCTGTGGTAAGCAGACTGTGCCTGTAGGCTGAGCTGAAACCAGCTACAGGTGACCACAGATGGCCTCAGACCCAACTGAACATGGGGCTGCTGCCCAGAACAGACACAACTGTGGTTGAATCACCCAACAAACACAGCACAGCCCTGGGTGCTGTGTGAGGGACTCAGTACAAAACACCCTGGGAGCACAGGAAGCTCCAGGCACAGCCTAGATAGCTTCTGTTCCAAGAAGAGCTTCAAAGGAAGGTTTGTGGGTACCAAGTGAAATCAGGCATTATGCCATGGATGTCCTATTTTGGTTTGCACCTTTCTCATTTGCCCTTATATCTTATCCTTGGTTTTGTCATGGAAGAATTGCTTTGTCAGGTTCTGCTCTTCTACAGGGAAGATCTACTCCTCTGCATATCTCTGATGAATTTCAAATAAAATACTGACATCTCAACACTAAATTTGTTCTGTGTATCATAGGTCTGTAATTAATGCTATTCTCCTCACACAACTGCATTTTCAAAAGCATCATTTGGAACATTGTCTATAGTTTGCCAACACAATCAAATCACCCTGTATAAATGAATTCTTTTAAAAAAAATAAGAAAATTCAAATTAGAGTTGATTTCCTATTTAACATGTTTCAGAACTGCACCATTTGAGAGGCTGTTAAATTACTTTTAAAATTTTTTTTATAGGATGATATTGATGTTACAAACTAACCCCTGTATTCTGTAGTATTTATTTTCTAATGTCAAAAATGGTCTGTTATATAGAATTATAAAACACAAAAGAAAATGGGGACAACATGATCTGAATTTCTCAATTACTCTTAGTTTCCGTACTGCTACACATTTTATATTTGATTCCCTTTTAACTTCATAAACAAAAGACAGAGGGAGGAAAGAAAATATACTCTGCTAAATATAAATGTTCTAGTGAAACCAGTTTAAAGGTTTCAGATAATGGAAAACAGTATTTATACCCTCATCATAAAGAAAAATAGCTGAAGAAATCTTGTTCATATTTTCTAAAAGAGATGCTATCACTGGAAGCAGACCAAACCCTGACATTTCCAAACACAATAACATTAATAATTGGTAAATTTATGAACTTGTAAACTCACAGCTAGATAGCATTTTGGTGGGACTTTCATTACTGCAGTATTGCCTGTGCTAAAATATACACTCATACACTGCATACAGCAAAAGCAAAACTCAAATTAGAACTATTTTATTTGCAGTGCTGTCATTGTAAATAACAGCAAATAATGGCAGGCCTAGGACCTAGGCAGGTACTGGGACATGCAACATAAGTCAGCACTGATCTTAAAACACATCAGCTGTGTTTAAAAAGGGTTATTGCCTGCTTTATACCTTGTTACTGAACAACAAAAGTACTTTTGGTTTAACACTGCAGGTGATAATGTGTGCTTTAATATGAAATTCCTTTCAAAAATAATTTGTGGGCACTGAAATAAGAACCTTTATAATATCAAGAAAAAGCACTCAAACTAAATGTGCCATTCACCTGAGATTATAGATATACAGCTCTGAGCATAGGAGAGCAGGAAGAAAAATACTGCTCTAGTCTCTAAAATAAGGACTAGGAGAAACTTCAAAAATTGAACCATCTTTCACGTCTTGGTGTCTACACCATTTCTTTTCTCTTGTGTGTCAGTAGGATCACATCTGAAAAGCCTGTGTATCCTGCAACGGGCTGGTAAGTATTGGCACTGTCAGAGCTCCAAAGAGGGGGGCTCTGGGCCTGCAAGTCACCATTAGCAAAGTCCTCTGGTCAGTGTGATCCTCAAGCTGAGACGCTGATGGCACTAACCATGAGCAGAAGGCTGCTCCCATGCACGGACTGACAGAGCAGCCACCAGCCCAAGAAACACAAAGGGTAGAAAACCAGTTGATTTTCTTCCCAAGGAGCATATCCAAAGCAAAATGCTGGGGGCTTTTGTGTGCCACTGAGCACATAATCAGCTTTTACTCTTTTGGAAATCTGCCCAGGATATACTCTAGAGAATCTAAAGAATTGACAAGCCTATGTTCTGGGTTTTAGAGCAGCCACATTGGCACGTTCTACATGTTCTGGGCATCAGAAAAGCAGCTGAAGGAACCACCTGCTTGAGACATTGGAGCCATTGAGTTCTTGATCGTGCTGTTCACATTAAGACCTGTCTGGCACCAAGCAATATGATTAATTCTGTGTTATTGGTTAATTTCAAAACCATACTCAGAAGTAAAATGGTGTGATTCCTTACATGACAGGTAAGAGAGATGAGTGAAGAGAGACAAACTTACCTAAGAAAAATAATGAGACTCTTTATCAATGACACTGGTAAAGAAATGATTACATGTTACTAAACCAGAAGAGTTAAGTGGCATTTACCTTCTCTCCCAAGTAGGATGGTGGTGCTTTCCAGTACAAATTTTGCACAGAAGCTGGCAATTCTTGAACATCAGCCACCACACTGTTACTGACTGGATTGAAAGTGACTGGAATGTCCATATGTTCATCTACTGCCTCCAAGCGCCAGTTCCTCATATCCACAAACTAATGAAAAACATAAAGGAAACCAAAAGTTTGCCTCATCCTTTGTTAAAACTTTACCAGCACCAAGTAACGAGAAAAAATTGTTTGGCAGCTTTAATTCCCTTAGATGAGATCCAACTCCTTCAGAGTCAGCCTGAAGTCTTTGAACAATGGATATTCCATGGACCTCCAAAAGAGAGTGAATATATGAAGAAGACATGCCAAAGCTACTTGGGATGCAGGCATTTGGTTTGTCACCTGGAAACTAAATTCTGTCTTCAGCCACAGGAAGACATAGCCTTCTGGGAGTAATAGGAATTGTGCACACAAACCCAAGAATATAATTTGGAGATGCTTTCTAAAGTCCATTCCAGAATCAAATCTTTGTCTCTCAAAGACAGAGTTTGGAACAGGTTAACTGTGAGGGAGGGGGCATTGCATGACATTTTAGAGAGGCAGGCAATATAGCCTAATATTCCGCCTCTTTAATGCACATTTTATGTTTATGGCTGTTGTTTCATGAAAGACTATGCCTCTTTTTTTTATCATTATGCTGGAGGAAAGAGAGCATCATGTGTATGATGTACCAGAACAGTTCTGGGTTCTGGTGAATTGCCCTTCACTGGCCATAGCAAAAACCAAAAAAAATAGACACGTTTTCATTAACAGTTTTTGGTGAGGACAAGTAATGACTAGAGGAAGTTTTTTACTGATTTCACTTAGGCCACATTTTCATCTTTTGCTTGTAAACAGTAAAGGGCACAATCTGGATTGTATCTAGTCTATGTCTAAACCTAAACTAAACTCCTCATCCACCACTCCAGCTCTCCTCTTTTCTTCCTTTCTCTTGCCTTTTTTCAAGAAGCTGTTGCCTTTTTTTCAGTCTTTTTTTTTCCCAGTCACATGATTTTTCAGCCTACAGCCATTTATGCTACTAAAATCTTTGTTTCTCACACTTGATGTCATGTCTCTTTTACAAGGAGGTAGGAAAGACAATTTTCACAATCTCCATAGAATCTGTCACACAATTCTTAATGCATCTATAATACAGATATGTAAAATGATATGTGTTTATCAAATCATCTTGAAGGAGATCATTGACTTCAATGATGACATAAGAGTTTGAAGATAAAGCAAGCAAGATAAAGGCTGGCTCAACTTCAGTCCAGCTAGTGACTTGTAAACAAACAGGTTAAAAGAGCCATTTCTGCTGAACAGCACTTTCAGACTACTCCTAATCTTGAGGAAGCTGTACTTGGAGAATTGCTTGGAGAATAATTCTCATCCTTAGAAGCTAATAAAATATACTTTCAACTTTAGAAGAAATCTGAAATGTCCTCAATGGAACAAGTGTAAGTTCATGATAGAAAAGAAAAAAGATCTTTGGTACACCTTGGTTCTACGACGATCCGTGCTGCGACAGCTGCTGGTTGCCCCAAAACAAAAGCAAGGTGTGCATCCCCTGGGATTAGAAGGGTTCAGATAAAAGGATCCTGGTCTGCAAGTGTCACACGCTGGACCTTCAACATTCTCCTGTTAGGGCATAGTTCAAAGAAATTTCAGTGCTTTTCTTTTTGCATTGCTGAGGTCCCCAAAATTTCCTGCATATGAAACAAATCTTCTGAAAGAACGTATATTTAAGTGTACAGAAACCAATGAATGAAAATACGTGGTTGTCTGGATAGGCTATATTACAAATGCAAATAAAACTGTCTTGGAGGCTATCTCGTAAGCTTTCTTTGCAGTTTATAATCTGAAATGTGAACCAATGAGTAATAAATATTAGTCAGAGACAGCTGGTAACTTGCTTGCCAAAACCCTCCTGCTGGCTTTTGCAAACCCACAATATAAAAGGTCACTTGTGAAAGTTCACATTTATCGCATTTAATTATGCAGATCAGAACAAAAGAAGATTTCCTAGCGATAATGATGTGGTAAAATGTCAACTGACATAATATGGCTAAAAAAAGCATGGGACTTGGTTAACATCCAAAAGGCAAGATGCAGATGGATAAAGTGGATCTGTGCAGGGTACATACAGACTGCTTCAGTGACTCAATGGGCACCCACTCTGCAGCTCTCTAACATCCTGCAAAAACTAAGACCACCTGTATAACTGACAGATATTGAAGCCATTAAAAAATTTTTATTATTTAATGTGACCATGATAATCTGTGCACATACAGCAAAGTGTGATGGCTTCGTACAGCTGCATTTAATTTTTGCTGAAAATTTACTGATAAACTCATTTTATTCACCCCATTATATAAGAAATAGTCACTGGCATGCAAATGATGCTTGTGAATGCAGAAGTAATTTGATTTATCTGACCTTGCAAAGACAAATTCCTGTCTGGGGATCACAAACATCTGGCTCTGTTCCATCTCTGTTACAGCTACATGGCACACAGTTAGGGAAACCATAAGTTCCAGGAGCACACTGATCACACCGACGGCCTTTTATTCCTGGTTTGCATCTTTATCAAACACAAAGGAGAGAAAATCAATAAGGGAGGTAGGAATGGAGCAGGGAAGGGAAAATAAAACAGGTAGGTGGATATTCGAAGGGATTGCATGGCTGTGAAACAACTTTATGACTTCCACAGAGAAAAGGTTAGTATTGTTCTCAGATTTTGAATAGTGTGACGTTATAAATGGCCACAGAACTGAGTAGGAATGGATTTGACTTTGAAGGATAAAAATGCTCACAATAGAATTAGACTTCTGCAGCTATTCAGCGCTCGCAGTGCAGAACTACTCTCTCTGTATGCCAAGGTGTAAAACATTGAATATAGGTAAGCAGAGCTGGAAGAATATTTATAGCTGGAAAATGTGCCTGGGCATTAATCAAGGCATGCACCTGGTAACAGAAAAATGGGAAATTGCAAGTATATGAATAATTACAGAGACCTCAATCACCCACAAAGCTTGGGTTAGTTTACAACAGTTCACAGTGGGTAAAATCCATTTTGCTCACACTGAAGAGTGAATAACTTAAATTTCCCATTACCTCTCCAAACACCTGAAAAGAGCATTGAAGCAAACCATCCATGCCTTGTTGTTAACACACATAACCCAAACTTACTTGCATTGCCCACTGGTTTTATCACATTCTGGGTTTGCCACATCAACAATTCCTTTTTCTGAGCAGTTGCAGCTCTTGCAGCCAGCAAGGGGATGATAGCTGAAGTAGTATTTCTCACACACTTCACATTTTGGCTTCACAGTTCGTGGAGGGCAAATGCATTTACCAGTCACGTCATCACAAAGACGCTGCCCACAGTTGCATACTAGATCAAAGAAATTGTTCCACAAATCAGTCACATCTCATCTTACAACAATCAACTCTTACTGAATATGTAACAAATACACACAACCTTTATGTATAGAAAACATGACTCTTTTCTCTCACTAGTTTAAAGTTCAGGGTCATAGAAACCAACTATGTGACTGCAACAATAGTTTCAAAGAGCAGGTTTAATGCTTGGCTCTTTTCCATGGATGGGCTGCTTAACTTCACCACAGACATTGTTTATCACTTGCCAAAACTGCCAAGGATTAGTTTTGGTGTCAAGGGCACCACTTTTACAAAGCAATGTTTATAAACATCAAGTATAGTATCTATGAAAGCAGCTGAGCTGTTGGTGTAATGCATAGATCTGTTGTTGTTATTAACATCAGAATTTGAGGAATTAGGAATGCTGTGTCTCTGGTTATCTATGGAAAAGATTGAAGGTGTAAAATGGGATTAACCATTAACAACTTGGAAATGATTTAGCAGTCAGCGCAGAAAAAAATCCATTTCACGGGAATAGTGGCAATATGGATTTTAACCAGTTCAGCTGTAAGCCTACTACACCTGATCAGACAACACATGCAAAGGGTCACTTCACCACGAGCTAGGTGTGCTTTAGGGGAATGGGATTTCTTCTGCCTTAAACTGGAAGCTAATGCTATTGTAAAGCTAAAACAGCCTGACCAGCCTCTCACAGGATCAGGCTCTACAAAGAAAAGTCAGGCAGCAGTACACCTGCAGCAAATTCAGAGGATTCAGCAGGTGGCCAGGCCAGGAGCTGAAGGAGTGCAAGCACATACTTACACTTGCAAAATGGGAATCCATAGTAGCCAGTTTGGCATCGGCTGCACTGGCGACCGACGACGTTAGGTCTGCAAGCACACTGCCCTCCCAGGGGGCTGCACGTAGGGCTGGTGGCACCTGCACTGTGGCAATCACATGGCAGGGCTCCGTTGTTGTAGAAAGCCACCAGCGACCTCACAGAGTCCTTACAGAAGGCTGATGATCGTTCTGGGCTGTTTAAATTGGAATATAAATCATTTAAGTGCTGGCACTCAGGATTGCTATGAGAGTGCTTTGCAGTGGTTCAGTCTTTCAAGCAGTTTGACATAAGGATGGCATCAGCACACATGCAAGGATATATTTTAATTAAATCGGGGTGAATAGCTTTGAACATGCAGGTAAGAGGTTTTATCATAGCAAGTGTGGATTAGTTGTATCAGTTCAGACATGCCAAGCAAAATACCAAATACCAAAGACGGAAATACCAAAGACAGGAAGATGACATAGATATTCCTCTTTTGTACTGTGAGCAATAAAGCTCTACCTTTACAATGCATTTGCAACAGAAAGTCATGGAAAAATGACTCATGGAAATTCAATGGGCTAGCATAAGCTGTGAAAAGCATTTTAATGTAGCACAATTATAGGGATTTAAGGCAGCTCTTTAACGCAGAGTAAAAGTAATATTATTCCCAGTTTGTTGTCAATGTTCGGTGTTTTAGAAAGTGATGCTTACTCAATATAAAAACTGTTTCCTCCACACTGGCTGATAAAATCAAATGACTTGTCCACTGTCTTTTTGTCAAGAATTGTGTAACTGTAGGTGTCTGCTGGAACAACTAAGATATTTTCCTTAAAACAATAAGAAAGCTAAATTGTACATTTCAGAGAAAAACAAAAAGACACAAGCTAAGGCATTTACATATTTAAATGTTGCTTCATTATGCATTCTGGAATTTTTCAAAACCTTTAAGATTTTAACCAAAAATAAGAAAATAAACTTTGCATACTGCCCTCAAAGTTGTGATGCTACAAGCAGTGTACAACAAAAACAGTGCAGAATATCTTAAAAATTTAAAATAAAAGCAGTGCAAAAGATCCTAAAAATCTGAAACACAACATTAAAAAATTTATTCTTTTTGGATTTTATCTTTGCATCTATCAGTAAATGAATGGTGAAACTGAGAATAACATTTTCAAGTACATTTACGTAATACACGTACCAGAACCAGCATTCTTCCATCCGGTATTATCACTGTAACAGAGACCATGGCTTCAGAAATGTCAAGCTCAATTTGGTTTGCTGCAACCACCTGAACCCGACAGCCAGAAGTATGAGGGCAGAATGAAGCATTAAAAGTACCTAGAAGAAAAAATGTATTGGGTTTATGTGAGAAGGTTTTGATTGCAGAAGGTTACTGGGGTGGGTTCTATGAAAATCTCTAAGAACATTCTTCCATGTCCCACAGAGCCAATCCCAGTCAGCTCCAAGACAGATCCAACAATGGCCAAGGCTGCATCTGACCATGGTAGAGCCTCTGGAATAACACATTTAACAAAGGGGGAAAACCCCAGCTCAACAGCAGGTACAGCCACAGAGAAGAGTGAGAGCATGCAAGAGAACCAAATCTGCAGTCACCAGGCCAGTGAAGGAGAGCTCCAGGTGCTGGACCAGAGATCCACCTGCAGCCTGTGGAGGAGACCCCCTCAAGAGCAGGTGGATGCTCAAATAGGGTCTGTGAACCTCTGGGAATTCCACACTGGAGCAGTCTCCTAGCAGGCCTTGTGACCCCATGAAAAGCACCTACACTGGAGAAATTAGTGAGGAATTGCAGACCAGGAGAATAACTCATGTTGGAGAAGCTGGTGGAGGACTGTCTCCCATGCGAGGAATCCCACACTAAAGCATGGGAATAGTGTGAGCAGTCCCTCACTGAGGAGGGAGGAACAGAGGCAACCAGTGATGAGCGGAGTACAGCCCACATTCTCTGTACCCATGTGCCACTCAGTGGGAGGAGTTGGACAAATTTGGGAGCAAAGCTGAGCTCAGGAAAAAGGGAAAGGTGGAAGCAAAGTGTTTGAAACTTTGGGCACCTTGTGTCTATCCAGGGTCAAGCCAACACAGCTCCATATCCCAAAATGCTAAGAAAGGAAAGGGGTTAGGTCAAATTCAGATGCCTACCTGACCACACATGTCCTGCATTCACATGGACTTGCACAGAGAACACTGGATGTGCCGGCTGATAAAAATGTACCACAAATACGTATTGGCCCATGTGGGGCACTCTGCCACTCAAGGTGATCTGGTTCTGGAGAAACAAGAACAGCTCTGGTATTAAATCACAGAATAGATTTGTTTTGTGAAACATTCTTGGGCTTACCAGCTGTGCTCAGTGCCCCCTACCAGCAGTGAAAAAGAGGGGGCTTAGCATCTCTCAGCAAGTTCAATTTCTTCAAGGAAAATGGCATTACAACTGCATGCTCTGTTTGCCTGCCAAGCACATTTAACATTCTTCTGCAGTCTGTACAACTGTTGTGTAGTCCAGAAAGAAACTGGTATTTGGGGTTCCCCCCCCACCACCATTCTTTTTATTGTCTCTGTGGCTTACTTAGTTTGCAACATTTTCATCATATCACATCATCCACCTTTTATTATCTTACAGAATTTCATCTATTTAACTTTACTAAGAACATACCTTGTGACTTGCAAAACAAAGTTTTCAAAATACGAGGTACCTGCAATGGTGTCAAGGTGACTCCATGAACTGAACCAGCAGGTAAAATGGCACTCAATGGATCATGGAGTATATTCTCCTGCACTTCAGAAATCTTCCCATCTTTGAATGCATTCAAAACCAAAGCTCCTGGTGGAGTCTCAAACACTGAGGGAATGCATGCTGCACTAAACACAGAACCACAGCAATTATCCTTGGGGCCAGGAGAAAGTCTTAATCATAACAGAAAAGGCTGCTGACTTAAAGTCAATGTCTTAGGCTATATTATAATTGATAATGCAATAATAACTCCTGTACCTATTTGGATTCTTTATGAATGATCAGAAAGTAAATGAAAACAAGAAGTATGGATTTAACTTCCATAAGAACGGGAAAGTGTGTACACTTTTAATGTATTAACTGATTTTATTCACACAAAATTCACATAACTTTAGGTTTCAGTGGAAAGAATTTGCTGAGGAAGAGGAAACTTAAGGGAATCAAGAGCACTAAAAATTAAATACATTTTAGTTAATCCAGTTTGTTACATTCACTAGAATCTGCACTAATATTGAATTCTCAGTTCTACAAATATTTACATAGGAGGATCCTTTAAACATGCAAGTTTTCCCACTGAAGTCAATGGGACTACTGAAGTATTTAGAAGTTAAGTATATACTCAAATATTTGTAGAACTGGAGCCAAAATAAATAACAGTATTCCTTCAAAGCATTCTTATTCATTCACTGCTGTGTTTAACTATTTCTTCCTTGGCATAATTAATTCTGGGATTTAGAGAAGAATTTTCCAAGACTGCAGGATAAAATATTTTGGGGGGTTTCCTGGCTGTATTTATTCACTTCTAGTAAGTACTCAACAGACAATGATTAATCTTGAATCAAGACTGATCCAGAACTGGAATTGCAAGTATGTTTCAGAACTGAGATGTATTTGCCAGGCCTGTGTGGGAAATCACATGCAGCATCCACTTACAATACTGTTAAACTGAACCAAGCCTCTGCATCTTCCAATTTGATGAACTTAAAACACTTTCAGGAAAGCAAAAATGCTGGCAGATAACAAAAACAAAACAAAAACCTACACTAAAAAACGCTAATTTATCAAGAGTTTAAAAAAATACCTAACACAAAACCAAAGTCAAATATGTAAGTTTCTACATTTATTTTATTTCGAATCATGTTTTTCACTCATCTTTCCCTGTTTTACTTAAAATATAAATGCCTGTATTTGCAAAATAAATCTGGTGGAAGGACAAGTATTTTCAGTCTTAGAAAGCTGCTCTCAGTGGTAACAATGAGCAGGAGAATTAAAGCTGTGATTCAATGCTATGCATGTTTGGAAACCAAGCACAGTCACATGTTTTTATCCAATTTACTACCCAGATTTTTCTGCTTTCTGTTTCAATTCAACCATTATATTACAAGCTACCATTTGGAAAACTATTAGACCAAATCACCAACTCTTTTTGACTCTTAAGTCCTGCAAATGACATTCACTTTTATTTTGAGATCCTTCCCACTGCTAGATCAGTAGGAAGGAAAGCTTTAGGAGTAGGAATCACGAGGCACATCCTAGGGAGTGCAGCAGGCACTGAAATGTTGAGGTCCCTAATTTGGAAGCTGCAGTGACAGTTCCACTCTGTCCTAAAGAACAAAAGACGGGGAGGGGAAGAGCTTCAACAGGACAGAGGAGATGCTCTGCAGATCCCAAACTCGACCACTGGGGAAGGCAAGGTTCAGGTTCAGATCTTCACAGCAAGAGAAGAGCTGTCAGCCTGGATTAACCAAGCAGTACATGAGTCCCCTAATTACTGGTCCTATAAAGTATGATGGAGAAGAAGGATCAGCTGGTGTTACTGTGTGAGGTGAATGATGAGGGCACACCTACCCTAGGGGCCCCCACTATGACAGGGAAAAGGGAATGGCTTGTTTGGGAAGCAGGAGTTTTCATGTTGAGTAATTTGAGGCTGCCAAGTTGTGCCTGAAAGGGCAGTCACATCCCACACCTAGTGACAAATTAAAGCTGTTTTGGGACAGCTGAAGCAGTAACATGCAGAAGAAAACTTCAGATGGAACAGTAAGTATTTCAGGCCACTAAACTAGGAATGATTTTCCAGCTTGGACACCTGTCCTACTGGATGGCATGTGAAAGATATATGTTTTCTCACACATCAGCACTGGGAAGTTCAGATGGGCTAGGAATAGGCTCTTATCAACAAAATTCTGTGCAAAGACTGTATAGATTGACACTAACATTTCAGCTTCTTTACAAAGACTACTTTACAGAAGTGGCCTACAAATCACCTGTGAGTCACTGAGTAAAGCTCCACTCAAAAAAATTAAAACACTATTTATTCTACCTTTCAAGGTTGTCCTCAGATAATAGGAAGGATAAAACCAAGCAAGTTACCTTCCATCACTGTTACTCCTGTAAGCAGCTATGCACTGTACTTTAGGATCCACGTATTCTGGAGAAAATTCTTCAGCTGATATAATGCAAACCTTGTGCTGAAAAATAAGCACAAGGCACAATTAACAATTAATATCATAAATAACAGGGCCAGGCCTGAACAGGAAGGATGAAGCCTAATTTTAGCATAGGGAGATATGAGCCCAAAGCCATATTCTGTCATAGACCTCCCACAAGATTTTGGATCCTTTTACCTCCCTGCAACTCAATGCCTCAGGGTTAAATAGCATTTTTCTGTCCTTGTCAAGGGAATATTGGCTGTTCAGGAGAGACATAACTAAAAGCTAAGCATACATGTGTGGAAAAGGGAAAGACAGAAGACCAGCTCAAAGGCTGAGAAGCAAGGCAAGGAATGTAGAGGAGTAGGAGGGAAAAGCTCTTTGAGACTTTTGAACCCTGAGGGAACTCCCAGACTCTCTCAAAGGCACAAACACTTGCTAGTGCAAAGTCCATGGGAGTGAATTTAAGTGACACCAGGATTTCTCACCCAGGATTCAGAACTCATTTCAAAAGAAGCAGGACCTCATATGGGAATTTTTATTTTAACTAAAAGTGGACATGAACAAATGAATCTGTGGTAGTCCTGCTGTACCCATGGTGGTAAAGACATAAAGGAAAGCATTGGAGGTGGCTCCCATTTGCCTCTCTGCTCTGCATGAAGGGAACACATGAGTGTCTTTAATCCCAAAACTGCTGCCATTGACTTCATAATCAGTGTCTACACACCAGAAGCACTTATTTTCCCCTTTCCCATCTTTTGCTAAGTGCAGACTTTAAAATTTAAGATTGTGAAGGTTGGATCTTGTTAGCACAGCAGCTGCTGCAGGAAGCTAACAGAAAATGTAAATGGTATTAGTTTACACTGACTCATGAAGTGAAGAAAGCATGTATCAACTGTTAGTTCTACTAGTTGTTACTAGCTGGGCTGGAGCTCAAGATTTTAACAACCCTTGTGTTTCTAAAATAGAAAGCAGAAACCACACATAAGAAAATTTAGTCTCCAGAAAAGTTTATTCCTGGTGTGGCCAAAAGAGGTCAGTGAAGGCTTTTTATTTAAAATACCTAAAAGCTATATGATTAATGAATGCATTTATTACCTGAAATAAATGCATTTATTACCTGAATTTTGTAAGAGACATGGGAAACTCCCACATGGGCTTTGAGGATTTAGAAAAAAAGAAAAACAAAAAAAGACAATAAAAGATTATGTATAACAGCTACCAGAATATGTTTCCTCTAAAGTTTACTTGTAGAAGTGAGAGGAGAACTGAAACAAAGCACAAGAAAGCTGGAAAAAACCTTGCCAATAAAGGCAAAGTTCTCTTTGTCTTTGGAACTGACAAGTGTGCCTCAGCATTCTGGGGTGTATATAAAGCATGTCTAGTCAAGCATCTAACATACATAATTTCACATGTTCCCTTACAGAATGTGAACACAGGGAGACAAATATCTTTGTTTACCCCATCAAGGAACAAGTATGACCAAAAAGAAAAGGAAATGCGAACTTACCAGAAGAAAATTACTCGATGACGCCCTCAGACGTATCATTGTGTCCGCTAGAAGGTCATAGGCTGCAACACGGTTCCTGTCATCAACTACAACGCTGCGACAAAGGAAACTGAGACAAGAGGCAGGATTAAAGATGAGCCTGCTGGCATTGCCACGTTGTTTAGGCTGTCACCTAGCTTCACTGCCTGGCTGCTGCCAGCCACAGCACCTGGCCCTCCTGCTGGACCATGACTAACCTGCCTGTGGCCACTGCAGAACATGCACTGTCCTCACCAGTGAGACACAGGATCCACCACGTACAAAGCACTGCTTATCCTGGGAGGGTTAGAGCTGAAGCCTCCAGATCTCAGCTCAGACACCCATTTGAGCTACTGGCTTAAGTAGGATGTAGACAGACAGCCACACATAGGTGCTACCTGCAGACATTTTCACACTGTGTAACATGTGTGTAACTAGTATTCTCCTGCCTGGACCATGCTCCTTGGGGTGTAAGCTCCTTTTCACCACTGCCATGTGCCTCTGAGGATGTGAATCAGCAGCTCTTGCACACACAGTGGCAGCTGGGCAAGGCCTGATCTTAGGAAGCTATTCTGTGTGCTGAGATACTCCTCAATGCAAGTGAAAAAACAGGTTTGCCTCCTCTACAAACCAGAGAATATGGAATTTTCACTCTTGTTTAAAGCATATATCAGAAAAAAGGTCAGCTCAGGGCTAGGGACACATACAACTAGAGAAATATAGGTCCCTTACTCATGATTTGCTCAAAGCCTGTGATGTTTTATTCTCTTACCATGTTTTATTTGGAATATTCAAGCTCACTGAGCTGTAAGAAAGTCTGGCACAATATATGACAATTCTACAAGTTACTGTTATCTACATGTACCTCACTATGTCATTGCTTGATTTATTTTTTATCAGAAGAGACTTCCTGTTTGGGAAAGATGACACAGCAGCTCACTCACCATGTGACCACTCAGTTCAGGCAGAATGCCTGCAGAAGGGATTTGCTGCATTGCTACATGAAAGCAGCAAGGGCTTTCTTTGTATTTCCACGAACACATTTCCAATGTATCATATAAACAAACAAGTATGTTCAAAATCAGCCCATAAAATGTGGGAAAAAATGTGTTTTGGAGAAAAAAAAACACCAAAACCCCAATAAAACAGAAGATTTATAGCAAGAAGTTTGGGGCTCAAAGTGTTATTTAACAGGCTAAAATAAGAGCTTTCCCCAGCAATAACCTGACAAGGTCACTGCTCCACATGACTGTGCTCTGTATCACAAACATGCTGATGAAAATGACATTTCTTACTGAGCAATTTCATCCTGAATATCCCTAAGCCTCCATTCTGCCAAGCAGTTGGCTCATGGGAGTAAAGGCTGCATGTCTGTAGTCCCCTGGCCCTGGGCAGGCTCTCCCAAGGGCTCAAAATAAGCTGAGGTGCTCAAGTGTTAAAGACAATCTCACTCAGGCAAAATCTCTTGTGCAGAAACATCTGCAGTAACCTCATTAAAGGATAAAGAAGCATTTGGCTGAAGACCTTGCCTACAGCCTAAGAGCCAGAGGATGACTACAGGCAGAATTTCAGAGACCTTTACACTTCTGCTTCAGCAAATCTTGTTAGAAACGGTGGGAATACTCTTGTAACACTAGCTGCTACATTTTTTATAGCCAAAGCCCTTGGACACAATTTTAACTGAAGAAAATCAGTGCGGGCGTCTGCAGCCAACAGTGATGCTCTTCCACTGGACTTGGGGATTAGTAGTTTATAAGATTTAAAAACATAAATATAAAAGTAACCCTTTGAATAGGAAAACAATTCATTGAAGCAGTAGCAATATTTAATGAGCTGACTGCACAAAGAGAATTAAAAACCTCTACAAAATCCACAGAATCCTGCACTTGCTTTTAAATCACCCTAGAATTTGAACAATCTACATCATAAAATGAACTCAAATATATAAAAAAGTATAATTACTATCCAAATGCTTATTTAACCATTTAGTGATTACTTCAGAAATTCTTACCTGTATTTACAACTGTATATTCTTAGTCTGCCTTCAGTGACAGGTCCAGGGCTATGCACTGTTACCTCTGCAGTGTTTATCTGATCCTCTTCATTGGCATACTCAAAAACCAGAACATAGCGACCCACTTGAGGAACATTTATGGTCATCTCTAAATTGACCTGGGTCAAAAGAATTGAAAAACAAAAAAAGGAGTTAAATCTTTCACTCCCTTTTCTTGCAGGAAGCTCCCATTTCCTGCTCTTTGGACTGGTCAGCATTAGTCCAGAGCCAGTCCTGCAGTGCCTCAACAGAAGACACCTAGCAGAATGCAAACAATGCTTATAAATATCACTTTGTCCTCTAATAAGAGTCAAACAAGTTCAAGAAATAGCTGCCATTATAACTGTTCTAGGAAAGCTGTAAAATAACCCTGGGAAATTGCTATACTAATATTTCTCTTTTCCCAGCAGAAAGGAAAGAAATGTTATGATGCTAAAAAATTGTCACCATCATCTCTAAGCTATCCTTAACAACATACAAAAACTGAGTTTACTTCTCCACTGAAAAAAATATTTCCAGGAACACAAAATTCCTACTATAGCAATGCTGTATTTTGATTCCCTACTCCCTGAAGAGTGAAAGCATCTTCTCCAGCAAACAACAGCACTTTGAAGCATCAAGTTTTTCTTTTAGGTTTCTTGCACAAAGTGGTTAACACAATTTTGGTGCAAAATATTTCTAAGTAGTAAAGTGCTGTGGTTACAAAGGTTTTGCTTCAGTTGACTACATAATTATTTTCAAATTTTTCTCAGTATTTCCTTAGGCTACAAATACTTAAACATGTAAATAATTCTGTCAACAGCCCTCTTGACTTCACTGCAATTATTCATACCAGTAAATTTTGCACATGCATCAGTGATGAAGCACCAGATCCTGTGGCATGTGAGTATTCTTGCTGTACTTGATATTTTTAAAAGAACTATCCAAGCACAGTAATAGAGGCCATAATCATTTTACATCACTATCACATACTTGGTAAAATACCTTACTTTTTGCCAAACACAATTCTAGTAGACCTTCTCATTTCCTAAAACATGCTTTGCTTTCAAAGGACCTACAGCAGTAGCATAATGGCTTCTGCTTGTTTTTCAGTAAAAGCAAACATTTTACCTAAGTGTAGCTATTTAAGAAAAAAAAGATTAATTTAGAGTGATGTATGTATGCCATTTCTGCTGACAAATCATTATGTCATTTCTTCTGAACAGGACAGTATGCCTAAAGGAGAAGTATTTTTATTTAATGAAATGCTTTTCCCAGAATGGAATGTCCACTCCAGTCACAGTTAGAAATCTGCCTACACTGATACTTTTACATAGTTTTGTGTAAAATGCAGAGCTTGGTGCCAAGTCAGTTTTAGGGATGTGTTAAGATCTGAAAATCCTGAGCTGTAAATCTGCAAGCATTTTAGTCCAGTAGGTTTATAGTCAACAGCACAGATGGGACTGCAATTAGCAGGCAGGAATCTGACCTCTCTTCCAGTGATGTGGGCCATCACTGGCAGATTGGGAGCTGGCTGTTGCACAGGTATTCTTCTGGATTCTCCCCCATATCTGAAATGCACTGCCTCTGAGCCAAGGACACAGGAAAATCTGCCCAGGGGCAGATGCTGATACAGCAAGCAGCTTACACCAAAAAAACAAAAACAAAACACAGGATTATTATTGTTTTCAAGTGCAGCAGGATGATAACAAAATAAACCAAAGGCAGTGGTTTAGGCTGTAGCACATCTACTGACTGTTCTGCTGAATCAGGCCCAGGATGTGTGCAAGGCTCCGTAACTCGGATCTGCAACAGGGACGCCTTGTAGTAATCACTAGGTAACAGCACCAGATAATCCTAAGAACAAAGAATACAATAAATGCTAAAGCACTCAAATAATGACAAAAAGAACATCTCCAGGCTTTCACAATGTAACAATGAATGAAACCAATCACATAAACAATTTGTGCAGAAGGTATCTGCAAAATGTGGGTGGGGCTTTTTCTGTTACTACTTGGGCCAATAACATCAGAATGTGTTTTCCTGACTCTGTAATTTCAGAAAGATGGCACGAAGGCAGCTGCCCTGTGGTCAGGGAAACTCTGAAGCCACTCTCCCATCATGTGTTGTACAAGACAATGCACTGAAGGGAGCTTCCCTGCAGCCCAGTAGCACACAGCCAGATGCCTGCAGTTTTCATCCCTGAGTGCAAAACACAAGCACACATCTCAACTCCGGGTCACAAGCACACATCTCAACTCTGGGTGAGTTTTTGTTCTGCCTTGCTTACTTAAATTAATATATTAGAGCTTAAATATAACAACTGTTAATGTGAGAACATGATGGGCTAAGACTATCAATATACACCTCTTCAAAGGTATTAGTGAAAAAACCCAGCAGAATAATACTGTCACTTTCAGCAACAAATATGTGTGCAAGCTCTTTACTAGCACTTCATGTAGTATTCCATAAATTTAACATAGCCCCAGGCTTAATGACTGGAGACACTGCTTTTTATCCCTGTAAGAAATATGTAAGAGTTTCAGTATGCTGTCTTTGTGATCATATTTAAGGTTTTTCATAAATGATCATCTCAAACAATTTCTCTTTCTCTAGCAATTTCTTAGAACTGCTGCTAGAAAATTTTTCAGTTTTTCAGTGAATGAAAGCAGAGAAAAGACAGGAGGATAAAAGCAGTCCGAAATTGACCTGCTCATAACGCAGCCCATTTTACAATACTCTTATGAAGATTTTTTTGTCAAGAAACTAAGGCCTTGGCTGAGCTAAGCTCTAGACACAAGATTGGATACATAAAAATTACTAATTTTTGTGAGCACTTATGCTTTGTGCTGTATGTTAGTAATACCTTATCATTTGAAGGTACAGATTCCAGATAAGACTTAAAGTCTGTAAGGAGAAGAAAAATTAGAGCAGGAGAAAGTCAGAAGAAATAAGAGGGAGAAATGTAAATTTTCATAATTGTATTCTGTTCCTTTCACTAGTGCTGAATTTCACTTGCTTGCAAGGTTCTTCCCAGCAAATAACTCCAGAGCAGTAACTTCATGACAACCTTCAAGCAGTTGTTTTCCTCAATTGTTTTCTTACCAAGAGGACTTCCTCTGCTATTATACTGACAGTCCACATGCCTGGAGCCAGTGAGAAAGGCTCTGTGGAGCTTTTTCCTGGGATTGTGATAAAAGCTGGCTCCTTGCTGGGTGGGAAGACAAACTCTTTGCTCTGAGCAGCCCCTGCCAGAAAAAAAAAATCGAGTAAAAAACGTGACTGTGTAAATGTCTCTACTTGCTAAGTGGGCTGGACTGATAATTTGGTCCATTAAACATTGTTTGACAGGAGTTGATCAATGATTTTCAGTCAACATGCATTAGCAATGCACTCAACCTGACACAGAGCTATGCAGTGGTTGTTGCTTGCATTCTTATTACTCTTGAGGAAATTGGTACAGAAAAGCAGAGTTCTGCCCCTGCAATGGCCAATTTTGAAATATCTGAAATGGTCACTTTTTCGGTTTCCCCTTCCATAATTTTCCATTCAACCTCTCTCTGCACTGACACTCAATATATTCAACTGACACATTCTCATGTGACTTTAAGTCAAATACTACAGGTGTTGGAGGTTCTCAGCACCATCTAAAATGCTTACTTACAGACAGATAACTTCTAGACAGAGACGACGGGCTAGTTGTGGATGCCCCATCCCTGGCAGTGTTCAAGGCCAAGCTGGATGGGCTCTGAGCAGCCTGGTCTAGTGGAAGGTGTCCCTGCCCGTGGTAGGGGGCTGGAACTGGATAATTTTTAAGCTCCCTTCTACCCAGATAATTCTGTGACTCTATGTACTACAGAAATAAAGCTGTGGTATGTTTTGTCAAATAGAAGTCATGAGGATCAACTGTTATGAATATTAAAGGTTTCCTTGTTGAAGACCCTGGACACAGACCAAATCTGGTTCCCTGTGTCCCAGACATTGGAAGCCAGTGATGGCCACAAATTTCTGCCACTCTGCTGAATGGTGTCTGTGAAGTCTTCGGTTTTGTCTTACTTGAATCTCTAAAAGGATCTATAACTTTACTCCTCTCAATAAGGCAGGAATAGTAAGACACATAGGCCTGGTATGCCCCTACCATTCAAAGGATATGGAGTACTTATCTTTTATCAAGGTCTGAAAGGCATAATATGTTTTTGAGGTCTGTAATCAGAACTTGGTAGACTGGGCTCATCATTTTAAACAAACCCTACTCATTGAATGAAGGAAAAAGCCACATTTAAAACTTGAATATTAAAGGCAAGTAAAACAAAGTGTTGCTACCCCTTCTTTAAAAGCTTCATAAAACCTACAGTTCAGAGCTTCCAAGTACAGAACTGAAAGTACTAAGTGTGGCAAACATTTGAAGAAACAAATGCTGATTACTACTGCAAGCAAGAGTTTCATGCAAACACAGCCACATCAATTACACAGCAAAATATACAAGGAGAAGCGCAAAAGCACTGACACTGTTAAAAGCGATGCCTTTTAAGCAACATTAAAGACTTGACTTAGGTGCACCTTGGAAAGTCTTCTCTGATCTAACATTCACCTGAGCTGTTGCACTGCTGAGTTACACCTACCTGCTCCAGGCTGAGTTTGAGAAGCAGATATACGACCAGATAATGTTCCCCCTCCAGGGTTAATATACCTCAGGATAATGTGAAATAAGTAGAGGTTTGATTTTTCCACATTCAAAGTTATCCTCACTTCATTCTGCAAAATGGAAGTTAATAAACAAAAACAGCCATAAAGTGCTGAATTGGAAAACAGTCAGAAGCCATGCAAGCACCAGACTAAAGTCCTACAAGAAAAAGGCACATGCAGAAAAGTATATACTGGAATGGCAGTGCTGGTCTATGACAGAGGAAGACAGGGAAGCCTAGTGAGAAAATTAATTCACTTACAAGTATAATTAGTGCCAATATGTTTTCCCTCAGCAACTGAGATCTTCCCTTTAGAGCTTTTTGAGCCCAGGCTGACATAGTGGAGGACTAGGTGGAAGAGCTTAGGGGAAGCCACAGTGATAGGCATAACCACCTCTGGCTGGGAAAAATAAAAAAGGGAAAAAGGAGGAATGGAAAGTACATTACTTGTTACTATCACCCAGAGAAAGAAAAACCACTTGGCAAAGACAAAAAGGCATGGGCAGCTTACAAAAGAGCATGGAACAAAATCTCCTGTGAAATAAAGCTCTTGTTGAATACCAGCTGATCCAGAAGGACACAAAAGGCTCAACTAACATGTAAGTGTGATTCAGCAACAGTATTTTACTATTATTGTCCCCACTGATGCCATAAAGGAGGCATATGGCTGTTGATATTCCTGCCTTTCCAAGGAATAGGCCACAATCATTGATCCTAGTCTGAGATCCCACAGCATGCAGACACCTCAGACTGTCCCTGAAGCTGCTGATCCTCTACCAGCTCCTAAAGTTGCTCAGAGTTGCAATACCAGGAATGCCGTCCTTATCCTGGAGCTGAACTGACACCTCCAGACCCACAAAATTCTCTGCGTTCACACAGCCCCATTATTTAGTTTTCAGAAAAACTAAAAGACATGTTAAGGATCAGTGGTGGATTAGGAAAGAACAGGATTGGTGCAATCTCATGAGTTTGGTTTCTTTATTTCTATCCAAAATCCTAAAGCTCCCCTCACTATCTAGTTCCCACCAGTTCATCCATCACAATCCACCCGCTGTCCCTTTCCAAGCTATTTGTGGCACAGTGACCTCCCCACTGTGGTCCACTCTGCTTTCCCAAATGCAAATGTTTTCTCTGTTACCCACATCTGAGAACAGAACAAAAAGCCTGTACAAAATGCCCATGGAAAAGAAACGCAAAAAGCAGCTGAATTAGAAAGCAGGCGTTAAGAAATCAGATACCGAAGAGCTGCCTTCATTTATGAGTGTGCAATAATACTGAAAATTCAAAAATTATCTGGGATTAAAAAAAAAAAAAACCAGACCAAAACAACAAAAGACGAAAGACTGAAGGAAGAAGAACATAGAGGAAATCATTGCACAATGGTTATGTGCTTTTGTTCCATGCTATAGTAATTCATTAGTCCCTGGACAAACGGAGGCCAGACACGACTATACCAAAGCCCTGCTTTCAAGGGGAGTGAACAAATCCCATTTATTGCTCAAACCTACTGTTTTAAAATTCTGCTTCATTTGATCAGCAGTTCAATCCAAAGTCTGAAGGGCCCTTCTCAGAGAAATTATGGCGACTTTCTACCTGTGATTTACTTATCCCCTCAGCTATTGTTTAGTTTATTCATAGTCTGTCGTGAAACTAAAATAATTGTTGCCAATATGCCCCTGCTCACAGCTTCTTTTACTGAACCACACATTTTCCTGTTTGCTGTAATGTGAAGGTATCTTTCATAATAAAAGCTAGCACTTCTCTACCCAGTATAAGTTCAAGTGTAAGATGACTTGGGTGACAGCAGTTGGAATTTACCTGAAAATTTTGTGGATACAGACTGTCATGGACCTGTGCAATTCAAACTATTTAGCCAAGCATTAACCTTCTGCTGTTCCCACTGTTCTTGGCTTGACAAGAATTTCTGCACTTAGTATTATAGACTTTAAAGCTGTAAGTTCTCTCTTTCCAGCTGTCTCACAAAAAAACCAACCTCAAAGAACATTTCTGAAGGAGGCATATTTGCACAAGCAACATGCAAATGACCTGACAAAAATACCCACAACTCACTAATCCCAACAGCAACACAGCACCCAAGAGTTTGGATTAGTCAGATCCTGTCCTTTTCTCTTTTTTTCCATGACCTTCCACACACATAGCAGTATTATAAAGACATATGTGCCATGTACTTTTGTTTTCATTTTCACCCCGAAGTCTTGAGTGAAATACCAGCTTACTTGTATAGAGGACATCTGTGCATATCCTCTCCAACTGAAGCCAGGAAATTCCTGAGGATCATAGCCAAACCGAATTTTCTCTCCTTGGACAGTAGTACCATCTTCAATCTCAAACTTCATGTGGTGCAGATCAGGAAAAAAATAGTTTTTTTCAGGCCTTTCAAGAAGGAAAAAAGCCCACAATAAATCAGCAAAGAATTACCAGTCATTTATGATCTACATCTAAGGGCAAAAAGCAGTGGAAGAGAGATGATCTACTGGTGACTGAGGAATTCTGACACCAGCTCATAGATTCAAGACAGCTGGTTACAGGGATGCAATAAGAACTTTCTTTCCAGAAGCTTTCACAGCTTTGATATATTTTCCTATACAACTCTTGATAGATACATAGATACATATTGCATAACTGGTATTGGTTATTTAATGAAACAAGTCAGAAAATCTTACTAAAATATAGGAAGGAAACTCCCCAGGAAAATTAATATCAATAACCAGTGCAATTTACCAAGTTAATCATCAACAAACCCAGAATGTCAGATGAAAGCATAACAAGGGACTGTGCTGAAGCTGTGCCAGGAGCCCAGCTGGACTCACTCGCGACACGTGGTGCCCACGACGTGCACTCTGCACCGGCAGCTGCCCCAGGGCTGGGAGCAGGCTGGGCTGAGGGATCCTCCAACATCACACCTGCAGCCTGGCACGCCAACAGCAGAACCCAACCAGAAAAGGAGAGGTGGAAGTTATCAGCAAACACACCATGGCTTCACCTGATTAAACACCATTAATGACTCGCTTCCTCCTCCCAGAGCCCTTTAGACTCTCTCAAGCACAACTTAATACACGTGCATAAGCTGCAATTATTTTGAGCTTCCTGTGTTTGTGCCTGTTTCCTTTATAATTTCTCCTTAGAATGTGACAAAAGTCACTTTAAAAAAACCCCTTAAATAATACACCCTGCTACATTGCTAAATGCAGGGCTGCAGTTTTGCAGAACTGCTATGCAAATGTGTTCCCAGCAAGTCCGAATTCCTGCATCAATATCATAAAGAATAATTATATTAAAAAAACCCACTAACAACAAAATCTAAAACCTAAATTACAAAAATTGCAAGATGTTAATGTTTCGAAGCCTGGTACCCCAATATTTAATCTGACAAAACTGCAACATATGGGTTCATATAAGACACATATTTTCAACTGACACTGGACAACAACATTGAATGACTTTCTACAGGAGACAGCACTTGTGGCACAAACTAAAGGACACCTCTAATGAGGTCTGTAATGAGGTATAATATGCTGTACTAAGGAACAAGTATGTCAAGGCTAAAACTTTCAAGCTGGATTGAAAGGCTGAGTCTTCCTAAATAGATTTATGTCCTAGTCTAAAAGCACCCTGTTTTCTAAGACATGCACAAAATGACTGGGAAGCACAGTGGTAACATCTGCCTTGTTCATTCTCCTGCTGAAAGGCAAAACAGGAGTCACAAGCAAGGTTACAGCACCAGTGCAAAATGCTGTGCACATGAGTAATTCAAACATCCCCATTCTAAAAGTACTGCCTAAGGAATTCTAAAGACTTCTGTGCTAAGTGCAAATGTTCCACCATAGATGTTCTTTATTCATTTTACCTTGGCAGCCAAAATAATTCTTTTTTTCAAGAGCATAATAACCAGCTTCACAAGTGTCACAGGAATCTCCACAAACATTAGGTTTGCAGTAGCACTGCCCATTTTCCTGTGAAGAAAATAAATTTCATCAAAAAATGTTTCAATATCTTTGCAGAACTTCAATCTCGCAGTACTTTGAGTTCCCTCTAATTGAATTCCCTCTAATTCCTCTAAAGAGGAAAGAATTTCTAATCTCAAAAAAGAAAATTAAAAAAACCCCTAACCAAACAAAAAAACCCCCATTTTCTGGACATGATCTCTGTCATTTATCATCTTCAGAAACAGACTAGAAAATATATAAACTCAAGAAGAAAAAAATTTTAAAACTTTATCTATCCCTAGGATGCATAAAATTGATCCTTTGATGAATAAAACTAGGTATTTTATGTTCAAAAGCAATAAAGAGTGCTAAGATTTCTAACTTAGCAAATGTTACAATAATTTATCTTAACAATTTAATATCTTTCTTTTAATTTCTCTTTACCTGCTGACATTCTGCAATTCCACTTAGTGTTCCACTGACATCACACTGACATTCTGCAGAGATGAAAAAAAAAAAGACACCTGCATTTCATCTTTTCATGATACTTTACAGGGAAAAAACCCACCACCCAGAAACTGCAATTTTGAGTCAATGTGCCACAAGGTTGATTTTTATTCTGGAATTAAAGGTTCAGAACAGCAGACTGGTATGAGGTGAGAAGAAAGAGAGAAGGAGAAAGAATGAGGACTTCTAAGTATGTGTGGTTTACTGGTATGTTTTAAAGTGATTTAACTTGTATTTGACAAAAAACAGTATTGAGTTTGAATTTACAATTGTTTTCTTTCTTAGAAACATTCATACAATTGATACAAAACAGTGTCTTCCAGTCTGACTGGCAACCTTCTATTCTGCAATGCTACTCTGGGACCAAATCAACTCTCCATATGAAACAGAAATGGAGAAAATAGTGCAAGGAGGAATAATGCTGAGCCAGAAGTTTGGACAAACCCAGTATCGACTCTGTGACTGAAAATAGAGAATTACATGGAAAGTGCAGTTCATAATATTTGAGGAGTTGTTACGTATTTAGAGATCTAAAGTAAAAAATGTAATGATACTATTATCAGTCTAAAGCTACTCATCCTAAGTGGCTGTTGTGGTGGAATCTGTTCCAAAGGAAACAGTTGGAGAGTACTTTAAAGATTTTTTTTATCTTTACCCTTTTTAATCTTCATTAATTATTATTATCTGCCTTAAAAACACACTCTCCCTGTTGGAAAACATGGACAATCACAGGTTATTATACAGATACAAACCATAACAGATCTGTCACACCCTGAGGCCACTAGAAGGCTTTACACTCCAAGCTAGGAAATAAAGTGAAAAAGCACTTTTTTTCCCCTCAAAACAATGAGCCAAATTCTGGTTTCAGGATTACAGGTAAAAATCCTGTCTTGCCCCAGTAGATCTGCCATAGGGCCCTATGAAGTGAACATCATTGGAACTTCAGAGCACACCCTGGTTCAGCACTAGGCAAACAGGCATGAAATTATGGCCTGGTTTCTGAAAGTAACTGCTGGTATCATGGGTTTACAATTAAGCTGTATGAGAAACATGCTGTTAACAAGAGTTGTGAAAGTCACAAAGAGCACCACAGACAGTGTCAGAGAATAAAGATGACTACATTTCATAAGCCAAAGAGATACATCATGAAGCCATACCTGTACATCCCTCAGGGTTTTCTTTGGCCAGGTTCCAATACAAGGGTTTGCATTTACTGCAGGTAGGACCTTCAACATGCTGGAGACATTGACAATATCCCTAACAACAGAAAGGAGCTAATAAGGGTTTACCTACTCCATAAAAAAACTTACTGATCTTTACTACTAAGAGAAACCTAACATTGTTAAGAGCTCATGCAGCTTACTGACTTTTACAGATCCATGGATCTCAGGCTGATTCAGACATCTTAGATTTTTCTGTCTTATACTATCAGCAAAGGATTGTTCCACCCTGCATATTTTTTATGTATCTAATTTATTCTAAGGGTCCCAAAGGATGTACTTTCCAATTCTTTTATAGCCTTATTAGAAGTGCTCTGAAGTATTAACTGGTTTGTATGAAGAATAAACCCCAGTATTTCCTTAAAAACATTAATTCATTTTCATATTTAATCTTTTCTTTATTGGTGGAAGACACCATCTCAAGACACTATTAAGACACCAATAATTACCACCATCACATTAATAACAATAATAGTGGAATGGCAACAAAGATGCAATGATTTTTCAAGAATAATTTGATGCTGAAAGGCCTGTTGCAACCCAGACCCAGAAAGTCTTTGAGACATGCACAGGCTTATATCTTCATGCATATGTTAGTATTAAGAGTATACCAAAAAGACACACAGATTGCATATCTTTTATATAAAAGACAAAAAACCCCCATCCTTGTAAGGTTTTGCACTGGTATGATCAAAAAGCAAAACACAAAGTTTATTTCTACTCCTACTTTCAAACAAGCTCCTGCAATTCTTTTAGAGCCTAAGAGCAGGCTTCAGGGCTTGAGTAATGAGCTGGATGTGTTCAGCAAAGACACATGAATGATTAACATGCACTCTCAGCTGCAGTGGCAGAATACTTACAAAATGAGAACCAATGCTACCTGCAGGGTCACACTCGCTGTTGACACCTTTATAAAACAAACACATTGAAAGATCTTTTGAAAACAGAGGCTGTGGAATGTAGCAGTGCAGAAGCACAATGTAGCCGGTGTGAGCTTGAAAGGGCTTTTTAATAGGGTTACCTTGGATAGACTCAAATACTTTAAATGCCAAGACAGCAGAAGCCTTTAATAATGATTTTTTTAATGTGCATTTAGCCTGATTTATAGTATTTGGGCTTGTATGCAAAGCAGTCACTTGGAAAATAGAGCACTAGCCTATGGAACTGACAGATATTTTCCTAAAGTTCCTATGCCATCAAAATGGAAATCTTTTAACTGGAAATATATTTGAGACGATTTATTTTCTTTCATGTTGCAGAAATAGGAAGGAAAATCCCAGTAAAAGTAGGGAAAGGTTTTACTCACGCAAGCAGTTGGGATAGCTGTGATATCCTGGAGCACATTGGTCACATCTCAGCCCAGCATAGTTACTGTGGCACAGACACTGCCCTCCAGGACCACAGGTATTCCCCAATGAGCCAACACCATCACAACTGCATGCTGCACAGAGTATTAAAAAAAGAACAGATACGTGTCTAAATCTAGAATTTGCCAAAAAACTTACCTTTGAATATAAATCAATCATTTCTGTTCAGAAAACCAAACAAACCATAATTTTACCAGCAAAAATAAATATGCCAAAACAGACGGTTATTCTGCAATTATGTCCTCAACCACTGATAATCTTGGTTCTTGCAGTTCTGTTAACTCACAGCTGAGAGATTTGGTTTGATGCCTTGTAAAACACATGTAAGGGACATAAATCCATCTTACATTTGGGAGGAATGTCACATGACAGAAATACTTGAAAAAATCTTTTAAAAATATATTCAAAGCATGTTATCAACTGTAACAGCGAACTTCTTATGGAGTTACCGCTATTTTGGGCTAACAGCTAAAGACAAGGCCTGCTGTTTTCTTGAGATGATGCTGGAATGCTCCACAGGGTCACACTTCACAGGTACAGGAATGGGACCCCATCTGGACATCCCAGCTGTCCCAGGTACAAGATGAAGTGCTGCAGTTAACCACTTGGATGTTATGACTGCCAGAAATGGCTGACTGACAGAAATACAAAGCAAACACTGTCTTCTGCTACACGTTCATGTTTCTGGTTCCCCCTTTTGGTTCCTCTTTCTGTTGCAGTCAAAGACATCTGACTTTGCTGTGTTTACTTTAAAGATGCTTGGAAAGACACAGGGCTTGCTAGGAAGTGAGTGTAAGAGAAATACAAACACTGAAGCTTCCAAGAATAATACCTACACTAGAGTCCTCCGTCATTGACTACCATATAGCATTCTCTCCTAATTTTAAGTATTAGTGTTTTGTTTAAAGGCTTTGTTTTGATATTGCTTTATTTGTATAAAGCTTCTATTGAGTTCAACAAGTCACGACCAGAGAGTCCTGTAGTCGAGTAGTTCTAGTCACAGCAGCCCAAAAAATATAGATCTGTCTCTCTTTTGAAGATGATTCCTCACAGGAATAGCAGGCTGGGCTGCTCACTTTCCCCCACAGCTTGCAGCATGCTGTGTTAATTTATGTTTAAACCCATGGCAGCTCATTTTAACTGAGCAAACTGTGAACTGCAGCAGTTCTGAGTAATCCCACTTACTGTGGTTTCAACTATTTTTATCTGTCTTTTACAATTTGTTTTTGCATGCTCTTTTAAGCTTTTATGTCTCTTTTCAGCTTTTGGTGTTCAAAGATCAAACATATTCAATACGGGTTTGATTTGCTTTAAGATTGCTACTTGATTTTGCTCTAGGAAAATAAAAAAGGTTATTTTAAAACCACTGAACACTGTGTACCAATGCAGAATCCTGATTTTATGTTTTTCATTAAAAATGTTCATCTATTCCAGACCATAAAACCCACAATCACATGGTGTTTTTATATTCCACCCATTGATTTGGTAACACAACGTGGCCCATCTTCGCAAGGTGCCACAGTTTAACTCCAGCTGGCAAATAGGTACACAGAGCCACTCACACCCCACCCACGGGATGGGAGAAGATAGGAAAAAAGGTAAAACACAGTAGAATTAACAGGAGTAAAATTAATTCTACCCCAGCTGAAACCAGGGCATGAGGGCATAAAGAATTCTGCTGTCCCTTTATAGGAGATAAACAGCTATATAAGCCCAAAGGAAGAAGACTGACATAGTCAACAGCCAAAAATAACAAGAGAGAAGAAAGTAAATCATAATTTTATGCATAAAACTTGTTAATCAGCACAGGAAAGCACATACCAGAACTCTGCAATATTCTATATTCCTTCTCAATGAAAAAATCGATAAGGATTAAGGGCCCTCTCTCTCATTCACTTTAAAGGCAGACAAAACTTAGGGCCAAGTAGGATGTGATGGGAGTCTTTGTACACACACAAGACCATTACAATACTCAAAAGTTATACTCCATTAATTTCCTTGTCTTGTAAAAAAGCAGGTTAGTCCTTGGTGGGAAACTCCAGAGAAATCTTTCATGTTTTATGCCTACATGGACAGGGGCTGGGTTAGCTGCTGGCAGATGATCTTAAAATAAGTGAGAAGCCACCATGAAGGGCAAAATAAGAGCTTCAGATTTTCAGATTTACAGAACAAACTGGTACCAAACAAGGCCCCAAAGACTCTCTGCAGAAGCAGACCAGTGCTTCACAGTTCTGCCATGCTGGTTCCTCAGCAGTCAAGTGTGCCCTGTTGCTGTGGGCCTCCATGGGAGAACAGCTCTCAAATGCTTTGGTTATTAGTATGACAGCTGTGCTGTCTGAGGGTACCTCAAACAGTCTGACTACAAGGGGAAAAAAAGGCCTGAAATTGGAGAATTAAAATATATGAGGATTTCACTGAAAAGCACAAGAGGGAATTGCCCCTTTTCTGCTATGAACACTGCTCTGGCTGCTGTTCTGGAAAGCACTGCTGTCTGCCTTTTCAGGGCCGTGTTTGATGCTGTACATGCAATCAGCAGCCTTACCTTGACAGGCAGGGAACGAGTGGTGGCCAGGCTGGCAGCTGTCACACTGAAGTCCTGCCACCCCTGAGCGGCAAAGACACCTCCCAAGAAAATCGCAGACTTCAGGCTGGGTACCCATCAAGTTACATTCACACTCTGCCAATGGAAAAGATATTTCAGAGGCAGCCTGTGTACAGGCTCTCTTATCTTTATTGAAATAAAAATACATTTGAAAAAAATAGCAGTAAAAGCAACTCCCTGCTCCCTGATGCTCAACAGTATGACAATTTTCTCATCAGATTTATATGGATTCATAACAGCTTTTATTGATTGCTCACATCTGTAACAATTCAGGAACAAGGAAAACATTAATGAAAGAGCAAGGAAGCTGGATCAAAGTTCAGTTATCAGTGTCAAAGCACTACACTTGGCCTGGCCCCACTGAAAGTCTGATTTATCAATTCCAAGTGGTTTGCCAACTATTGAGAGTAGTTCCATCACTTCTGGGACCGAAGCAAAACAATTCATGGTTTAGATTTACAATCTTGGGTGGGAGTGGTCAATAAATAGCCTAAAAAGACAGCACAGAGACCTCTATTAAAGTTCAAAACCAGTCAGTTTTATAGCATTGATTAGATAGGGTAGCTTTGTGCATCAAAGTGAGGTTGCAAACTCACATTAAGTATATTTTAAAAAAAAAACCTCCAAGGATAAGTAACAGAAATATTTCCAAATTTATTCTAAGTTTAATCAATGTTACTAAATCCAAACACAAACTAGAGTCTGGCAGCTGCATCAAACAGCAGACAGCAACCAAGGAAACCGGGGAATTTTTAGATCAAAATCTCCCCTCATCACATTATTCTTCTCTGACTTTTGTGAGTTGTGGGAGAGCCTGTTATGAATACATCTCCATGGCAAAATAACTCTATCCTTCAGTTTAAAACTTGGTGTTTTGGATATGCTTGCCAAAAGGGAATGTTTGGCTTACCCTGGCAGAAGGGGTACTGAAAATAGCCAGCTGCACAGGTATCACAGGAAAAACCCCCAAATCCAGTTCGACATCTGCACTGCCCAGTACTGCCATCGCAGTCACTGCCCAGCACTCCTGCACCATGGCACTGGCATGCTGAAGAGCACATTTGTAAAGAAAACATTTGCAGTATTATGATCTTGAAGCTCTTATTTCCCTTGGAAGCCACAGGTTGGCATTTATCCTGGAGCACAGGCTCCAAGTGTCAAAAGAAACTATGCCACTTACGCAGACACCGGGGGCCAAAATACCCTGGTTTGCAGCCTCCTTCTAGTTAAAACAGGAAAGGAAAAGAAAAAAAAAAAAAACAAAGTGAGTGCATATAATCCCAGAATTCCTTGTAATTTTGTAGAAAAAAATAGATCAGTACTTAGACAAATAGGGTATTTTTGTTCATGAGTAGTATTTACTGTCTTACATGCAAAATCTCATTCAAAAAACCACAATCTGGAATTGTGCTCAGTCTGACAGCAAAAATTTACAACTTCTACTAAAACTTCCACTTAGAAGCAGCTGATTTCTTGTGTCTTCAAATTCAGATGCTGCTCATTGAAATAGTAAAGAGCTCAAGATCTGTTTTCTCCAGTTACATTTATTCACTTTCCTTTGGATTTTTTTTCTTCTTCCATTAAAAAATTTGTGAGAAAAGGGAACATGCAACAGAATACCCAGAGGCTGACCAGGGAAATTATTTTGGATGCTGTACCAAGGTGAAGTGCATTGTAAGTATGCAAGTGATTAAGTGCTAACTGTGATGATGCCTCTGTTGCGCAGAACGATAACATAGGCTAAAAAAACATAAGCCCACCAAGGGAATCACTGTATGGATTTCAGGCAGCTTTACAGTGGGCTAAACAAGAAATATGAAGCTTTCTTAGAAATCAAAGTCCTTCACTGCTAAGGGCAACATACAATTTGCCAGGTGACAGAGGACAGTCCAGAGACAGAGCCAGCTAGCCTCAAGAAAGAGATTGACACCACAAAGCAGTGGCTGCCATGTCAGAAAGTTGTACATGTCAGAAACTCTTGATGGATGTGTTCTTAAGCACACCAAACAAGATGTTCAGCTCCTCCTGCAGATGTTTGCCAGAGGCTCGCCAAAGTTGTTTGGATCCATAACTCCTTCTGGAGCTAGCCCACCTAACTATTTGGTATAAACGTGACAGTATGATGAACTTCTGGCAAGAACAAAGGTTCTCTTGAAAAATAAACACCAACAGAGGCAAAATTGCTACCTAAAAATCAAGCTAATGATTCTAGTATTCTACAAAAGATAGGCACCATTGAAACAGTGAAAAATAGCAACATGGGGAAAAACAGTGAAATAGGGAAAAACCACCAAGAACTTGCCTATTATGTCACCAGCCACAGCATCACTTGGAACTGAAGAAGTAGAAGGATATACAGGATTATCTTTAAAACAAAAGAAACAGCAGGGATCACTGGAAACACGTTAAATTTATTAAAATCATGACAAAAATAAAGTTACCTACCATCAATAAAGAGCATGATATTCCTATGACTCTAGTAACCAACTCCAGTTTAGTTGACTTTAGTTTTCTTAGGAAAGAGGTAAGAGACTTTTGATTCCCAAATCAGATACAAGGTTCCTTACTCGAAAAAGCAGTCTGAAAGGCCAGACACCATTTGGAAATGACACCAGGTTGCTTTCCTGCTCCTTATCCTTTTGTGCAGGAAGCTTTCTTACACAAAATAGCATTGTGAAAATTACCTAAGGATTTCCATATTTATTTCACATTTCCTGCTTCCAGCTAAAGGTTCATCTCCTTCTATGTGGCATTACTACCTGCTACATGAACTGCCATATTTTATGACATGTACATCTTAGGAGCTTTTATTTGAGAGTCCTCCAGATTGTCTTTCCCATTCTTAAATTTTCTTGCATTCAGATGGGATCCAAATCAATGAGCTACACGCACCTGTGGGACTCAGATCAATGTCTACCTGAGCTGAACTAATTTAAAAATGTCAGATTTCAATCAAGAAGATATATGAGATGTGATAATATAGAATACAGTGTACAGACAGTATTCTATCACAGCCATTGAATTCAAACAACATTCAATTTTCACATGGGTTTTTTTCCTTTGTTTTGTATTGTTTTCACTCTTCTTGTGTTTCTATAGTGGTACCTCTCTTCTAGTCAGACCTCAGATCTTGTCCCAGATCAACACTCGTCTTTTATCAGCTGGCAGAAACACATCTTTCCTGAAGGCACAAAACATCCCACTGATGCATTTCTGCAATCCTTTCATGGAGTCAGAAGCCTTTATGCAGCAATCCTGATGCTACATATTTTCTGCTCAGTTATTTCATATGTAATTTTTTTATGGGAGAAGCACTGTTTATCAGAGGTGCAAGATCCAAATCCTAGGAGGTGTCAAGGAGAACACACACCCATTTTCTTTCCCTCAGTCATTATAGTCATGTTCTACTTTTCTCTGTGCAGGTGGTCTTTATCCCTGAAAATCCTGACACATGTTTAAACAATTTGTCCAGGGCTTTAGGACTGGAGTTCACAACTCACTGAGTTCACAGCTCATTCATCAAGCTGTAAACCTGATGTCTCAAATGATTTGAGAATTAGGACAATGCAGCACAATCTCTGTTTTTGAAGTCACTACCATTTTGTTAAATAACCCAACTCTCTTCAGTATTGTAACAACTATTTATCAGAATACAAACATGTGAAGCTGAAATACCAGATGCTTTTTAACCAAGTCAAGAGCAAAGAAAACCATTAATTCTTCAATGCACATTTAAAATACAGAAAAAGAGGCAATTTTACTTGTGTACTTACAGACACAAAATGGATAACCATAGAATCCATCAGCACAGCGTTCACAGTGGTCTCCCTGGAAATTCTGCTTACAGAAGCAGCGGCCAGACCCTTCCTCACAGCCGTCTGCATGCTCCAAGTTACAACTGCAAGCTAAGTAAAAGTACCAGCAATTAAGCACTCTTTGGAAAATAATCAATTTGCCTTTTACAGCAGTGCACAAGGGCATTGTAACAACAAACCTGAAGATTGAATGACTTGTTATTTAAAGAGTTAATATTTCCCAAGTACTTACATATCACCAATACATCCTTTAAAAGCAAAACCCATGTTATTTTCTTAGAGTGTTTAGGAATTTTTAATTCCAAAAGATGCACGTTGTTCCTCCACAGCAATTTTTCTGTGGCAACCACTCATCTCTCTCCATGGTCCAGGCTAAGCACCACTCTATTCACTTTGATTTACACACTACATGCAACACTATGACCACAGCTCTGCTGACTTCCCCACTCCTTTCAATCCCCAAACACAACATAACTGTAGTTTCCTCCTGCTTGTCACATCTCCTTCAGTCTCTTTGTAATCCAACACTTTCCTCTTACCTGTACTCAGTTTTTTTTTAAATGTTCTATTAGTAATTACCCTATTGCATCACTTATTGGTCGATGGGCTCAGCACTGCATGAGATCACAGTAGTGATATTGCTGCATAAAGTAGTAACCTTTTAAGCTATAGAATAAATTTTTCAAGTGACCAAGGGCCAAAGGATAGCTCATGTGTACATCAGAGAGCTAAGAGAAACAAGATCACGAGAACAGGAGATGAGAATGGCTTCCCAGGAGTCCTGAGATCCTCCTCACTGTGGGGTGTGTAACGGCATTCCAGGTTTCCATGATCCTATCTCCTCTGTACCCTTTTATGGCCTATTTTCTATCTTTCTGCTGTTCTCAATATGCTCATATGACACATAAGTTGAGAAGAATATAATTTAAAAGGCTTAAAGCAATATAGATATTCATTTGTAGCTCTTCTCCCAACATTTTTTGCCCACCCTTTCATTTTTTCCTCCACAAAGACATGTCCTATGCCTTGGTTACAGCCCAAACGCCTCAAGCCACCAGGAGATGATACTCCATAGAGAAGGACTCACGTATGCAACCATCAGGAGCCCACACTGGAACGCCGTAAGGACGATAGTAACCTTTTGCACACTTCTCACAGTTAATCCCAGCTGTGTTATGCTGTGCAAAACAAAATAAAAGGATAGTACGAGATAAAGAGAGGAACCTGGAAGAATTAAGAAACAATAACATCCTTTACACTGTTTCTATACACAACTAAGAGCTGAATAAGACTCCAATAAAGAGTCAGTCATGGTGTTCTTTAACCACCTGTTCTCTACAGGGCTCTGAATCATTGTATTCTCACATAAAGTAGCTGAACTTTTTCTTTAAAGCACTATAAACCCCTCCTCTCATTAAAAATAACCTTTGAAAAAATAACTCTTTATATCATAAAATACCTCCTTTTAGGCTACTTTCTTATCACCATGAAGATATTGTTCAAGAAACTGCAACATTAATTTTTTCTTATACTACATATTAATTTTCTGAATATCTTCTAAGATCAGCAATACCAGAAGAAATCAAAAACTGAACAGTCCAGCCAGCACAAAATACACTAAAAAATGTCTGTCTCTATAAATATGTGGTTTAGGCACACCAGAAAAAGAAAAAAACCCTAAGTAATTTAAACTAGAGCAGTGATGGCAAGTACAAGTTGAGTAAATCATGGTCATGAGGCACCCTGATGAGCTCACAGACACGAGAGCCAGGGAACCAGAGCAGGAAGCTCTGCCCTGGAGCAACCAAAATACTTCCCCCAGCTCCCACTCCCTGTTTAGTTCCTCCTTAGGGAGTGTTGCAATTCAGGGCTGAGCAGGGACACAGCATTTCCTGGCTGAACTGGTGAGCAGTTCATGAGCAGGGCACTCTGCATGTTCTCCAGCTCTGCTCACTCCAGTAGCACATCAGTGGCCCCAGCCCAGACAGAGCTTCAGGAAGATGCCAGAAGGACAAGGCAGCAAGGTGCAGGTAATCCAGAAGGTGTTTTGAATACATGAAAGAAAGACAAGCAAACAAGAAAATAGCAGAATTACAGTTCTGGGCTTCTGAAAAGTAGATTTGTCCTTGCTCAGAGAGCTGCTTGACAAGATCCTGTGTGAAAGTGTCCTGGATGGAAAGGGAACCAAGAGAGTTGACTCTCATGGACAGCCTCCTTAGAACTAGAACAGTTCTTTCCAACATGAAAGCATGGCAGAAGGTCAGCACAGATAAACACAGAGTTTCTGATTGATCTCAAACACAAAAAGAAAGTGCATGGAAGGTGGAAGCAGGGCAGGCTACTTGGTGGCAATACAAAGACATTGCCCATATATGCAATAGTGGAGTTCAGAAAGCCAAAGCTTAGCAGAGTTAAAACTAGTAAGGAAGGTAAAGAACAAAAAGAAAAATTCCAAGAGAAGAGGAGCAGCAAAAAAAAAGCTAATGAGGGTAGTGAGCCATTGCTCAGTGGCAAAGGAGATCCAATGCACAAATTCAGAACACACAAAGGACAAGAAGGTGATGGAACATATCCAGCATAGTTTACCCAGTGCAAAATATTCCCAAATCCACCTCATGGACCTCTGTGGTACAGCAACAGGTGCTGTGGGCAGACCCATGCAGATGGTGAGGGACTGAAGCACATGACATCCAAGAAGATGGTTGGGTTTCTTCAGCATCAAGAAGAGAAGGGTGAATTTATTGCTACCTACTACTACTGGATCAGAGAATACAGAGGGGATGGACCCAGACTCCTGTCAGAGGTGCACCAAAAAAGGATGAGAGGCAACAGGCACAGATTGGAACATGAAAAATTTCAATTAGATGTTAGGGACAAAATAGGCTATGCAGGCAGTCAAACACCAAAACGGGTCGTCATGAGTAGCTGTGGCATTCCAATCTTTGGAAGAGTTCAAAGCTTGGAAGAATGAGTTCCTGAGCAACCTGGTCTAATTAGACCTACTCTGAGTAGGATTGTGTGGTTTCCAGAGCTCCTCTGTCATCATACTCTAAAGAAACTGATTCTATCTTTTTGTGCAACACTTCATTTATATCACTTCTTCATTCAGGCATCCATCCCTAAAACTTTGCTTTCCCCTGACACAAACAGAAAAAGTAAAGTAAAATTCATGCCTTTTGTCAATGAAAATAAAAGGAAAAAAAAGAAAGCTATAATTGGATTTAAACTCATTTAATCCAACTTAACTTCCACAAAATTAATTACTAACAATTCATATCAGTCATCTAACCAGGATTTGTAGAATTAGACTAATTTTGCTATTTTCTATATTTGAAGTAGTATTTAAAGAAATGTTCTTTCATGAACAAAGAGCTGATAGAAAGGACCAACATGGTAAATCTTACTAGACTGTATGAACAAAGTTCTGCACAGAAATGTCAATGGGAAGACAAAGAACACTTCTTCTACTCATGTTAGTAAAAATAACACTACTCTCTTCTGACTGCCTTTTGGACAATATCTGATTATATTGTGGGAAGAATATGGAAAATATAATCTATACTGGATATTTGCCTTTTTTGTTGCTTGAATACAGCTATATTTTAAATTGCACAACATGTTAATACAGGAATCATGATGCATAGATTTCACAGGAAACATAGAACCGATGATAATTTTCCGGCAATGCAAAATTCTGGTCAGCTGCTTGTCATACATCAGATGACTTGACAGCAAAAGAAAGACAGACTTCCAAGTAAGTCTGGATTTATTTAACCCCAAGATCACTGAACCAATGAGTGACTCAGGTTGTAAGGGACCTCAGGAGGTCGAGTAGTTCAGTCCCACAGAGATAAGGCCAAGATTAAATCTTTATCAGAGTCTTATTTGATCTTTCCTCATAGTCATTGCCAGAGTAGAACAAAGTCAGAATGAAAGAAATTCTTGTTCTTTCCAAAAATGCGTTATCTATTTATGACAGACACAGTGTAAAGTCTCTGATTCCAAATTTACAACTTTTGATTCAATCCAATGGAGCCTCTAAGATAGTTATGGAGCTCATCCCCTCAGTTTTCAGAGGAAACTGATGGAATGAATTTGGTGGGTGTGGAAGGGAGGTGCCTGATGGCTATTTTCCTCTACCTAAGGCATCTTTCCTCTACACAAAAGACAGAACCAACTCTTCTCATATAAGCACAGCACAAGCCCAAAAGGCAACTATCACAAGCTGCAATTGGGGAAATTCCTGCTGAACAGGAGTGTGATTGAATGCTGTTAAAGATTCAGACTGTGTGTAAAGTGCATCCTCAGAAATTTGCAGAATTCAACTGCATGTTTCTCAGTGCAACTTGATATAATTTTGCATTCCAGCCTTGGTTTGAGTGGAGCACTAGTCCAAAAGGACTCCAGAGGGCTCTTCCATGCTTCTCTGCTTTCCCAATATCTATAACTTTCCATCTTGGTATAGTCTAGATCCTCCTTTATTTCTGCTGATGAGAGAGATTCCTCTGTGTTTTGCTGAAGTAAGTAACCAGCTGGCTTGAGCTGGCATTTTATTTGCTTAATTTTCCTTCCTTCTGTTAAGGAGGGAAATGGCAGACTTTGTAACAAAAGGAAAGGAAATTTTTATAGCTGATCAAATTGTTTGCTTTGATTGTGTGGTTTTATTTTGATCCCACAGGACAGAGCATAAATACAATTTTTACGTGTCTTTCACACGTTACCAAGCAATGTTGAACTAGGTAGATTATTTTCATGTGCCTTTTTCCACACTTTGAGTACAAGCAGTAACACCATCAGACAAATGGGCCTATCCAGACTGGTCAGACCCAAAACTACTGGTGTCAACATTTTTTTAAACTGATCAAAATGACCTTTTTACCTGGCAGTTAATGCAGACTCCTCCACCTTCATAATGCCCATGGATGTTTAAGCTTGCTCGACGCCGATCAACGTCAGCATCATAGTAGCAATCAATGGCATGTCCATGGCAATTGCAGGCTGAAAAAGTAATGTTCCAAGTCAGCTTTCTTCATAAAGCTGGAATTTAGCAGTCTCCAGCATTTACCTCCAGCAGAGGTCTAAAAGTAGATTAGATTTTTTTTTTTGTGTACATACACTCAGGCTGGAGTATACGCAAATGTACATACTTACCTATAAACAACTGGATTTTCATACCAAAAACATAGTACAATAATGTGGGCATGAAGAAAATGTGCAGCTCTTACCAGAGAAGGCAACGGTTGTACCATCTCAAAACTATATAGTTATGCATAAATGCACAACTAGGAAGATCCGGAAAAATGGCCGCTGTAGTTTTTTTAAAATTATCAAAAACATACTCAAATGTTTCTTTTGCCATGTCTCAAAAATACATCTGGACTGATGCTATGTGCACTAAACCTTTATTTAAAATTAAGAATTTTAGATAAGATACATTCAAATAAAAAGATCTACACCTAAGAACTCTCATATTCAGCTGTAGCTACAGATATACCAGCAAACTTGGCTATAATTCTGTGTAGAAACCAACCATAACAACAAACATAGAATAAACCAAAGGGCCATAAATTCATTCAATGTCCTTTTTTTTTCTGATTTGATCTTCCTTCTTGGCTGGAGAGGCAAATGGGAATATTTTTTGAAAGAATGCAGGTAGCAAAAAACAGGCTTCCCCAAGCATCTGGGTGCTAGCTGATCTTTTAATTACAGGAAGTTACTTTCCCAGGAAATTCCTGAAGTTATGACTTGATAAAGCTATTACTTCATGTTTAGGGAAACCCTCCCTCCATCAGGACCAGGGGGGACAATACTCTGGAAGACAATGGGCTACAGAAACTAAGGGCTCTGCCCCTACTTCAGGATGAGGGAAGCATATGGGAGGCAATCCTTCCAAACTCTATTTCAAGTTCCTGGCACAACTGGGAGCATAACTCAGGGACAACGGATTTTCCGTGTCTTGCTACATAATCATACAGACAAGAGAAGAGAAACTGGATCATTCTCTGCATTCTCCCTATGCCTTTTTATCTGAAGAGTTGTGGATAAGGAAGACTTTTCCTAGAAATTACCAACCACACAGCTGAGGAGGTGCCATCAGGCTCCCTTATGGTCTGCTGACAAGAACTGGACAGGGCTCAAGAGTGGGTTCCCTAACCAGGATGTAATACCCTAAGAAGATCTTTGGGTTTTCTTACTCAGAAAATTCTTCAAGGAAATAAAACATGACACAAATGAGATGCTGGCTCAAGATATTAAGTCAGAAAAGGAAAAAAGTAGAATATTATATATATGTATAATTACAATGTAAATAAAACCACCCTCGCCTCTAGGGTCAAACCACCTGTGAGCTACAGCTCAGCTATGTCTTCCAACAGCAATGGGAAATTTGCTCTGACTACAGTAGCAGCACTTTCACTTACAGGGAATAGAAACCCCTTCTACCTCATTAAACACCTTTTCACCACTTGGGGCCATTTGCTGATCCATACATACCGGGAAGCTAACAGCAAAATGTTGGGCTGATCCCTACAAGCTTCACTGACCTCTTTCAGAGAGTTTCTCTCAAGGAATCTCAGGCTTCAGGAAAGTTGACTAAGGTTGTTTTAATTCCTTCACTACTGGCTGCCAGCTAAAGAGGCCTGCACCTGGCAAATGCTCTCAACAAATCACCTCAAACTGCTAGGAGCAATCCATACTAAAAAGGATTTTTTTTTTCAGAGCTAGTTAGAAACAAAGTGGTTTTGGCTCAGAATCTTGTAGGTGATCTTCTATATACTCATTATTCAAAAACCATGACGTTATTTATGCTCTTTGTCTGTCTCTTTTCTGGCAAGAAATTTTTCCTTTTAAAGAGAGGGACTTAAATGAGGTTTCAAATATTGTTCAAAAACTGTGTCCCAACATGCCTACCTCATATCAAACATTTTAATCACACAAAACCTCCTTCCCCCCTCCCAAGTCTTAGTACTGCAGTTTAATTAATAACTGCAATTAAACAAGTCATCTCTTTATTCCTCAGAGTAATTATATAGGTACATCTCTGGCATTCAAAAAAGGTTCTCCTGTTAAAGAGTTTGTACCCACTGGCTATGCTACTCTCAAGAAAGACAGATCAGGCCAGGCACAAAGGAAATGGTTGTGCACAGAGATTGCAATGCTCTGCACCACCCCATCTGGCTTCTACCCAGGGATGCAAAACACTCGCATGGGACAGAATAAACCCATCACCAAAAGAGGATCCGTGCTGTCACTTTATTTAAGAATGAAACACAGGGAGAGTGGGAGAAAGGCAAATGAATGGGCTTCTCCAGCTTGACTGCTCGGTCTGTAGGGCTAATGTCCTCCAAATGCCCAAACACAAGGATGGGAAGAGGTACCAACATGGAATCACCAGGATTCCCCACCACAAACCTTTGAGCCACTGTCACACAGCCAGTGAGGGGCAGCTCTCAGCCTGGGAAGGGAGGGCAGCTCAAGCACCCATAAGCAGTGGCAGCCTCAAGCAATCTCTCTGCAATCCAAACACCAAGAGGCCAGGTGATGGAAAGGAACATTTTGGAGCTGCAGAAGGGGCCTACAGTCTCTGCTCTGCTTGGAGACCCACAGTCCGTCAGCAGACAGTTACAACTGGGGAGAAATGTTGACCCAATGTTCTACAAAAAGTCTTCTACTTTTCTCATGTCATATTCTCACACAAATTATTACTTCCACTGTTTAATAAGAAAGAAGAACATAAATAATATTCACTGCAGTTTTGATTCTTTATTCCTATATGGAAAGCATTTTCCCTATACAGAAAAAAAAGGGGTTATGTTCCATTAACATGTGTGCTACAGCTAATTCCCACCCTTTTGTCACTACCTCTTTTAACCCACCATCTTTTTGGCTACTCACGTTCACATATGTTTGTACTCCCAGCTGTTGCAGGTTGCCACTGTTTCTGATTATATCCAGGGCAGCAGTGATCACAAGTTTCCCCACAAGTGTTATGCTGACATTCACACTGAAACCTACAGAAATAAAAGCCTCTTAACGAAGCCAGGCTTAAAATTTATCTCTTAAGTTTTTAAATAAAAAAATAATTGGTTTTTTCTTCATTTTGCTGCAGTACAAGACTTACATACAGCATGAGAAAGATAGGACATAAACCTCACATGTAGAGAAGTCAATCAGTAGACTAGAACACTGTGGAACTTTCCTAAAATTCTTCAAGATTGATTACTTTAATCATGTGATTATGAGTTTATTAGAACACATTACTTACACAAAATGTTTATAATTGGTTTCCATAGACTAGATAATGAAACTATTGTAGATTATTCAGTCAAGCTGATACATTCTAAACTATGTGTATCTTGTTTTAACTTCATTCCAAGGCTCAAGCTTGTTGGCCTAGAGTAATCAAAATATTTATCACCTTTAAATGCATGCCTTCATAATTTTTCCATTATGCTTTGTTTACAATAATATTATTGGTGTTTTTCATAAACCAAGATCATAACTTGATCCTGTTATTTTTAAGACAGTTTTAGGACAGTGCACACTATTCACCAACAAAATGTAAGAAGGTTTTTGATTTATTTAGCTGAATAGTCTACTTAATGGGCAGGATCTAATGATGAGCAAGGTCTTACCATCCTGCACAGCAACTAAATACCATGAGGAACAAAGGCCTCGGGACTCAGGAAGCCTTTTACAACAGTCTTCTCTTATGTATGAAGTCTAGTAACGCAAGGGCAATAGAACTTTCCAGTATAATCATCCTATTTGCATAGATTTCTCACCTTCTTCACTTATTTTTCTGTAGCACAGACACATGGAACGGAGGCACGCATCTCCCCCCCCCTTACTTTTCATTAAAACATAACTGAAAATATTGCATCACCCTAATAAAAGATTGTTTTAATGCCATTATGGATAAAAGCAAGAGCTGGTTTAAAGCAGGTTTTTAAAATATGTTTGAGACAGGCTGATTATCCATAGTTACTTCCCTGCAGCAGGCAAGCCAAGAAGCCTGACCTAACTCCTTATGAAATCAACATAGAGGTCACAAACTTGACAGGGAAAGGGAATACTCCATTCATTTTGTTTTTATGTTTTTACAGCAATGATCTAAAGCCATTGGATCTTGCATAAGCTCAGCTATACTGCTCAATAGCTCCCCAAAGTCGACTAATTTTGTGTTGTTATTTTATCATAAAACGCTTATATCTTCTTGGTGATTTCTCATGGGCATTGCCTCACAGCACAGCCAACAAACTCCAGCTCCCTTCTCAACCAGCTAATCCCCTCTTTTATAGCCTCATCCTCATTGGACACAGCTGTGGCCTATTAAGGCAGGCCTGTTCCTACTCTTTGGTAATTAGCACAGCTGTAACTTGTCAGGGGTGAGATTGCCTTCTGCACCATCTCTATTCTCTTACATTCTATCCTCCCATAATTTTATTCCTGAGTTGGACTTCTAATTCCTGATGTAAGAAGGTGCTATCAACTCAAGTCTGACGATATCATCATCAGAAGGTGATGTTTAACTCAAAGAACTATGGGTTTCTAAGAAATTATTCAATCTGCTGAACTGGTATTTCAATTAAAATGAAAAACCTAACCTAAAAAAAACCTAAAGATTTTCTATTATTATCTTTCATGTACAATCACCCTTGACATGTTTTCTTGCCAATCATTAGCAGGCTCTATTTTTTTAATATAAAGAAAAAAGATCCCTGTAAAACTATGTAATTCTATAATAAGAAAAGGTCATTTGAAAGCACTCATGTATTGTTTTTCTCAGATAAATGTCAGGCTCCATTTACTTACTGGTATTGGTTTTCAGTACTCTTTGGATTACAGACTTCAGCATGGCCATGGCAAACACATCGACCACCAATACTGATGTCCTTTATGCTGTAGTAATACTGTGGAACAAGCACAACAAGTATGTACAGATCTGTCCTTGCTTGTATTGTGTCAGAAATATCAACAATAGTTTTGCTAGATTTGGAAGGTCTCTACAACAAAAATTTTTACTCTCCTTTAGGAATTTAATAGAACACTTGATATTTCATTCATCTATCCTACAACCCATGACCAGGATAACACCAGAAGTTCCTCACACTAAAGCTGTGCTGCTTGCCAAGTAAACTGCGTTCTGCATTTACCTCTGCCTGTGAGTAATGTCTTAAAATTTACTTAAGGCAGCAAGGACACTTGATGGGAGTGCTGTCAAACAACTGGAATAGCTTTATGTTTTTCAGTGCAAACATTTGTGTGGTGCCTCACCCCAGGGTTTCCTCCAATTGTTACCAAATCTTCATTTTAAATGAAAAGGTTAAAAATAGCAATACAATATGAAGTCTGAAATCTCTGTGAGTATGTGAAATTTCTGTGTGGCGTTCCCTGTATTTCCTTATATTTATCCACTGAATGGGAGTGGAACTCTGGCCTTCAAGCTCTTGGATAGCCCAAAATGCACTGAAAACACCTAGGCATCTCAAAAGATTTGTGGAAAGAGAGCATCTTTCAAGTACAGCTTTTGATTTCTCCTCCTTCATGAACTCATGAACTGTTTTCTGAAAACCTTTTCTGAATAAATATCAGAAAATAGTGCCAAATGAAGTTGAAGAGATTTAGTTCCTCAGTTCTGAATAAGATAGTTTAGTATAATTTTGTTTTGGCTCTTTAAAGCTCCCATGATGCACTCAGCTTCCTTCCATATTGGAAAGCAAGGAATGAAAATGGTCTGTTAGAAAATCATTAATCATTACTGCCCCTCCATAAATCCATGCTGGCCCAGTTACTTTCTTGTCTCAAACAAACCTGGAGAAAAATACGGGAATTTCAAGGTGGGTCAATGCAAATCTCATTGTCAGGATGCTGCAAACTTGAAGCACTCAGACCATTTTTTGGTCCCTAGCATGCTGGGGGAATGACTGCTGAGTATTTACACCTCAGTGACAACAGCACTTACTCTGCGAGTTACAGTGGGGTCCCGCTGAGCTTTGGATATCAGGTGTCCAAGCAGAGTATTAGTTCTGAGAAAGCGGAGGCGGATGTTTGTTGCCTTTGTGAATTCTTGAAGACCAGGGGAATAAGTGAAGTTTTTTGCTCCTGGGCGGCCATTTACCAAAGATACTACAATCTAACAAAGAAATAAGCACACTCTTGTTAAATACATCAGCTCCAAGTGCCAAGAGCAGCATAAAGCAGAATCGACAAAAGAATCCAAAAACTTATTATTGTTTCTGAACATATTTGCAGGAACAATTAGGCATTTCATACTGAAGTCAGGATATTGGGAAAAATAGTGTTGTTAGCATTGGAGCCTCCTGTATTCTTATCCATATAACAAATCAGAAAAAAAAAGTGCCTCTATCTGTTCTGAAAACATCAGGTATAGCATGCAAAAAGTACATTTTTAATAGGAAAAAACAATAGGAATAGTTGCAAGTAGTTGTTTGAACAATTGACAGTGTCAATGGAAGTTTAGCCTGATTAAAAACATCAGATTTTGGCTCTTTCCCAAAGCACATTTATTTTTGGGTCAAGGCATAAACATTCCTGGAAAATATTATTGTTAGCAGGTCCAGTGCCTGCGAGCATATTAATGGTCTGCTGGAAGAAAGTACACAGTGTTGCTTTAGAAAATCCCCTCACATGAAAGCAGGTTTCTCTGACTTCCAAAACAAGGGATCCAATACTTTTTTATTTTTTAAAGAAACAGCTGCCAGTAACTCAGCAATCATGAGTCTCTACTGAATGAAAAGCCTAGTTTGGATGTACAGGGCTCAGTAAAAGACTCGAATTTATTTATAACCATCCAGAAAACAGATTTCTATTTTCAAATGGCTCCTGCATTCTGAAGCACATAACAAGGGTATGATGATTGTTCCAATTGCAGCACAATTCCTTCAAGAAAAATCATAGAGCATGTAATAGGGATTGGCACCAGCAGTGTTCTTCTGTGGAAATTAATCTTTACAATATCTGATTAGGAAAATCTTACAGATACTTTAAGAAATAAATTCTATTTTAATATGAAACCCTAGATCCATCTGCTCAAAACTCTGAATAACTCTTGAGGAGTTCAAATCTGGATTTTAACAACATCAGGCCTAAGAGGAGAATGCCAGGAGGAGCCATCAGCACATCCAGGAGTTTAACATTCATTCAAGTAGTACAAGAATACAAGTCACAGCTCTGCCTAGCAAAGAACAATGGCTAAAATCAAAGCAATGTTTTCCAAATACTTTTATTATATTATAAACATGTAGCTTTGTATTATAAAAATGTATTAAAAAATGCAGCTTTTTTTCTTTTTAGAAGCTACTATTGAATGGTAAGTATCTGTTTCTACAGTCTTTACTCATGTGAGCAATTCTGGTGTGCCAAGTTTTGCCATGCACATTGGAAGTATTCAGAAAATGCAGTCAAGACCTTCAAATGCACATGGCTATAGTGAGGTACATAAATGATGATAAATATCAAATATCAGGTTTCCCTGAGCAGCTCCTACCCCCATAGGGAATGGTGAAAATTAAGGAGAGTCAGGACACGCCCCCAAAATTTCACTGAGGTTTAGGTTATGGACTAACTGATAGAGATTCAACCAGTCATAACTAAAAAATTACTTCAAACAAACTTCTGAAAGCAGTGATGTTTGCTTCCAGCATCACACATGCCTTCCTGAAAGCACCTACCTCTCCATTTTCAAGAGGCAGAATGCGAGAGTACTCGGTGGTGCACAGGACATCGCTGTCCCTCCTCACGGGAAGATTTGCTTCCTTTCCAAAGCGCTCCAAGCAATCTAATCTCGAGTCTAGTCAAGGAAGAACAAAATTAATTTTCTATAAAATAGTCCCTATTGTTCTAATTTAAATTAGCAGACAAGTATCCCCTGTGCTTTCAGGTAAATTCTCCAAATAATAGAGTAATAACAGTGATTGGGTCACTCAGCAGAGTAACAGGCATTCCTCAAAACAATAATCTCTCTTCCTAAGCAATTCAGTGATGCCTGACAAGACAGGGCACAGTATTTCTCATATCATCACCAGAAAAAAAATCTATATAGCTACTACAAGATTTTGCATTTGTATTTCACTTTGATTTTTGCAAGAAACTCCAGGGTCCCAAGGGATGAAGGATACCAAAGTTCTGACATTCCCAAAAACAAGAGAAATAAAACAAATCAGAAATTTCTAAAAAAGTGAAAAATATTCATGTGCTGAGTTACACTTTCAAAATACCATACTCATACACTCCTATCACTAATTTACTGTGGCTAAATAAGAAAAGAATAATAAATAAACATATTTAACATTCACTGTGTTCTCTGCAGGTGAAATCTTCAGCAAGCCCCATGGTTTAATTTTGCTGCTACTGAGGAAATTATTAAAGAAACCTTTCCCAAAAAGACCAGTGACACAAGGATTAATACTTACAAGCAAAATATTGCCAGGGAGTGTAAGTTTTTCCAAAGTCCACCGATCTTTCCAAGACCCAGAGGTCTGGACGAGGAGAATTTGCAAACTTGATAAGGATATAGGCAACATGGAAGAGCTGGTAATAGAATATACATAAATCTTGTCAGGAGCTTTTTTTTTATATAAAAAAGCACAGCAATAATAAAACTAATACAAATAAACACTTTTTCTTTAGTGCACAGGGAGAACTCTGAGCAGTTCTCTGCAGTTTCATTCCCACTAAAATCAGAGGCCAGATTCTCAGCTAGCTTCTTCACTTGGCAATGTGTTCAAGACCATTAAGACACTTGCAAAGGACTGTGTTAAACGCCATCTCCCACATTTCAGAACTGGTCTGTTGTGCAGCTGACTGATTGCTTGGGTGTGTTAAGGGTACAGTACTCAACCTGGAAAAGTTGTATCGCTCAACTAAGCTGCTTTTGCAGCACCCTGGGATATTTGTGACGCATTCCAAGCACGTAATTGTGCTTGCAGCTAAGGCATATCAAAATCATGGAAGAGAAAATGCAAATACCCTTTACATTGGTACTCCTTTGGTTGATAATAATCCCAGCCACCCACTCCCTCCTGTTAAGATTATTTCCAGATGAATTTGCTTCTTGACAGACCTTCCAAGTAAGGGAAGCAAGCCACCCCAGAGTTTGTGGGGGTCAAATAGCACAGGAGAGATTTTTGTAACTGGTAGCTCATTCAGCTACAGCAGTCTGAAACAGCTCAAAGAGCTCCATCAGCTCAAGGTTCCCAAGGCCAAGAGTTTCATCTGGCTTCTTTAGGTGCTCATTGTGTATCACACAGAGGGCTTCCAAACACTAGAGAAGAAATGGGTCTTAGAAGACAGGAAGTCTTACTCTGTCTTGGGATAGTCCACAGTCTATCTAAAAACCAGGACATCAATAAAAATTACCTTTACATAAAAAGCTAAACACAGATTGATTCTAAGGGCCATTTAAAAATTAAACCATGACATGGATGGAGCTGTCAATAAAAGTGAACCAATACTGAGGTACACTCAATATTAAAGTGAAGCTGCACTGGAATTTCCCCCTCAACAACCTCAACTGAGAATCATCTGCTGGCAGGAGATTCTCACTTTGATGGGAGAGACTGCAGTCAGCAGTTTGTCAAGTAACTGCTCCCAGAGCCCCCACATCAAATACACCCAAGCAGTTTATCTTTGCTCATACCTCATGAATGTCATAACCCTGAAGCTAATACTTTGCAAAGTTTATTAGACTCCAAACCACAAGTGCATACAAGCTCTCAACCATGAACTGGGAACAGCATCTTTTGGCATCCCTGGCCCATTCAGCTGTCAGCCAGGAACAATTCAATAGCTGTCATACCAAATGGGACCACCAAGAGACAGAAGCAAATGGCAAATAATGCAGTGAAACAGATACCTGGAAATACTTGTCCCTAACCAGCTCTGCACATGACAATCCCATGGTTACATGCAGCCTCCATGCTCACACATCTGTTTCAGACATCAGCTTCTGAACACCTGTATACTGTATTCACAGTAGAAAGTAAAACCTCAAGAAGAAATGGAAGGAATTCAGGCACTTCATGGAGCATGTTCTCATGATAATAACTCACATCACAGAAGAAAAAAAGTGAAAATTTTTTGTTCTGCATTCATTTATATAGTATGTACAACTACTTTCCAGGGCAAGCCCCTGTTAGACACACACACCAAGGCATCACTGCAGCAGGTATTGCACCTTGAAACCTATTTCAGAAACTTTTGCTTTGTTGAATGATGCTGACTTAGATCAGTGCAGAGAGAACCAGGAGGAAAATAACCCAACTTTTCTGTTAGTGCTGAAATTTAACCTGCTATTAAACACAGCCTGAAAAGCACCAGCTTTACTTCCGGAGATATTAAATTAGCAAACAGACATTATCTCCACAGGAAAAATTACTTACTAGACAACAACACTGAGCAGAGTAAGCAGCAGCCTTTCTGTTGACAGAGCCATGTCAAAACCTATGCTCCATGACTGCACAAGTGGAGTAATGCCCTCAAAATGCTGATGGAAAGTTTGATTTTAGCCACTGTCAGAAATAGGTGAGTACTTTGGGGACAGTGGCAAGATTGCTCTTACTGAGTTTCTGATACTCTTTGCCTGAGTAACTTTTGCTACTTCACTGTCAAGTTTCAGAGTAGAGATATTGGCCATACAGACATTACATGTCATCTGGTATGGCCACTCAGTGCAAAGATTAGTATTATTCTAGGAAAGCATAATAGTTCTGAAACTCCTAAAAAAAATGTGCTTCATGTTCTCACTTTTGGTCAGCTGAATCTCTCAAGGGTCATTTGCCTGTTAAAACCAGATTTGCACTGGCAGGCAACATTAATACATTGTCTTTCTTCCCCTATGTCTTAAGATCTTTGGGAGTCCCATTTGACATGCACGTTAGCAAGTGCTGATAACACCCTCTGTGTTGACTGATACAGATTTAACCAAGTCAAGTGGTTTGGAAAGCTCAAGAGGAAATAAAGGAAGCATATAGACAATGTCCTGCCTTTTCCAGGGCTCCACTGCTTGTAGTGACATTGTGGATCATTTACAAGTGACCTTACACCTACTCTTCAAAATGTGTATTGTATCAGGAACTCTGCAAGTCAGCCAATGCTTAAAGAACTGCCACCCAGCACCACTCCTTGCATATTTCCATGCAAATAGCAAATGGAAGATAAAAAAAGAAGTATGGCAACTCCACAGTTCTGTGGTACATGAAAACCTCATATTCACATGACGCTCTCCTTCCATCTCTCAGTTTGAGACATTGCTCAGGTCTGTACGGGCACATTCCGAAAGGGAAAAGGGACAGGTCTGATAAAAATTAAGTTAGTGTTAGTTAATGACAACATATCACCAAAACATAGTCACCATGCCTATCATCTGTCCTGCTTCTGACTTCACATGAGTGCCTATGATCTGGTTTTGGCCTGGATCAAGGATGTAGAATGGCACTTGAACATCTAAACTTCCACTAAGATTAAATGCTGACCAAGTTGACGAATGGTCTCTCTCCAGATCTGATGAGACAACAACAGAAGAAAAATAATCCTGGGGTTAGCAAATAAATCCCATGTGAAGATAAAAGAGTAACCTTGCTGACATAAGATCTAGAAAAGCAACCATTAAAGCCAATTTTAATCACATATTCTAAGATGGCATTTCAATACTTAAAATCTTGATCCTGACCTAGGACCTACCCTGAGAAAAAGGCAAAACTCAAAGCAACGTTTTCCTTCAGCCATTTAGTTCTGAGAAAAAAAAGAGTCTTAATTGTTGAAAAAATGTTTATTTGGTTGCTTTTAAGCCAAATTTGTTTCATAAAAAACAACAATCTCTCAAAAAGAATGTTAAAACTGTAAGTCAGCATTTTGGTATATTTATATAATAGTAAAATTTTCCAAAAAATCACAGAAATATGACTTAATCAAAATTCTGACCATTTTCTTATATGAATAAAGAACTGAATTTAAAAGTGGAAACAGCATTTTATTTCCAGTAATGGAAACAATGCACTCTGGAAATGCATGTTTAAAAGAGGATGTACTACTGTAAGACTCAAACATCATATCCTGCTGTAATCCAGCACCATAGGTCAAACCTGAAGGATTATCAACAGCTGGAATTTAATCAATTCCACATTGATGTGACCTTTTTTTGTTCACTCAGGTTTGTTCAGATTTAAAATGTTCTAGCAGCCAATGGCCTTAATGAATCACAAAAACCCAGAAAAAGGTTTTAAAAGTCATCCAGTAGAATGAACAAAATGCCCTCCTCCTCTGAGAATGAGAATTAAAATTCAGTATTATGCACTAACAATATTACATTATAAAAAGAGAGATTCCTATAAAAACTCTTTCAGGTGACCTTAAAATGATATTAAAAGAGGTCATTTAAATTGATTGAGAGCTACACTGTAGTATTATTGTTAATGATACAATATTCTTGATCTCTAACAGCATGCACGCTACTTATTTTAAACCAACAGAAATAAAACTTCCTGTTACCCGCTGCATTTTCAAGAGAATGCTAAAATTCTCAATAATATTAGTTTAAAATGTTTTCTCTATTTTCTCCTTAAAAGTTTAAACAATTCTTTACATAGAGAAATTTCCAAGATTTTTTTAAATCCTAGAAATCATTAAAAATGGATAAAAGTTAGATATTAATATATAAAGGTATAGCACATTTTCCTCCATTCCTGACACCATGAACTCAGACCAGAATACTAAAACACTGAAATGACTTGTTAGATGAGTGCTGGACATAAACTAGCACAAAAGGAAAAAAACACACTATGTTCCAAACAATCATGATGTTGTGATGTTGTGTGTATTGCTTCTGTAGGAAAAGATTGTTCTTCCTTTTTGGCTCATGAAGAATAAAAAGTCCTGGAATGTGGCAGTAGCAAGAATCCAACTAAATCCAGGTAGACCATCCCTCTGAGGCATTCTGTAGATCTTTAGATGCATTCAAAAAGTTATCACAGCAATCTTTCTTCGTTTAATTTGAATCTGTTTCCAGCAGGGTGAAATCTCCTCAGACTGTTATTGGCAGATACAGCTGCACCACCAAAACTTCCCTCAGCATGGTTTGGTTGTCGTTGCAGGTTTCTTTCATTATCTTGAATAATGGGGTTGGTGTTGCAGATTGCTCAGAAGAGACAAAAATCCAGTATGACTCAGTACAAAAATTAAACTTTTCAAAGGGAGGCTGATGCAGGAGAGGGATTCAAGGACTGTGAACTGTGCTCAGCACCTGCTCCAGAACACACCTTAGTGCCCCTGACTGCATAGGGTTGGCGTGTGCATGCCCACTGGTCTCCTGGTGTAATGAAGCCAAAAGGTCTTGAGCATTGTTTCCTCTCAGAGACCAAGCCACAAAAGCATCAATCTGTTCAAATGAAATAAATATCCTGCAAACTCCAGCTAAAACTAAAGGCTTTGATTTCTTGATGCTGCAAAGAGGGAAGCAGTCCTTTCATTCAAACATCTCAGTAGGACTTGAGGCACCCTGGCAGATCCAGGTACTGTATAAAGCACTCCTGACA